ACGAACCCTCAGAACGCATATGAACATCACCAAAGATATGCTGCCGTGCAAAGCGCTTGGATCCACCCGAAGAGAACCCTTATGAAAACACCACGCTGTACTATAGGGGCCTAAATCTTCTGCGGACTTCGGGGAAGAAGAAGACTACTATTTTGCGGGTTCCTTATTATACATTTAATACAATGGGCCCCAAAACCCTAGTCCAATTATTAAGGCCCCTATATAGCCTGTTTGTGTCAACGGATTTGGAGGGGTATCCGGGGTGGCCCGCAATGCACGCTATCAGCCCCCATTGCCGGTGGACCATTGACCCCCCAGCTCGCTGTTTGAAGCTTCGAGGCTTCTTCGAGGGCATTTAGGGGTTCAGGGTTTAGGGTTTAGGGTTTTTGAGGTCGAGGGTCTTGGGGTTTCAGCATTTTAAGTTTTGAAAAGTAGAAGCCCGAAACTTGGAAACCCCATAGCCTCAATCCTTAAGAGTAAGGTCTAGGGAATCCCAGGACCATTTGGCCTTGATCCGGTTTCCAACTTTATGGACTTTGCTGTAGGGAGTAATTGAGGTCTTCTAGAAGGGCACAAGGGCACTACAGGGAGACCCTAACCCTTAAACCTAAACTCTAAACCCTCCCACTGCACCCCAAAAGTGATGTCCCAAGGTACACATCCGAACTCCGAGAACCCGAATTCGGGAGTTTTGCGGGGTTACGGGGCTTAGTATAGGGGCCTTTGATAAATAGAATAGAGTTTTAGGGCCAATTATACTATAACTACAACAAGGAACCCCCCCAAACATAGGCAATTAGTAAGGGCCCTATATTAAATTCTTTCGGCTGAAAACTATAAGGCCGCTATGGAGGCAGGGGACTTAGCAAGTAGGCCATAAGTAGAGTTACAAGTACTAACTCCTAGTAACTAGGAGTTAACGACTTACTAAGTCCCCCCTGCCCCTCCAAGTAGACCCTAAACCCTCAACCCCATAGATCCCCTTAAGGACCTCTATATAGATCCCTATATAGATCCCTTTTTAAGGAGCCCTTCCAAGTAGGATTCAGGGCTGGGGTCTTAGGGCCATTATAACCCGCCTGGAGCTGGGTTCCCCTTTGGTTTGCCATTAAAACATGGAGCCCCCTACAGTAAACCCTAAACCCCTAAACATTAAACCCTAAACCCCTGGATTTCTTTATACAAGTCCTTAAAGCGGTAGTGTATGGGGTCCAGGTACTGCTTTAAAAGTTAATCTTAGTTGAGAAAGGCGGCAACAACACTACAAACAAGAAGTCCGGTGTAATGCGCGGATTGATGCGCACCAGTCGTGAACTTCGTTAACCCTCAACCCCAACCCTATGCCATTGTGAACTGCCTATAGAACCCTCTAGAATCTTTCATAGTCCCTCAGACCCTATCCTTAAATAAGGGCTGTGGGTGTCCCTGCGTCCTGAACTCGACATCCCAAACTGCCAGACCACAGGGATTCCCAAAAGCGTATGCTCCTGTATGGGATCTTAGAAGGGGCCCCCACCCTGTAATAGTGGCATAATAGGAATATAATAGGGCCCTAGTACAATCCTTATAGTCACGATTACAGGGTGGGGGCCCCTTCTAAATGGGATCTATTTCTATGAGGGCTTCAAGGTTCCTGTCAGGGCTCGTAAATGGGGTTCCGATGCAAGCTCCTGTGCTCCTAGCCTCTATAGACCCTAATGTCTAAACCGCAGAAGGCTTTCCTTCAAGGATTCCTTTGAAGGAACCCTTGTAGAACCCTTACAAGGGACCCTCATAGAACACTTGATGCAACTGTGCGGGCTTCCTAAAAGGGCATGCAGGTGCAAAGCAGAAGCTGGGAGGGACTGGCCCGAAATTCTCGCTACGCCGGAGGGAAGTCCTAGAGACTGCAAAAAACATCTCCGGGGTGTGAAGGTTTGGGCTGCAATATAGCACTATATGGAGATAGGTTTATCATTAGTTGTTCTATTGCTGTTACTATGGTGACCCTCAATGTACGTAATACTCTTATCAATAGTTAGTCGGAAGGATTTAGATTTGACGAGTTTCGGCTAAAGGGACCTGACATAGGGCTTTGTGTTTCATCGGGTCTACGTGAGCTCTGCAGGATTTCGTTGTTCCATAGGGCTCGGCGAGATGAATTATTGTTTAATCTTGGTCTAGGACTTTTTAGGAGGGCTTCAAACATAATGTAAGAGGGCAATGGATTTCGTGTAGCCCGGAGCTTACTTATGCAGTGAGGCTAATCAAAGGTATCCCGGGTTCGGGGGTTATGGTCTGGCTTTAGGGTTTAGTAGTTGTGTTTAAAGTTTATGAGGGTGTTAAGGTTTGGGGGGCTTCTGCCTCCTGATGCGTAGAGAGGTGGGTGAGACCGAGGGCATGCACAACATGCTGCTTTGGCAATTGCTCCGGCCCCAAAGTGCCCGCCGGCTGCTGAGTGGTCTTCGGTTCTGGGTCCTACGGTTGATGAGATAAATCCTGCGTTACAAATAATAAGGAATATACCATAATTCCCATAGTTTAGGGTCCTTAATTAAGGTATACCTTAAGGACCCTAAACTATGGGAATTATGGTATATTCCTTATTTGTAATGCAGGATTTATATCATCAACCGTACTTGCCGACCAATCTCGAGAGGGTTTGGGAGCTTTAGTATTGTCGATAGGACCATACCGACCAGAAAAAGGGAAGCATTGCATGCTCGGAGGTGACGTGATTGTTGACGACTGACGACATGAAGTTCGCCATAGTATATTATCTGTATCCTAAACCCTGAATATAGGGGCCTTAAAAGTTAGAATAGGGTTTTGGGGCTATATTATACTATAATTAAAGTAAGGAAACACCATAATAGTATTGATATTTAATTTAGGCCCCTACAGTAAACACTGAATCCTAAACCCCCCACGATCCCGAACCCTCAGATCCTAAGACCAGCAAGGAACTCTTATGAAATCGTGATACAAACCCCCTTGTAAACCCCGCGTATCAAAAAGACCCTAAGACCAGGTTCCACCCCGCGAGCCGGCTGGGGCATCGAAGGAGTCTGACAGGTTCAAGACGAGCGCCTAAGGTGACTGCACAGTCTCTGAGCCCAAGACAAGAGGCTTCTCACATCAGCATCTAACGTCTCCAGACCTATCACATGGGTACTGATCTAAATTAGCATCTCTGCCGTTCTCACCGAGAGCTGATGACATCACGACTTCATGTCCTATCTTCATTCCGCTAACGACCCTGATGCATATGTATATACATACACACATACATAAAACAAACAGACATGCATGTTATATCCATACACCCATCCATGCATGCATACATGCATATACATATATACTCCTTTTCACACATGTACATACATACATACATACTTACATACATACCCACATGTGTGTGTTGATTCTTGTGGTTTGTTTTATGGCTGGCTTGTCCTTGCCTTTATGGTACACGCTTATTACAGAAGAGTGACGTGATGTACTATCTTCAGCAACGATGACTCCACAACAACTCGATGTCAGAACCTTATTGAAGTAACATCTACCATGGAGCCTGCGAACGTAGAATATGATTTTGGGCTCATGGTTACAATGCAATAAAATGCAGTGATGGATCCTAAGCAACAATACTGCTAATGTCACAGGATCCCGTATCAGTGGACTTGGTGTGTCTTCACTCCCCTAAAGCAACAACAGCACATCAAAACAACCCGCACAGCCCAGTGGAATATGTTTCCTCATATGGGTGTCCGATTTCAGGTATCCTCATGATGCAGGGTTTAGCTTGCTGCTAGGTGTCAATTTCCAGTCAGTCACCGAAATTATTGACAATCAGGGCTCTATATTCAACAGTATGGAACATATAATATCCCAATTCGATACCTAGTTCAATCCCTAAAGCCCCTGATAGATCCCTTTTAAGGAGACCTTCACTGCTTGGTGTCTAGATGTCTAGACTCGGGTTTGGTAAGAGTGACCCTCGTAGTGATTTAATTATTAATTACTACGTCCCATGAGCCTTTAAGTAATTAAGTAACATACCCTAGACTAGAGAGCGACTGATCGCCTCACTTAAGCTATGCTGCTCAAGTCACAAAGACCCTCTAGGATGTGAGCTCGAAACAGAAATCTAGCAAGACCCTGATGCGAAAGACCTCTCTGGTGAGATTCCGATGCTGCCAGAGCTCGGCAATGATCGCTCTGTAGGGGCGGCTGAGGAATGTCATTTCTAGCTTCACAGGCCCAATATAACTAGTCGAGGGTTCCTTGCCCTCAGGGTACACTTCACCGTATACATATATTCATGTATATGTGTAAATATATATATACACATGTGTGCACATATCTGTGTATATATATATATATATAAAGACATGTACCCATATAGAGTATGGTTTATATTACTAGTATCCCCATAATACAACCCAATATATACACTCACCAACATTCAAAAGGAGCCCTATCTACACTCACCAAAATGGTAATATAAGCCCTACTTCATATATGTCCACATATAGACACAGATTTAGCGTTTGGGTGTTGGACCACGTCCTCGTTGCATATGAAGTAAGGCTGAGTAGGGTTCGGGTGTCGAGCTTAAGCTTCAGAGCTTTTTGTCTGCATTGGAGCATGGATGAACGATAGATCGTGCCGGGGTTCTCTCCACTTGACTCGACGAGCATGAACTAGTTCACGGTTGCGGTCGTATTAAACAATTTTGCATTTCTATTCCTTCTTGGTTCAAGCACCCAAGCAGATGCAAATAATGACAACCGACTTTGAGAAAGTGAAAGGTCAAGTTAGATCTAATGTTACCCTAAGGGTCCATGTACTGTACTCATAAAGTATATAAACTGGACTTTATAGTGGGTAATATGATCCCCAAAAGTATAGTGTGCATCCGCTCAGCTACTAAGAATCTCTTTTGCATCACACAGCCTCCCTTAGAAAGCATCAGCAATTAGCTGGCAAGGCTTTCTCCAGGTCCAGGAGGGCCGGGATCATGCCAGCGAGTACTGCCACTGCCTCCAAGGAGTGCGCTCGTGTCAAAACCCTAGACCCTGCTTGGAGGGGCAGGGGACTTAGCAAGTAGGCTCTAAGTACAGTTGCAAGTACCCTAAATGGAGTGACCCCAATTCTAACCCTGCTTATAAACGACTTACTGAGTCCCCTGCCCCTCCAAGTACACCCTTACATCTTCCAATCAGGCTACGAGGCTTAGAGCCAGCAGGCCTTGACCAGGGCATTTAAACATCTGAGGGGATTCTCTGTATGGTAGTTTCACATTGGATCATTGGCTTTTGCAAGGGTTCACAAGGTTCCGGGCCGCGGTAGGTACGTGCGCCGCTAACATGGCGGCACCTAAATCCTAAACTAACTACTCTGAAGTCTCGCTTAGAGGATCATAGGACTTAATAAGTAAGGTTACAAGTAGCTGCGATGCACTTCTGAATTATTCTGAGTGTAGTGAGCCACCTCATGTATAACCATTGTTACTAAGTCCCACGACCCCTTAAGCTCCAGACTCCCTCTAGATCTCTTGAAGGAGCCCTTTAAGTTAGTAGCGTTTCTCCCAACATATAGCCCAAATTAAAGTAATCTATACCTTACGTACTAATTCCTACGGGCCTCCAGGTAAGTAACGAGGATCCGGCTACTCGGTGTCTGTATTGGTGCCCTACTTGTCGGGTATCATGAGGAACTAAGGGTTTATTTTTTTTGGTTATATAGGGATTTGATAGGGACTATACTACCCAAAAAATGTTAAAGGCACCCTACTCTACTACTACTAGGGTGCAATGGGCAGTAATTATAGGGATTATATACGGACTATACTACCCAACAAGTTAAAGGTTCCCTACTCGACTACTACTAGGGTGCAACGGGCAGGCCTGTCCGGCAGCTCGTCCCCCACTTCTTGGGTGAGGCCGCGCTTCAGCTGCTCCTTCCACACCTGGTTTAGGGGAAGTTTACTTAAAGGCTCATGGGACTTAGTAAGTAAGCTCCTTAAAGGGATCTATAGGGATCCTTAAGGGGATCTATGGGGTTTAGGGTTTAGGGTCTTCTTAAAGGCTCATGGGACTTAGTAAGTAAGGTTATAAGTAGGTTATAATTAGGATAACCCCACTTAGCGGACTTATAACCCAAGTTATAACCTAGTTACTAAGTCCCATGATCCTTTAAGTAGGGTTTACCCGGTCCCTAGAAAACCTACTTTTTCAGGGTTCCATTTCCTTATACATGTCCGTTAAGTAAAAGGTAAGTTCTAGGGCCTCTGCCTCATGCAAGGGCTACACCACTTACAACATCCTTACAACCAAATCTCGAGGAGACTGTGCATGACACAGTCCGCCAATACTTTCAACACATTCCGGAATCCCCAAAGCCAAAGAACTGAACCGGCAGACTGCGCAGCCAGCGGCAACTATGGCGCCTAAAACCCTGAAGCCCCAAAGCTAAACCCTGAACCCCCTAACTGCACACTCACAAGCTTGTGCCCCAAACCCTAAACCGTAGAAGCCTCAACCCGAAACCCCGAACCAGACCTTCCAAAATCCCGTAATTGAGGAGTATACCTTAAATCATACATAGGAGAGATCCGACTGTAACCCAAGGTGTACTCCGAGGAACCTTATTATCGAACCCTATGGTACCCTTTAAAAGGCACCCTAATAAAGAGCCCGAAAGATCCCAAGGCCGCAGCGCTCTCCACATGTGGCTTCAACCAGAACGTGGCCCGGCCTGACGACGTAAGGAAAGTTTTTTTTCATTTTTTGTGGGACTTTTGAAGACGAAACAACAATTGCATTGTTTGTTCTTTTCCTTGTTTGTGGTACCTTTTTCCAACCTTTAAGGTTTGGAGGTTTGGGGTAGTCATAAGAGCAAGGTGCAATCATAAGAGGGTTCAGGGTTTAGGTTTGAAGGTTCAGGGTTGAGGATTGGGGATTATGGCTGAGAGTTTAGGATTCAGAAGGGTTATATATATATATATATATATATATATATATTTACACACCGTCATGTGTAATTGCATGTGTAGCATGGACAGCTGTTAGTTTGAAAGCATGTGTCCAGTGGAAGCCGACGGTAAAGCGAGTAACAAGTTGGAACTAATTAGGCAGAGGAACTGCCTGAATCGGCGGTGCCCCAGACTAAGGGCACTTCCTATGGATCCTATATCATTGCGAATCTATTTCTGGGTTGGTCATTTGCTGAACTTTCTAGCATAGGCCGTAGGGGACATCGCGCTGACAATCGCGAGCTCAATTTATCGCCCGCGTGAATACCCCAACGCATTACCTAAACCCTGAACCGCTACACCCTACAACGAAATTTAAAAGTACATATAACCCTCTGCAGATACAACCTATACGAGCCCAAAAGGCATGGCAAAACAAAGCTAACTGTGCTGCCCTAGACCCAGGACACGAGGAGCCAGCCTAGTGCACGCTGCGAAGCGTAATCCTTGTCGGATGGCTTGGTTTCTTATGAGGGTTGAATCATTGAAGGGCTCAAGTGACCAGGCAACTGAGCTCCCAGTCTACAAATGGGCTTGTAAGTAACTATCAGGTACAGTTACCCGAATAGCAGCGCTAGGTACTGAGTTACGCGATCTCTTAAGTAGTCTAGTACCAGTCATCATCAGGACCCCTTCGCCAAAGATCTCCTTAGCACCTACTCTACATCGTAGAAGTCGGGTTTCTGTTTCTTACAGGATCATGGGACTTAGTAAGTAGGCTATAATTGAATAATTGGGGTTATAAGTCCCTGAAGTGGGGTTATCCTAATTATAACCCATTTTATAACCTTACTTACTAAGTCCCATGAGCCTTTAAGTAGGACTTGCTATTATGGTTTGTGCCAGCTTATGCCTTCATAAACAGCCTGTAAAATCAAAATCTAGCAACGAAACCTCTCTAACAACTCTTAGTTGCTGAGTTCATAAGAACCAAAAAATGTACACTTTAATACTATCCCAAAAAGTGTAAAGTGTATCCACTCAGCTAGTAAGAACTACAGGTTGCTGTGATAATCATATACCCCCTTTCCCCGACCAAAAAGACCCATAAGACCGCACAGCCGACCGCCACAAGAAGCAACTCAGCCGGGGTGCTACAAGCCACGCCGGAAGCAAGGAGGAGGCCCTCAGTGTGACCTGCAACCGACTCCCAGCAGGGAGTGGGGGCTTGGGCTATACTTTAACCCCAAGCCTCAACCCTTAATGTAGGTGCCTGAAGAATTCTGGTGGTTGCTTATTGTAATTGTGGTATATCAGAACCCCAAATCCTATTCTTATTATTAAGGCCCCTGCCCTGTATTAACCCTCGAAGGTCTGGAACCACATCCGGAAACTTGAACTTGTTCTCCGGACCCCACAACTGAGATCCACGAAAGGGTGCAATTTCTTAAGCGGTGATGGGACTTAATTCGGGCTGTATTTAAAGATTCCGGGTTTAGGGTTCATAGTTTAGGGTTTAGGGTTCAGGGTTTAGGGTTCAAGGTTTAGGGTTCAGGGTTTAAGGTTTTGGGTTCAAGGGATTCCCTCCACCCCCGAACTAATATACTTTATAACCTGACATTGAAACAAGTCCCATGAACCTCCAAACTTGGTTTTAAGGGCCTTAATAACAATTGGAATAGAGTTCTGGGCATAGTTTGCCATAGCTAGAATAGGAACCACGAGGGATTACTATTGGTGATTATTGCGATCTCTAGACACACTTGCCAGTGTCTAACTGCAGCCACAATCTGCAACGCCCAAAGGTGTGGTGCATTCACATCGTGCATGCGTCTAGTTTCCGACACCCCATTTACAAGCATGATCCAACTTAAGTGTTCCATAGTTGCTTAGTACTCAGTGATACTGGCGCAAGTCTTTAGTTCTCCAAAGTAGGGCCCCTTTCTAGGTCCCAAGCTTAGTACGGCACCCCTATAAGAGGAACCCTAAAATGGAAAGGGTCCCTAATTTAAAGACCTACCCGTAATACGCGAAGACTGTCTGGCTAGATTGTACATGCTCTACTTCCCCCGCCTCGTGTAACCTGAATCAAAGCCTTGTCAACACCCGACAACACTTGAAGAGCATGCTCAGGAAAGCCCAAGTACTCCTCGTAGCCGTGCTGTGTGGTTAGCAACCTACAGTTCTTACTTGTCCAGCATCCTGGGGGAACTACAAGTTAAACTTGGGGATTTGTAACACCCTACTGAATGGCCACAGGGCCCTGAAGTGCGGGGACGGCCTGCAAGCTCACACGACACCGGTTTGGGTCGTCGGCTGCCTTTGACGGCTTCGGAGATGAAGGAGTGTGTGCGGAATTTAAGCCTTAGTGCGAATGTAAAACAGGTGAAAGGTACACCCCAAACTCCACCTTAACCTGTAGCCGAAAAAACCTACCTTTTTCAGGAACATATATAGAAACCATAATAAGGAACCCAAAAAAGGTAGGTCTTTCCGGCTACAGGAAGGTCTTGCCTTACCGGACTTTCCCGACCGTGGAGATCGTGGGGTTCGGGGATTGTGCTTTGTAGGCTTACTTAAAGGATCATGGGACTTAGTAAGCGTCCTTAAAGGGCTCTTTAAAGGGATCTATAGGGTTCCTTAAAGGGGTCTATGGGGTTTAGGGTTTAGGGTCTACTTAAAGGATCATGGGACTTAGTAACTGGGGTTATACATAGGGTAACTTTACTTATCCAGTAAACCCCATAAAGTTGGAAACCGGACTAAGGCCAAATATTAAAGTTGGAAACCGGACTAAGGCCAAATAGTGCCGGGATTCCCTATATATGACTCTTAAGGACTGAGGCTATCGGGTTTCCAACTTTTTGGCTTCTACTGTAATTACTACTAAACCTCACTTAAGGTACTTATCTAGGATACCCAGTAACCTAAGAATAAACAGGCCTCTCTTTTTGGTATTGGGTAACTTTATAAGGAACCTAGGGCTACAAAAAGGGAATAAGGGTACTACTGGGCATCCTAGTTATAACCCTACTTACCAAGTCCCATGATCCTCCGAGTGATGCTTCGGGCCTCAGATATCGGGCTTAGGTTGCTTCCTCGATGATCGTTTAGGGTTTGGAGTTTAGGGTTTAGGGTTTAGGGTTTAGGGCAAGGGACACAGCAATCATGATCACCCAAGGGTTGATGTAGCCGAATTAATTACCCAGACCTTCCAAAATCCCTGAGGCATTTTGCTGAATTTTAGTAATTGCCGCAGGCATTCTACTGATATAATTAGGGGATGCTGCCAAGGTCTGGGTAGATCCCTAGACTATCGAGAAGAAGCATAGCCCAGCAGTCCTGAACACTGAAAGCTGGAATGCGCCGTGTCTATAGAAGCTTTCTGCAGCACTCTGTAACACCTGCCCTAGGGGTCCATGTACCCAAATAGTAGATAATTTTGGTCCAATGTACCTATATAGGGACTACTGTAAGGCTAAAGTACATACTAGTTGGGTACATGGACCCTTAGGGCTGTCGAACCCTCATAACAGCATCTCAAGACAACACACACGCCCTAAAGACCAACACGACTGCTTTCAAACCATAGCACATAACCACCAGAACCCTAAACCCTAAACACAACGACTGCACACCCGACATCCTTAAAGGTCCAAGTGCCTAAACTCACGTACCCCCTCCCTCCGAAGGGTAACCTAACCTACACACCTCCCATGTAGATGTATGTAGATGTATCCCCAGTATAATCTACTATTTGCAAAAGAACCCCCAAAAAATAAAAAATATATTCCTTATGGGGGTAATATAGGGATTATTATTTTTATTCTTTGGGGGTTTCTTAAGCAAATAGTAGTAATGGGTCCTTCGGACTTCTGACCCTTAGGGAAGCATCACGAACCACGGCCTGGGTCACTGTCCAGAGGCCGACAGCCTCAGCAGGGGCTGCGTGAGCTTCTGTCTTTGCTTCTCGCGACGTTTACAGTAGGGGCTCAATAATCGAATAGGGTTTGGGAGCTCAATATTATGATAAGGGTATAGTATACCCCCAAAACCTATTCTCAGTAACAGCGCTATCACCCCACCTCAGAACCAGATGTTTGATTCCTAAACTTCCCGATGCCTCGTTTAGAGTTTAAGGCTTAGGGTTGAGGCTTCGGGATCTAGAGATAAACCAGATGCATGACCACTACACTGCTACACCCGACTAGGAGGACCATAGGACTTGGTAAGTAATTATAGCATATAAGGTGTTAAGTTACAACTGCCTTTATTATCGGGTGTGTAAGCAAGTATAAGTGTAGTTATCCTAGTTACTAAGCCCCTAAATCCTCTAAGGACGCCCTCGAGCCTCTTTGAGCACCAGCTTCCCGCAAGACGGGTGAAGATTGAAGGCCACCTCGGTACCCAGAGACTCCAACATCCCTTAATTAAGTGAGTATTCCTTAAATCATATTCGGGATCCTACTATAATTTAAGGTATACTCCTTAACTAAGGGATATTGGAGTCTCTGGGTACATTTAGGGCGGGCTTAAGGCTCCATGTACCCATATAGTAGATACTCAGTAGAAGCCAGAAAGTTGGAACATCATGATCCTCCTGGTATTTGGCTTGGTATCTGAACAAGCGGAACTGGCATGCCGAGCATGATCCTCATTCCCCTAATGTAAAGTAGAGGGAATCCTAGCACTAATCATCCTAATTTCATGTTCCAACTTCCTGGGGTTCACTATAAGGGGGCTTCTTTGCAGGGATAATGGGACGTACGGTTGATGATCTATAAACCCTGCATTACCCGAATGACCCTAGACTATGGGAAGTAGCTCCAGGGCTTAAGGGCCTCATTCAAGGATCCTGGGACGTAGTACCTGAGATATGACTGTGGAAACTATACTTCCAGTGCCCACTTAAGTCACTTCTAACATTACTTAGTAAGTACCTTAACCCCACGTAACCTACCTTTTTAAGGACTTATATAAAGAAATCATATTAGGGAACCCTAAAAAGGTAGGTTCCCTAGGGTCCAGGTAAGTCCTGCGAAACTCCAAGTAAGAGATTCTTTACTCGCTTCTTTCAAGGCCTTTGGGTTGCATCTCCCCAGACCTTGCCTACTATTTGCTTAAGAACCCCCAAAAGATAAAAAAAAAAATATATTCCTTAAGGGGGGTAATATAGGGATTATGTTTTTTTATTTTTGGGGGGCTTCTTAAGCAAATAGTAGTTGCTTAATCCTTTAAGGTAAAAGCCAGAAAGTTGGAATATGATTATCCAAACCCCTCTATGGTAAATTATAGGGTATCCTACCATGAAACCATATTCCAACTTTCTGGAGTTCCCTGTAATTAGGAATATACCTTACTTACACTACAATAGGATCCCAACTATGACTACTTAACGGCTCATAGGACTTAGTAAGTAGGGTTAGAAGTGGGTTATGATTAGGATAACCCCACTTAGGGGACTTATAACCCCAATTCCAACCTACTTACTAAGTCCCATGATCCTTTAAGTAGAACCTAAACCCTAAACCCCATAGATCACTTTAAGGAACCCTATAGATCCCTTTAAAGAGCCCTTTAAGGACCCTTACTAAGTCCCATGATCCTTTAAGTACAGGTCTATTCCTCAATCAAAGGGTTTGGGGGAAGGCCTGGGTTGCGCCCACTCACAATTGAATCAACGGGGAAAAGGAGGGACCCTTAATGGGGACCCCTACCCTACAATGGGTTATAATAATGGGTATATAATGCTTATATAAAGGGGCATATACCTAGGGGTCCTTATTAAGGGTCCCTCCTTTTCGCCTTGGATTGAAGGCCGCCTTGGCGTAAAAAGACTCCAAAGTTCTCCGGCTTGCCTAAGATTTCCTGTGACTTAGGACCCCAGTCATAATTACCTAAGCCCGACATCCTAAACACTGTAGAAGAATTGGACCCTACTTATAACTTAAAGCCCTGCTTTTACGAAGGTTGCCCGGCAGCCCCCCCTGACCGGGTATCACTTTTTCCTACTCTTGGTCTCAAGACCAGGAACGGACCCCCTAAACCCTAAACCCAACGAGAAGGGCAGAGCGTAGCAACTACTGGGGGAACCTAGTTTCGCAAGACCTTGAACGGCTTTATGGGTTTAGGGTCTAGGGTTTAAGGGTTTAGGGGTTTAAGGTTTAGGGGTTTAGGGTTTAGGGGTTAGGGGTTTACGGTTTAGGGTTTAGAAGTTTAGGGGTGAGGGGTTTAGGTTCTAGGGTTTAGGGGTTTGGGATCGTGGTCTAGGTCTTTTACACCAGGCGCCTCATGAGGTAAGGTCTAAGGGGCCTAAGGGGTACGACTGGCGGCAGGGCTAGCTTAAGGATCTTCAGGATTTCCCTGCACCCTAAGAAACCTACCTTTCTAGGGTTCCTTAATATGATTTCCGTTATATAGGTCCTTGGAAGGATAGCTTATCTGGGGCTAAGGTAGGGTTGTTGAATTTCGCAAATGATCCGGCGTCAAGCTTTCTTTGGGGGTGTTAGGAGTCTGAGACTCAGGGAGTTTTGAGTTAGAAGTTAGGGCCGCGGGACCGAGACCGAATCAGACTGTGACGACAGCATGATTGTGGCACACATGGAACACAGCACCACGGCCGGAGTCTGGAACTGACAGAGTGTGTCGCGCGTCGCGAGTTATCAAACCCTCCTTTTGCTTCGTAACAGAAAAGCCCATGGTGTTAACACACTGTTTGGAAAACTGGACTTCCAAGTAAACGATAGGCGGAACCATACATAAGCCATGAGAGCACATGGATGCTCAAAAAACTAGGTGCCACTCATCGGGACTACTAATGTCTCGACGAGCAACGGTCTTTGCGGCAACGTCCACTTGGTGGACGACCGAAATGTTGAGCCAGAACCTGCTTCTTGCAATCGTCCAGGCTCTTCGGAGTTTCAGGGCAGGGTGGACTTTTAAATCGGAAACATCGGAAAGGCAAAACCGCTAGGCCAATCTAGAGGCTTCTAAACCCTAAACTCTATAGATCCCTTTAAGGAACCCTATATAGATCCCTTTAAGGTTCCCTTTAAGGGATCCTAATTTTTGAATATTCAATTTAGGGACCTGGGTCCGTTTCTACACGACAACATCCCGTACTGACAAATATTCCCCCTTTCTCAGCTTTTTGCATGGCGTCTTCGCTGGCACTACAGCCACTACATGCCAGTATGGGCCCTTAACCCTGGGATCCTTATATACCTATAATATACCCTATATAGACTCTTAAGGTTCCCAAGAACTCCTTCAAGAAGGTCTAAGGGTCCATATGAGGGGCCCATACTGCCAAGCCTACATGTGTTTCGAGCACGAAAGCGAGAGGATTCACTGGACCTTGGGGTGCGGAATAAGGGGAGTATAATTACCACCTTATCCCTACGGGTCCAAGTACCTTACGTTCATATACTCTTCCAAGTACTAGCCTACATTACTACTATCCGAAACCTAAGTACCGGATTATTGGGTTCCTTGGGATTGAAGTATCAACACAGATTCCGAACCGAACTTTATGAATAGAAGCTTGCCGCGCTGAGCCTTGGCCCCCAGGGGCCCAAAACCAAAGAAGCCCTCAAAGCCCTGGCCCTGCATCCCTGATGTAGGGGCCGGAACAATTTGACTACACCGTTCCTGGCGACTCTGACTGGTGGCTCCGCTCCTTGCTGAACTTGACGACCTCGTCGGGTCGCTGCACGGTGCCCAAGCATGTGCCATCTAGCGAGCTCAGCCGATCAAGGGCCCTGCACAAGAAGCCCGTCCATCGTCAGCCGGCCCTGCTGTTGAAGAGCAGTGCGGACGGCAGCTCGGAGTTCTGGTTCGTACTGTCGCCTGCTTGCTCACACTTCGCACAAGGCATCTGAAGAACAGGTTCGCGGTTGATGCCGCTGAGCCAATCGGCAATGCCGTGGTAGGCCACTCGCAAGTGGCAAAGGGGTTATGCACATTAAGCGTCACTGAAAGTGTTGTCAAGCGAACCTGCCCTTCGGCTCGGCATTTGGGATTTTCTGTGCTGTAGCGAAAAGGACCCCAAAATACGGAGTGTTGGCATTATTTTGGCCCATGTATTGAGCGTAGAAGGCCTAAGCCATGTAAACCCTATATGGGTAACTCTCTAAATTAGGGTCCCTTTTAAGTCCCAACATATAAGACCCCTTACAAAAAAGCGAACCTGAAAGGGACCCTTAGTTACAGAACTTCGCATATGACAGGCGCATATGTGTTTAGCTTCTCCTCAAGCCCTAGAGCCAACTAATATAGGGGCCTTAATAATTAGAATAGGGTTCCGGGGTTATAATATACCATGATCATAATGAGGAACTCCCGCCAAAAACATACGGTTGATGACTATGGGTATTATGCTGTATTCCTTCTGATGGGCAACGCAGGATTTGCATCATCAACCGTAGTGTAGGTAATTAAAGAAGCCGCTATACTAGACCGCCAAGATTTGATCACCTTAGCTTGACAGAACCTACTGTCGCAGATTTTTTTACGAGCCCTTCCCAGGGTTTAGGGCTTAGGGGTTTAGGGGTTTAGGGTTTAGGGGTTTAAGGGTTTAAGGTTTCAGGGTTTAGGGCTTCGGGTTTAGGGTGCCCCCGATACAAACTTACCCCGAGGCTCCAAACACAGCAGCCCAGAAAGGCCGAAAGCCTTGCAGTCAGCAAGGAAACACATCCGGAAAGCCCGAGAATCCAGTGAAGTGCCCTGAGCCATCGGTCGCCCACATGTAACCCCAAACGATAACTCTCCTGTTGAAACACAACATCCCATGAAAGCTTCACAAGATCCCGTAAAGACATCAACCATGCAAATAAATCCAAGGGCCTGGACACTTTATAGTCCGCTTCAACGTGATAGTGGCCTGCACAAGTGTGGAGGAAACCCTCAGATGAAGCAAACAGGGCTTGTCAGGGTGCATGATGGCTCACAGATGCTGTGTAAGGGGTTTGTAATATCCAGGCCAATAAGAAGATGCTTTGTAAGGGCTGTACAAGGGATTCTAACAGCGCTGTATATGGCTGTGAAACGAAGAGTTGGCAACTTCACGCCCTACCGGGACCCCAAATATCCTACCTTCTTAAGGACTTATGAAGAAAATAATGATAAGTAACCAAAAGGAGGGTTTATAGTGTCCAAGTAAACTCGATTCTCCTGCACATTAGGCTTCTTTGCTATGGTCCGTTATTTCTGAAGTTCCCATGCCAATGTAAAGATATGACGTGCTGAGCGGCCCTAAGGGTCCATGTACCCAAACAGCAGACACTTTTAGTCCAATGTACCTATATAGGGGCTACTGTAAGGCCAAAGTATATACTATTTGGGTACATGGACCCTTAGGGCGGGCCCCTGTTTCGCAGGGCTGGATAGAGGAATTTCAGTACTGTCTGAAGTTGAGGCAAGACTGAATCCCCCAGAACCCTAGACCCTAAACCCCCAAACACCCTAAAGCCCCTCAAAAAGCCCTAGAATCCATGCTGCTCCTCCCAGGTCTTCCTTTGCAGATGGGTTTCAAGAAGCCCTCATGACCCCAAAGAATTACTAGTACCGGCCTCGGTTGTAGCTTTTGGACCGCACGTCCGCGTGCCGAATTACTGGGATCATCTGCGGATATTCCTGACCAGGCGACGGGTTTGAGGGTTTACCTATAGTCTCCATTGTAGTTCATTTTTTGGGTTGACCAAAATCGCTATTATAAGGTCCTAACCATAAGACTGCTTAACCAAAAAAAGGAACTACACTGGAGACTCTAGGTAGGGTTGGAGCTTCAGGTCGTTGAAGTCATTTAGCATTTAGGTTTAGGGTTTAGGGTGTAGGGTAGGGTTTAGGGCTCACAACTTGAAACGGTACTCGTGGACCCTGATCGGGCTCAGAGAATTGCACCTTCGGGGCTTCGCGAAGTGAAACCCTTGAAGCCGAAACCCTAAAGCCCAAACCCCCCAAACCGCGAAACCTCTAGACCCTAAACGTCCCTGAACCCTATAGGGGAACCCCATATACCTATACTCTCCATTGTAATTCCCTTTTTTGGTTAACCAGTTTTATGGCTAGGATCCTAAAATATAGTTTTTGGTTCACCAAAAAAGGAACTACAATGGAGGCCAAAGGTAGTACCCTGAATAGTAGGATCCTTATCATAAGGACCCCCAAAATAAGGTACCCCTCAATCTGGGAAGCTTCCCCCTGACCTCTAAGCCCCAAAACCCTAAACCCACAGGCCTGAAACGATCGTAGCCTGTCAAGGGCTACCTCGGAGTTGCCAGGCTTCTGCGGACGGCACTAGGAGCTTCATGGAATTTAGCAAGTAAGGCTTTGGGCTTCTTAAGGTTTCTACGAGGGTGCTATAAGAGATCTATAGGGTGTTTAGGGTGACACGATAAGCATTCGACCCCTGATTGATGCAAATCTCCGCACTTTCAGGCTCTAATGTCGAACGTGAGGCTGGCATGACATGAAAATCGACCAACAGCGCTACCAGTTCACGCTCACGAACTCTAAACGCTGAACCCTAAACCATCACACCCTAAACCGCAACCCTTAGTCTAAATCCGCAAACCCTACTTAGAGGATCATGGGACTTAGGAAGCAAAGTTATAAGCACCTTAGCTGAGGTTACAAGTAGTTACAACCATAGCCACCGTGTTTATGAACCTACTTACTAAGTCCCATGATCCCCCTCCGTACACCAAATCCCTCCCTATCCTCAAACTCAATCCCTAAACCCCATACCCTAAAGTGCGAACACCGAAGCCCCAAGAGGGGCCTCGGACCGATATGAATCCCAAAGCAAGGCTGAACATTCATCAGGCACTATAACCTGTCACACTACTACACTACACTATAACATGCGATAAGATACTATAAGTGTAACATAGTACAAACTGCTAAAAGCTCCGTGAACCCTGCACCCCAACAGCCTTAAAGCCTCAATCCTCAATCTTCGCTTTGAATCCAAAGGTGACGCAGTCTCCTCGAAATCTAGGTTTTATAGCAGGGGCCGTAGTAGCCCCTTAAGAAGGGTACCCCTTCTCCTACTAATTAAACTGGTTTTCAAAAGGGAACCCAAAAGAAAAAGGGCAAAGGGCAGAAGGGTAGCACTGGGGAACCTAGGAATTCGAATGCCTCTCCTTGAACCTTCCGCGAAGACTGCATTTACCCTGGAGTGCCAAGGCTATTGGGGCCGAGACAGTCCCACATCTCGCACGTGAGCATGTTTGAGATAAAGAACGCTCATACAGAAAACGCAACACACGGGATGTAGAGTTTTCAGCGAGGGATAGGGAGAGCGAAATTCAAGTACAGTTGGCAATTAGAAATCCAACCTGATAAACATGTAGCCTAACCCCTAAACTCTTGTAGTGACCCCCGGAAAGCTGGAACATGGATTCAGGATGATTTGTGCCAGAATTCCCTTATATTCGACCTTAAGGGCGTGAGGATAATGATGTTGCAACTTTGTGGCTTCTACTATAAACCGTTCTGAGTCCATGGCAAACCACGGAGCATCCACATCAATCACAACTGTACCTGCAACGGAGTCCCTGGAAGAGCAGATGCCCAGAAATTCCAAGACCCCTGAATTCATAGGAGTATATCGGAAGTCATACTAGAATTCCAAAACCCTTTAGTATGAAGGTATATACCCGAAGTGAAACTAGCACTCGTAGTCGAATTTAAGGCATCTTCTTTGAGTAAGGTCTGGGAATTTCTGGGTACCTATGCAGTACTGGGTAATATACGGTGTGTCTATAAATGAAAACCAATAACTTACTTGAAGGATCATGGGACTTAGCAAGTAGGGTTCTGAAGGAGGTTTCTACACTTATAATTGCAGATCAGCCCAATTACCACACGCCTAACCGTACTCCCTAATGCCTAAGTCCGATGATCCGCCAAGTACACAGGTAATCCCAAAACCTCATTAGGGAATATATTCCCGACAATGCAAAACTTCGAAATATGACAGAGGGCCTATGTGACTGTGACATCTGGTCTATTCCTTTGCGGGATTCTAAAAGTCTGGCGTACTACATAGTTAGGTGTCCGGGCTCATCGCGATAGAGGGCTTCGGGCATCTCGCCATTGGCTTAGCCAAGATCTACTTATGGCTTGTGGGGTTGATTGAAGGGATCTGCCAAAGGTTGAATATAGGGGCTCTTAGAATTTCAATAGGGTTTTGGGGCGTATTATACTATAACTATAGGTAATTCTTCTACAAGAAGGGGGGTCAAGGTTCGGATTAGGCTTTAGGTTCTAAGACCTAGGATTTAGGGTTTAGGGTCTTGAAGGACTCAGTGAAGAAGACATGCGAAACTTCACAACGTCCTCAGCATTCCTTCTCTCAGGGTTTATGGTTAAGGACAGCCTCAATGCCCACTGCCTGAAGCCTCTAGAGGGGCCCACATCGTTGGAGCGGGGCGCCCGGGTATAGTACGCAATCTATAACATGACAGGGCCCATGTAGCAAGAGTGCAAATATAGAAGCCCGCATAATTTACCAACAACTTTTCGCAAGGTTTGCCATCACATAAGTATACTGAAATAGTTGAGAGCCATGTATCAACCGCTGACGCCTCCTATTCTCCCCTCAGCCCATACATTCCAAAACTTCAAGCATACCTCTCTGTAGCTTCTCAGGTGAACTGGCTGCCTGAAATCCGCAACCCCAATCCATAACCCAGACCCCCGGGAAGATCTAGAAAGTAGATCCCCTAATTTGGGGCCCTATACTACTAAGGGTACTTTATAGGAACACCCATTAAGGGATCTACTTTCCAGATCCTCCCGGGGGTCTGGCAATGCCTACACCAACACCACAGCGTGCGTCCACCAAGATTTCACAAAGTGTGAGACAATGCAAATACGCGCCGGCCAACGAGTGGTGTCTCTTCCCAAAGGGTCCAAAGTAGCTTTATAGTAGAATGCAGGGTTTCTATACTAAGAACTACTATTATGATTTGGGGAAGTATCCTCCATAACGGTACCTTGGACCCTCTAAGCTTCAATGCCACCACCGACCGGGGAAAAAGTCTGCAGTTCCCCTGGCCTTGCCTCGGCGCATTCTCCTTTGGTCCCACACCCAGACCCCCGGGAGAATCTAGAAAGTAGATCCCATAAAGTACCCTTAGTAGTATAGGGCCCCAAATTAGGGGATCTACCTTCTAGATCCTCCCGGGGGTCTGGGACAAGGAATTCAGGCAATGTCGAAAAGGATGTCGGTGAGAATGGTTGATCTAAGGCCACAAGCCCACCGCGACTTGCGAGCAGATCCGTGGCAATGCCCCTGCCGGAAAGAGTGCATCACCCCCCGCCCCCCTAAGACCTCGAGCCCTAAACAACCTACAGTTTTAGGGCTCCATATTATGAAGTCCCAATCAGGACATAAGTTAGAAAGGTAGGTTTTTCAGGGGAAGGTATGGTTTGACAGCATCAAGACATTCAGAAATCGGAGCTGACGATTGAAGTACCGTATGGAGGAAAAACAGCAGTTAGACAAGGGTGGTGTGCAAACTTATGGGAACAGAGCTACGACTTAGGGTCTAGGGTTCAGAGCCCAAACAGCAATAACAGTAATACATGGAAATCCACCGTCCCCCATCTAAGCCTGTCTCCTACCAAGAACCTCCAGTGTACCCTGGGTAGCACCTTCTATTGCCTTTGATACTTAAAGGATCATGGGACCTAGTAAGTAGGTTATAATTGGGGTTATATGTCCCCGAAGTGGGGTTATCCTAATTATAACCTACTGCTAAACTTACTTACTAAGTCCCATGAGCGTTTTAAGTAGTGGGTATCTAGAATCCACTAAGTTGTAGTTTGAGGCATCTAGGTATGATTCACCTTTTTGCTAAGCATATCCACTGTTTAGCCCGAGCTAGCAGACCCTCAGGGTCCATGTACCCAAATAGTACATAGTTTGGCCCCGATGTACCTACAAAGGACTACTTTAAGGCCAAAATATATACTATTTGGGTACAGGGACCCGTAAACCCTAAACCCTAAACCCTAAATCCTAAACCCAAAACCCTAAACCCTAAATCCTAAACCCTAAACCCTAAATCCCTTATAGAACCCCTTAAAGGAATCCTTTCAAGTACGCCTTTTTTGGGCACATGGACCCTTAGGCAGGGAGCGCCTGTTCCTTTCCTGCCGTGGACCTGCTGCCTGGGAAGCCCAAAGGGTTTAGTGTTTAGGGTTTAGGGTTTAAGGTTTAGGGTTTAGGGTTTAGGGTTTAAGGTTTAGGGTTTAGGGTTTAGGGCCTGGGAAGAGCCGATGTGCTTCCCAAAGGGTTCGAGGTACTGCTACTGGACCTTGAAGTAACCAGGGAGAAAAGTCTAGACGCTTATTTCATAATGGTTCCTTTAAGGAACAGGTACCCGCAAAAAGCATTCAAAACTTAAAGGGTTCCTTCAAGGAATCTTTCAGAGTTGTCTAAAATTGGGCGCTTTAGGGTTACATAAAGGATAATGGGATACAGTAGGGGGCACTTCCTCAAATTATAATGGTACTTCCTATATAGAAACCCTACCTTCTACTGTAAAGGAGCTTTGGACCCTTTGGGCTTGAGGTTTGCGGATGGAGCTTCCTGTCTTACCGTGAAGACCTAATAAGTCGGTACTTAAGTTCAGTATGGTAGTTTTGTAGGTTAGTCTTGGCTGTGCTCTGAACCCTCCTATAAACGTTAAACTTTTCGCCTCCTGATTATGGTTCATATAGAAGCCCCACAAGTTAGAGTCCTAAGAGCCAACCAGAACAACGCCAAGATCAGTGTTCAGTATTTCGAACCCTTAGATGGGGCCCCCCAAAAAAGCACAAAAGCAACAATGAGGATAGGGATATCTCATATAGACCCCCTTAAATTGAAGCCCAATAAGGTAGGGATACTGTTGATGATATAAATCCAAACAACAGATTCGCGAAAAAGTCATCAGGCTTGTGTCCCCAAATTGGCAGGGCACCCTTATAAAACAAACCATGAAGGGGACCCTAGTTTCGAGAACTACCCGGGCGAATTCGGCGTTACTGCTTAATTTAGGGCTTAAAGTTTAGATACGAGCTCTCTGAAGGTTTTGACCTTCTTTTAAGGTGGCATGAGACTACGGTAGCATAAAGGACCTCTCTGGCTTGAGATTACCCCGTCGAATGTAGAGGCTCTCATATCTAGACTAGGGTTTGGGACTAAGTAGAATCATAGTACAAAAAACCTTCAAAGCCTATTCTAATTATTAGGGCCCCAACATCTACTATTATGCAACTTTACTATAGACCCGTCATAGAACCCTTTCGGAAAACCTTAAAAGAGCCCAAACTAATTATTAAGGCCCCTACATGACCTTGAAACATTCCGCCTTTTTGGGGCACATTGACTCAAGGGGGCTTGGGTACTCGAAGGATCATACGACTTTTTCTTGGCTGACTTCTGAGCCCCTTCTGCAAGTTGAACTTTTGGCCTCCTGGTTTTAACTCATATGGAAACCCCAGAAGTTAGTCCCAAGAGCCAACCAGAAGAACGAAAAGTTTTACCTAGACCCTAAGAAGCCTACCTTTTTAAGGCTCCTTTATGTGACTTCTTTGCACAAATCCTCAAAAAGGTAGGTTACTTGGGGTTAAAGTAGTAGCTATATTTACAACTGTTTATAACCCAAGTAAGGTACAACTAACCTCAGTTTCTCAGTCCCATGAGCCTCCCAATCACGTAGTTTAGGTGCGGCCCGAAAGCTCGACATGTGTACTTAAAGGCTCATGGGACTTAGTTAGTAAGGTTATGAGGTAGGTTATAAAAGCGGGGACTTGTAACCCCAACTATAACCTACTTATTAAGTCCCATGATCCTTTAAGTAGTGCTTACAGTTCCGAGTTTGGGGGTCTTGAAGGTGTGATTCCACAACCACTCGATCGGCTATTTTGGCCCCGTACACCCTAAACCCTACACTTTGAACACCAAACCCTAAATCCTTCACCCCCTGAGCCCTAAATTACCTAAAACCCTAAGCCTCAAACCCTCATGCCCAAATCTTACACCCTGAACCCTAGACCCCCAACCCCTAAACCCTAAACCCCTAAACCCGAAACCCCTAAACCCGAAACCCCTAAACTCTATACCCCCTAACCCCGAAACCCCTAAACCCCTAACCCCTACCCCCAAACACAAAGCTGTCGGCCTCTGAACAGCCTGTCCTTGGCTAAGTCGGAGCTCCTCCTCCTGTGACCGTTCGGAGCTTCGGGCTTCTATAAGGGCATTCATAATTAAAATACTGATCCCTTTAAAGGGGGTTTAGGGTTTAGGGTTTAGGGCCTTCATAATTAAAATACTGATCCCCTTAAAGGGGTCTGCAAGGGCTACTGCAAGGGATCTCTAATATAAGGGTCCTGTGACAGATCGGAGCTTCCTGGTACTACTAACCCCCTTTAGGGTTTAGGGGTTTGGGGTTTAGGGTATTAAGCTTCACCAACTGAATGAAATGAATGAAGCTCAATGGTTTTGGGGCTCATAGGCTCTGATTTTGGGGTTCGGGGGTGAGGGTTAAGTATATGTGTATGTATACATATACACAAAACAAGTACCCATCTGGATATATATATATATATATATATATTCCTATGTATACTGTACGCATATATACATACATATAAATATGCCAGTACTGCTACTACTAACTATAAATATTGTTATTGTTATTCAGTTTCTGCTGCTATTGAGATGATTAGTACATGTACTTTTGCTATTTTCGATAATGGTACTGCTATTCATCTTATTCTATATTTAGATGGTGTATGCAAAAACCCGGAATCCAAGCCCCTAGAGTTCTTGCTTAAATCGCAAGAACCCCGTCAACCTCCATGCCACCTTGTGCAGTCTCATGTAATACACCGGTGGGAGTTTCCGAAGATAAGGGACCCGAATATAGTGCCCTAGATAGAAGGGTTCTAACAAAAAGACACCAAAGTAAGGTACCCCTAATTTTCGGAAACTCCCAGGTGCCCAAATACAAATCAAGCATAGTCATGCCTGCTTCTTTCAACCTCGGAAACTTCCATTGGCTAGGGATTGTTTGGTGAGCAGTGGCATGTTGTTAGGAAGCATACTATACGGGCCTAAATCATAACCAATGCTATTTTGAGGCATCCTTTCCGTAGATATAATATAGAATAATATACCCATCTCCTATCCTATTTATCAAGGCTCCTACACTAAGTTTCCTCGAATTCCTCATTGCCCTGAATACTGAACCCTTAAGTTCAGCCCCAGACCTGTAGCCCGAAAAACGGTTGCCCTAAAGCTGCTAAGAAGTAACCCTAAGGCTCCATGTACCCACAAAAGGTCGAGCAGCTTACCCGCTCCATAGAGACACCGCTGCATCAAGTTAAATACATTTTTACTATCGTTTTGAAGGGAAGTCCCTAGACACGCATGTCCTTTTTCTTAAAACCAAGCATTCTGGAACTCCATCTCCAGACATCTCAACCCAGCAAGGCACAGTCTTGAAATGCCCAAGGAGTACAGCTCCATCCAGAATGGTACACATGTCATCTGCCTGCTTGAGCTTTAGCTCGGCACTCGAGTCTTCCTCATCAAAGGCCTGCACGCAAGCAGTAAACACAGGCACCAACAAACGGTGCAATCTGGCCTTGAACAACCTGTGCGCAGAAAGAAAACGAGGTAATGCCAGATTGAGCTGTCATCCACTCTCAGCAAGCATTCTGCGCCCCCAGAAATCTGCATGACTCTGCAGGGCTCCGGAGTTGGTTCAGCCGTAACATGTCTCAGCTGCAGAAGAGTTTGGAGTGCAGCCTCCAATCTGGCCCCTGACAACATAATAGCGCAGCATCAAGCATGTGAAGTCACTGGAGTACAGCAGTAGGTGGTTCCAACAGCCGAGATTCCTGGGCTTGCTGCTGACGTTTCCGTAGCCGAGCTTGTTGAGCTTCGCTCGAGGAGCGCCCATCCACATGGAGCCTTTGGGTAAAGCATCAACCTACTTAGAATTGCCCAAACTACTTTTTTGTGTGGCCCCCTTGCATTCTCTTGTGGCCCTGACTGGGTTGTGGTTTTTCAACCCTGTACAGCCAGCAACAACTCCAACACACCCTTACAAAAACGGACCCTGCTTTAGAGAACTACCCATATTGAACCTTCCAGTAACTCTACGGAACCCTAAAAAGGACCCCAATTCAGAGAAGTACCCATATCATGACAAGGACACCCCTAAACCCCAAGCCCTACCGTAACCCCAAGTACCTTTTTAGGGACTTGCATAAGGAAATTCAATTAAGAAACCTAAAAAGGTACGTTTCTTAGGGTGAACCCTACAATGAAAACCCCTAAATCCTTCTAGTCCCCTTACAGAAACCCTTATAGATCCCTTTAAGAAGCCCTTAGATTAGACTCTGACTCACCGAATGCACCGGATCTCTTTCGACCTCCGAAGTTAAGCGGTGGAGAGCTCGCCTAGTACTGGCATGGGGGACCGGCTGGGAAGCGCTTAGGGTGCTGTCAGCTTTCATACGACTGGGACACCCCTAAACCCTAAACCACCTAATCAAACGCCAAACTCCTAAACCTTAAACTCCGAAACGCCTAGCCCTAAACCCTAAACTCCGAAACGCCTAGCCCTAAGCCCTAAGCCCTAAACTCCTAAACCCGAAGCCCTAAAATGATCACGGGGACGCCTGAGTCAGCACGACCGGCTCCGACTGCTGCGCAACAACCTGCGCGCGACATTGGAGAGTGCTCTGGGGACTCAGGGATTTAGTGGTTTAGGGCTTCAGGTGTGTAATTAGCGCATTAGTATTAGGGTTAAGGGGTTTGGGGGGCTTCGGGTCTGAGGCGCTTAGGATGTAGCGGATCAGGGGTTGTCAAGTTGAGGGGGTTTAGGGTTTGCGTTGAGGCGTTGAGTGATTAGAAAGTATTGGGTCTCATACCATAGGGGCCTTAATAATTTATTAGAATAAGGTTTCGGGCCCATTATACCAGAATTATAATAACGAACACCCAGAATAGTATTGGTACTTATTTAGGCTATAATGCCTCAGGGGGTTTGGTTGGAAGCATGCCAATTGAACGACTGCTCCTATTCTGATCACGGACGCCCCAATGGACCTTTACAACCGTGTTTTGCTATGCAGGGGTCCGTGCCAGCTTAAGGTCCAAAGGCTCCATGTGCCTTGATAGTAGATACTTAAGCCGTAAAGTGGTCCCTATATTATAGGTACTTCAAGGCCTACGTATCTACTATATGTACATGGAGCCTTAGGGAATGCAGTTAAAACGCGGTGCGGCCATGGACGGGTCGAAAACACCACCCGGCAAGAAGTCGATCACGACGTCTGCGTTGCTTGGCCGAGCTTCCAAAATCTCATATATCGGCTGTGCAGAGACCCTGTGGCAAAGAAGGGGTCGTCGGCACCACAGTGCTGGGCATGGCGGTGCGAGGCTGTGCAAATCGCAAAAGAGGAGAAGGTGCGTGCGCTGCCGGACCTCCTCCCACTGTTCGTAAAGGGATGGTACCCTTATGGCCCTTACTGCCTTAATAGTGGTATTTTAGGTATATTAGAGGGTAGTTGGGGGTTCAAGTGTGTCCAGCCTGTAGGGTTTGGATTCCTCATGATCGTCACTGAACTCCGATGTCTGCTAAGGGAACGATTTAGGGTTTAGGGGTGTAAGGTTTCGGGGCTTATGTACAGCTTAGGGTTTAGGGGCTTTGGGGTTTCGGGTTCAGGGGCTTAGGGGTTTCGGGTTTAGGGGATTAGGGTGCAGTGTTTAAGTCCACCCCAGCTGAGGGATGCGGGTTTCGGATGTAGAAATACTGTACCGCGTGTTGCAACCGCCAGAATCCGCCAGCCAAACGTCGTGGCCCCTGATACACGGAGGCTTCAGTGAGCAACTGGGGAGCTTAGGCACTTAGACTGTAGAGAATGACAAATGAGAGAGAGAGAGAGAGAGAGAGAGAGATGACAACCACAACACGATACGGATGTACCTCGCAGCAGAATCAACGCACTACTGCTATGTACTGGGGCACCTTCTTCTCGTGCTACGCTCGGATGTAGCAAGTAAAGTCCGAGATGTTCGCATCTCCAAACCCCAAAACCCTACCTGTAGGCTCATACCCTACCCTTTTAAAGGTATCTACCCTTCTCTACAGTAAAGGTATCTACCTTTCTCTACAACAGACCCTTACCATAAAGCTAGGTATCCTAAAAAAAAAGGGGTAGGGTATGAGCCTCTAGGTAAACTACCTAGGATAACCAGTAACCTAAGAATAAAAAGGCCTCTCTTTTTGGTATTGGGTAACTTTATAAGGAACCTAGGACTACAAAAAGGGAATAAGGGTACTACTGGAGATCCTAGCTACAAAGGATACTGCTCCAGGGTCTCAGGAGTTCAGTATCAGGGCTTGGGGGCTTCAGAGTTTAGAGCTTAGGGTTTGGGGTTCAGGAGGGGTTCCTGATTATGATGGTAGTATAAAGGGTCCCCAAACCCTATTCTAATTCTTAAGGCCCGCATATTAGAGGTTTAGGATTTTGGGTTTTTGAAACCCCACATCTCAACATAATCTCACCATAAGCGTTCCTGAATCCCCGGCCCGGAACGCCCCAGAACTCCTTCGAAAGGACAGCTTGTGCAAGGTAAATACGATAGACTATAGGGGCCTGAATAAATAGAATAGGGTTGCGGGGGCCCATTATCCTATATCTATAATCAGGAATAGGCAATTAGTAAGGCCTGTATGCTCCTACTGGCGGCCACTGGATCCTACACACCCTCCAAAACGGCGCTCCGAAGCTACAAAACCCACATGGGACCCACAGTAAACCCTACAGCACGCCATCTAACGATCATATCTTAGAGTTGAGGATCCAGCCGACCCCTAAACCCTACACCCTGAACCGTTTTTGTGTTGTGCCTGCTGTGTGTGCCGCCGAACTGCCCGCGCAGTTGGCGTCCTGCAATGGCAACAGGGCCCAAATTTCTAAGTTTCTGAAAACATCTGAAGCCTAAACCGCAGGAAGACCTCTAACTCCCAAACCGCAATTAGATTCTGGGGTTTGCATTTTACAAGTTCTGGCTTTTTTGTAGCGGTTTTGCCACCTGAGGCAGGGAGCGTCGTAGCGCCATCATCTCCAGCCAAGATGCAAAGGCGGGCGCATTCAACGCGTTGGTACAAGGGACCCACGAATGCCCGATGCCGAAATCGACAGTCATGTGAGTTCTGGTAGCCTAGCCTCTTATCCACCCAATGGCCTGAAAACTGGTTGCAGCTTCAGGTTTAGGGTCTACTTGGAGGGGCATAAGGGACGGAGTAAGGGTTCTTAAAGGGCTCCTTAAAGGGATCTATGGGGTTTAGGGTTTAGGGTCAACTTGGAGGGGCAGGGGACTTAGGAAGTCGTTTATAAGTAGGGTTATAATTGGGGTAACTCCATTTTTGGTACTTATAACTCTACTTAGAACCTACTTACGAAGTCCCCTGCCCCTCCAAGTAATTGGTTTTTCGAGGGTTTAAACTTCAGGCGTCTTGGGTCCAGGCCTTTCGATAGTATGCTGGGCATCATATTGGAGATACCCATTTGGTCTTGACTGAAACCTGGTCAAACACAGGAAGACATAATGTATGGGCACCATCAGAGGTAAAACAGGGTTCTGAGCAATTTATGGCATATGTATGCAAGACTGCAGACGGAAAGGATACGAGCTAAAAGGTGCCCTGTGACCTTGCGAAGAACAGAACCTTCTGCACAAACCAGGGCCGGAGATATGAACTCCACTTATATACCTGAGGCTATGCCATCCGATACATACTTACCGATATGCTCTTTTATTTTTTGCTTTCGTTCTACCCCGTTATATAGAAGATCAGCAGCAAGAATGAGGAGATTCCTTTCAAAATGAACCATAAACGCAGCAAGCAATACACCCCAAGAAATCACGCGCATGCCCTGAACCCCCCAAGAGCCCTCTGGAAGCTCAGGTGTCCAATTCAACAGCAAAACCAAGTTTAAACAATGAGTGTCGAAGAAGGTTGTGTGAACCCGCAAATTTCAAGTTATTGAATTCAGCCCCTAAACCTTAAACCCCTAAAACCTAAACCCTTAACCCTAATGAGGCAACGACCTGAATTATGTCTGGGTTTAGAGTTCCCCTGATACTATTTGTACTTTCAGTACATAACATACCCCAAACCGTGTTCTAAGTACTGTAGGGGCATCCAAAATTAGAATGGGGTTTTGGGGGCTCCTTATCATAATTATAGTTTAAAATAACACCAAACTCTGTTCTAATTATTGCGGCCCCTACAGCAATTCTACAGATAGCTATCACGAGCCCTGTAGTATAGGCCCCAGGTTTCTTAATCAGGTTCCTACATTGACATACCCCAAATTCTAAACCATAAGCCCTAAACCCAAACCCTAACTTTTTGGGTTCACTTGTGTCTTTTTTTGGGGGGTCGCTTGTGTCTTTGTTTTTGGGGTCACTTGTGTCTTTTATTGGCTTCGGAAGCAACAGTCTCGAACGAGAGGTGCCTTGGTAGGACCTCACCCCGCTCAGTTTCAGGCTCGGTATGCATAAAGTGCAAAGTCAATTAGCTTGCTCCCTTTCTGCGTCCACATGCACATAGACATGCATGGGTACTCTACGAGGGGGTGTCTAAACATGTGTGGATATTTATTGTATATTACACATTGTACGCATATACGTAACCTATATGTAGATATATACGTACACATAAACACATGCAAATAACATATACAGTTTACTCCTTTTAGGGTTTCGTTCTGGGTTTACTCCTCTTAGGGCTTGGGCCTTCTTTCATTAGGGTTTCGCTCTGGGTTTACTCTTTGTAGGGTTTCGTTCTGGGTTTACTCCTCTTAGGGGTTGGGCCGATTACTCCTCTTAGGAGTTGGGCCTTCTTTCATTAGGGTTTCGTTCTGGGTTTACTCTTTTAGGGTTTGGTTCTGGGTTTACCCCTCGTAGGGGTTGGGCCTTCTTTCATTGAGGTTTCGTTCTGGGTTTACTCCTTTTAGGGTCTCGGTCTTGGTTTACTCCTCTTAGGGGTTGGGCCTTCTTTCATTAGGGTTTCGTTCTGGGTTTACTCTTTTTAGGGTTTCGTTCTGGGTTTACCCCTCTTAGGGGTGGGGCCTTGTTTCAATAGGGTTTCGTTCGGGGTCGGGTCCTACCAAGGCACCTCTCGTTCGAGACTGTTGCTTCCGAAGCCAATAAAAGACACAAGTGACCCCAAAAACAAAGACGCAAGCGACCCCAAAAAAAAAGACACAAGTGAACCCAAAAACAAAGACACAAGTGACCCCCCTTCCCTCCCGGGGGGAGTCCTCCGGGCGAGCCGTCTCCGAGCTGAAAGACCTAGAGCCCCAGCGCCTGAGGCGCGGCTCGTGGCTGATAGACCCTAGGGTTTCAGTGACCTAAATAGTAGGTGGGGTACATATTATATGGTATATATATATACATACATACAGACATACATACATACATATATATATATATATATATATATATATATATATTATATGGTTCGTAACCTGCTATTTAGGTCACTGGAGCCCTAGGGGACAGTGAAATAATTCCGAGTACCCCAAATGGGGAACTTATTCTGTTGGATTCGCTTTCTGCTCTCTATCGCCAGAAAGGGAGACCCGACACAACACCTTCTTATGTTCAAGTGCTCTAAACAACAGTCTCCGGGGTCAATTTCCAGAAATTGCTGACTTTGGCCCTGCTCAGGCCGAAAAATATCAAGGTGGGCACCGCCATGAGGCGGTCCACGACCCCGAAGAACGGTCTGATCTTCTCGAAGTCCGTATCCAGATCCGTGGCCGCGCACACCAACAGCAGCTACATCGCTGCACTGAATCTGGTGTATCCTCTCAGGATCTGCAGGTCAAACATCTCAATCTTCCCGCTCTTTTCCATGAAGTTTGCTGAGATCGGCTCCCTAAACCCTAAACCCGCAAGATCAAGGCCGGAGGACATCCAGGACTGTCAGCCAGTCTTGGCAGCTCGGAAGACCGTCCGTAGGAAGTCTGAAGGCGAGAGAACCTACAGCAACGTTCATCACGTCGCCGCCGTCCGTGGCGGCGTTGACGACCTGATCAGGGATGAAAATGTGATTTCCAACAAATCTGATCCTTTTGACAGTTAGTTGCGATCCTGCTGCTCGGAATCGAGGCCACGCCAAGCCCCCGCATACGCTTGGGCTTGGACAAACGCTCAGTGATTGGACACGCGCCCATGAGCAGTTCAGAGATCTCGGAGCAATGCGTGCAGACGACCCCAGCACCCACACCCCTACTTTACCCCAATCCTCTAATCAGTAAACCCTGTCGTAAATCCAATACCCTAAACAGAAAATAGAAAATATCTGAATCCTAAACTATTAACCGTTATCGTCAGCGATGGGAAGCCAACGCCCCAAGTAAGAAGAAGGGGGGGGGGGGGGGGCGCTGCTTCAGAGGATGCCCCCTGCTCCCACAATCTAATTAGTCTCACTCTAACCAAAAACCATGAAGCTTGAACTGTGCCTACCAGAGCCTCCCCCCTCAACAACAAAAACACGTGGCTCTTTGGTTCTATGGAGGTGTTTTCGCGTTCGTCTAACATCTAATCTAAACCGCCTTAATCCACTGGCCCTGAAACCGAAGTCCTCAAGCCTAACGCCCTAAGGTTGCTTCCTTCGGAAATTTTAAACTCCCCTGCACAACCCTCAAAAGAGCCCTTGAAGGAGACCCCAGTCCCCAAAACCCACTCCAGGCCCCGACCAAGAGCGGCCGCGAAAAAGCTAAACGAACCTGGGCGGGGGAGGAGATCAGCTGTACTTAAAGGATCTTGGGACTTAGTACCTATAAGGTTATAAATAAACTAACTATACTTCTACAATTACTTTCAAATCACCTGAGGTACTTTGAAGCTTACTTACCAACCAAGTCCCATGGATCCTCCATTTACGGAGCGGGGGCCGCTTGGGGGTTTATAGGGGTGAAGGAGTCTGGGGACTAAGGACTAGAGTAGAAGCCAGAAAGTTGGAACATGGATTTAGGAGGATTTGTGCTAGGATCCCGTATACTTTATTACTTTAGGGGCATGAGGATACTAATGTTCCAACTTTCTGGCTTCTACCATATGGTCTGGGGAATACGGATTAGGGATTTACGGGTTAGGGAATGGGGTGTACGGGTTACGGAGGGCGCCTTAACTATTCGTTATATATTAGCATAGCAGTTATACTCAGGTTCCTTTCAAAAGTTGCTACGCAACTATGATTCCAGGGCTTAGCGTTTAGATCAGGTGTCTGCATCATGTACAATGGGCTCTTGGAGTATATAAATTAAACTTTAGACTATACGTATATGAATGCTACATGGGGACTGTATGAGGGGCATAGTGTAACTAATTGAAACTTTGGGGATTCACGTTTCGGGGTACGGCCTTGAGAGTTTTAGGCTTCAGGTTTCAGGGTTGAGGTTTCGGGGCTAGGTAGCTTGCTTTTGGCTGTAGTTCATTTGCTTCGGTGTTGTTGGCGGCTGCGACTATAGCTGTTGAAGCAGCAGATAGATCAAGACGCATCGGAGATCTCAGTGCAATAGAACCTGACCCGTGAAAGTTTGAAGTGCAAAACTCGAGAACTCGAAACCCTGAACACCCGACCCCTACTCGTTGAGACCCAAAACCCAAAACTTTCCGAAACCCTAACTTCCTGAAGCCCTAATCCTCTGTAAACGTTCTTATTGATCATTTCCTGTGAACATGGGTTCTCTATTATGGTAACATACAGGTTCCTTAAGAAGAGTGCGGTTCTAGATCCTACCCGTCCGTACCAAGGATGATCGCAGTCTAGGATACATCAGACAACGCAGGATCTTGTCCAACTACTGTCTGGTTCTCAGCAGGGAATAGGGGAATGGATTGTGGAGACTATTATTGGGAATTATATAGGGACTACCATAGGGATCCCTGCCCCTACTAAGAACCAGACAGCCAACTCAGAACATTAACCATCTATAGTATAACCCTTATAGGAACCCTTAAAGGAACCCCATCCCTACTAAGAACCAGACAGCCTACTAAGAACCCTAAACCCCTATGATATAACCCTTATAGGGAACCTTAAAGGAACCCCATCCCTACTAAGAACCAGACATTGGAGTCAGTTAAACACCCCACACACACACACGCACGCGCGCACAGAAACCCTAAAAGCTTAAACCCTCGACCACTGCCCCAAGCCCTGAAACCCTGTGCCCTGTACCCAAACCGAAAGCCCTAGAGACCCGAACCCTGACACCCTGTACCCCAAACCGTGAACCCTAAAGCCCCAAACTCTAAACCCAAAACTTGCCCAAATCCCAAGTCGCTTGTACCCAAATTACATAAACTCTTAACCCCCAAACTCTAAACCCAAAACTTGCTCAAAACCCAAGTCCCTTGTACCCCAAACCCTAAACCCTAAAACCCCCAAACTCCCAACCCCAAAACCCCCAAACTCTAAACCCTAAACCCCCAAACTCTAAAACCCAAAACCCCCAAACTCTAAAGCCAAAACCCCCAAACTCTAAAGCCTAAACCCCCAAACTTCAAACCCTAAACCCCCAAACGCTAAACCCAAAACCCCCAAACTCTAAACCCAAAACCCCCAAACTTCAAACCCTAAACCCCCAAACCCTAAACCCCCAAACTCTAAAGCCAAAACCCCAAGTCCGAGTCGCTGAAAAGGCTGCTGCCCTCATCGGACCCCTCAGCGGCCAGCCGCGGAAGCGGGGCCTGCTGTGGCAATCCCTGAGCCGCGGCAGTGATATATTTTTTTTTTGAGCTCCTTTTCTCCAAGCCAGCAGGTCTGAAGAGGCTTTTAGGGTTTAGGGTTTAGGCTTTAGGCTTTAGGGTTCAGGGTTTAGGGTTTAGGTTTTAGGGTTTAGGGTTCAGGGTTTAGGGTTTAGGGTTTAGGTTTTAGGGTTTAGGGCAGTGATATGGGAGTTTCCGAAAATAGGGGACCCTAATATAGTACCCCAAATAGTAGGATCCTTATTATAAGGACCCCAGAATAAGGTACCCCTAGTTTTCGGAAACTCCCATATCGAGACCCTAGTAAGTAGCTTTACAGGGATCTTATTTAATTGAGGGTATAACCAGCAAACATAACAACAATGACAAGAATCACTATAAGAATAAGTTGTGACAGCCTCGGGGACCGCAGCGAGGCTCTGACATTAACGCGATCTTGAGATGGTCTTGTGGACGCTTTGCGTTGGGTGAAGAAGGGCTTTACTGGGGTGTCGAATTACAACTTAAAGGGAACTCCAGAAAGTTGGAATATGGATTAATGGTAGGATCCCCTATAATTTACCTTAAAGGGGTTAGGATAATGATATTCCAACTTTCCGGCTTCTACTGTACTTCTCAAGAACCCGAGGGCTGAAAAGACTACCTCACAAGAGCCCAAATGTTGAAAAGTTGGACCAATAAGACAAGGCTTTCCAGAAGAGTCCCATGCAAGCCAAGCATAGACGGAAAAAGGAACACGGTACATCCGTGTCTAGCGTATGGTTAGACTTCTGGCTTCCAATATTTGTATTTAGAAACAGACGGATAGCAAGGCTGTCGGGGAGAAAGCAAGTCGTTGTAGTTCCTATCCTTTTGCGTACTCTCTCTCTCTCTCTTCTGTCTGTGTCTGCCTAGTTTCATGAACTTGTTCGATAAGTGCGCACGCATGTATATTCTTATTTATGCCACTCTACATCGTCATCGTCAACACCATCATGCAGCATCTGCGTGCAACTACAGGCAATGGATCGTACTTTCATTGCTTTAAAAGCCTTGAGCAATCCAAGCCCGAAACCCTACACCCTTAACTGCTATATACTTGGTTATAACAACAGAGAGTCCTCCTCCCTACAGTATCACGACCCCGTCGAAACCCAGAAATCATTGCATGGCAAAACCAGGTAATGGTACGTTCTGAAACCGCCTACTAGACTAGACCTAAGAGCAACCCAGGAATAAAACGGGTGCCCTTTTTGGTTTAAAGGGGCTTATAAGGGAACCTGAACCCTTAAAAAGGGAAGAAGGGCCTACTCCAGGTCCTACTAGACTCACTAGACCCTTATAAACCCTACTTGGAGGGGCAGGGGACCTAGTAAGTCATTTATAAATACGGTGATAGTTGGGGTAACTCCATTTAGGGTACTTGTAACTCTACTTATAACCTACTTACTAAGTCCCCTGCCCCTCCAAGTAGGGTTTAGGGTTCGAAAGTCAGAAGCATCTTTCCAGGACCCTCCCTGTACCCTTAAATGGGGGTTATGGCCCCTAATAGTAGGTATTTTTAGAGGGTAGCAGGAGGGTCTGGGTTCATTCGGGGATTAAGAGGGCCCTATTCGTCTTATTTAAATGGGCATCTTTGTACGTAAATCCTGATATTCAGGGGCCTGTCGGGCCTCGTCAACTGGCTAGCCTAAAGCACGAAAACCACTGGACAACATATGGGGGCTTCCGAAAATTGGGGACCCGATAATAGCACCCTAAATAGTAGGATCCTTATGATAAGGACCCCTAAATAATGTAGCCCGAATTTTCGGAAACTCCCATTTTAAAAAAAACACCAACAACCCTACACCGTACAACCTAAGACCCTTACACCTGGAAACCTTAAACCCCTGGAGGCCCAAATCCGGTCAAGCTCCCCCGAAAAACCAAAGAACTACCTTAAGGATCCTTGACCCCTCCAAGTAAACCGTACTAGACAATCCCACACTCAGCCCCTGCAGCCGCTATGGGGATCCGGCCCGAGACGCGGGAGCCACCTGCGTCTGCGCTCTTCTTAAGGAGAAATCCAAAGCTTACAATATGTCCTTAATTAAGGAACATACCTTAATTCATAGTAGGTTCAATATGATTAAAGGTATATTCCTGAATTAAGGGATATTGGAAGGTCTGGGAAAGCAGGGATACGAATGCAGGGTTGTGCCTTCAAGGACCAAAAACCCTGACATCTACCCGCGCCGTATATTAAGTCAGTGGTGCTGCGCGGAGAAACATCGAAAGGAGCCCCAATGCCCTGTGCGCCAACCCAAACATAGGAACCGCCTTAAAAAGGTATCTTCATCGATCCATTTGTTTTTGCTAGGGGGCCTCCAAGAAAAACAACTCCGTATGAGAGCTTACAGTCAGTTGGTGTTCTCTTTTCTATGATGAGACCTCGAACCATGATCCCTAAACCCCTTATTCGGCAAATTCCCAAACCCTCAGACCCTAAACTCTCAGACCCCAAACCCTCTCGCAAAAATGCGGTGAACCTGTATGTTAATAAAGAATGATCAAACAAGAGATGAGACACTGGTGCACGCCCAAACAAGTTATTTGAGAGTGTGGCCCGACATCGGATTAGGGTTTAATTTGTGTTCGGCAATTCGCCCGAAGGCAAAACCAAAGGCTCTAAGGACTCACATTTTAAGGCTTCTGGGCCTAAAGACCATACTGTAAAAGGCTTTTGGGCCATTTTGAGCCTTAGGGAAATAGTTGCGAATTGAAGAACTGGTATCTGCTGTCCGCGGAGTGTTTAGGATTCCTGCAGCAAATGGGCGAGAGTTTCGGAATTCGCCCGAAGGCAAATAGTGGAGGTCGCATGGAAGCAGACAGCCCAGGGGCTCGGGGTACCCACAAAGTTGAAAAGTGCAAAGATGCTGAGAGTCTGCCCAGACCTTCCAATATCGCTCAATTAAGGAATATACCTTAAATCATAGAAGGCTTCACAATATGATTCATGGTATATTCCTTAATTAAGGGATATTGGAAGGTCTGGGTGGTTGACCTCCAGAATTTCTTAAAGGCTACCCCCGATTGCGAAATGCGTGAGACCCTGGCGAAGGAATGTAATACAGGGGCCTCAATAATTGGAATATGCTGTCGAAGTACATTGTACTATTTTTGTTATAAGGAGCCCCCCAAACCCTATTCTACTTATTAAGGCTTCTATATACTAGTTTTCTAAACATGAAGGTCGACCGTACCTATAGTCTCCAATGTAGTTCCTTTTTTTGGTTGACCAAAATCGCTATTGCAAGGTCCTAACCATAAAACTGGCTAACCAAAAAAAAGAACTACAATGGAGACTATAGGTAAGGGTTTAGGTACTATAGATTATAGGGCTCTCTTGTGAGGGCTCCTTTAAAAGGGGCTCCTAGACATGAAGGTCGACCGCACAGCATCACTGAGGAAGCCACATCAGCGGCCAAGCGTGGGAGCGTGGCCACCGCGAAGCCGAGATCTGCCGACCTTTGTACTTAAAGGATCATGGGACTTAGTAAGGGTCCTGAAAGGGCCTGTAAAGGGATCTATAGGGTTCCTTAAAGTGATCTATGGGGTTTAGGGTTTAGGTTCTACTTAAAGGATCATGGGACTTAGTAAGTAGGCTCCTTTAAAGGGCTCCTTTAAGGGATCGATATAGGGGTTCTATAAGGGGTAGTTTAGGCTACTGAAAGGATCATGGGACTTAGTAAGTAGGTTCCTTCAAACGGCTCCTATAAGGGATCGATATAGGGGTTCTATGAGGGGTAGTTTAGGCTACTTAAAGGATCATGGGACTTAGCAAGTAGGTTATAATTGGGGTGATTTGTCCCCTAAGTGGGGTTATCCTAATTATAACCTACTTATAACCTTACTTACTAAGTCCCGTGAGCCTTTAAGTAGACCCTAAACCCTAAACCCCATAGATCCCCTTAAGGATCCCTATAGATCCCTTTAAGGAGCTTACTTACTAAGTCAATGAGCCTTTAAGTAGAGTTGGGAGTTTCCCACAAAAGAAGGGGTACCTTATTTGGGGCTTTGTCTTCGGGTCCCCTATTGTTCGGAAACTCCCATTTGGCTACAAGGGTTTAGGGGTTCAGGGTTTAGGGTTTAGGGCTTTTGTCAGGTTTTCTCGGCTATAACGCTTGTGTAAGGCTTTTGCATGGTCTTAATAGGGCTTTAACTTGATTTGTTCGGGCCTTTGTATGGTCCGTATGGATGTTTAATATAATGGGGTTCTAGACTGGGTTCCTGAGTGCCCCTTTATAATCAAGGCGCACATTTTCCTACCGTTCGGTTCAATAAAGGGACCTCCAAATACAAATGGCAAAAGGGTTCTGCGCGGGAACCTAGTACCGGGCTTTCGAAGGTGTTTATGATCAGTTTACAGGGATTTGGCCGCTTTGATTGTGTCTCAAAAGGCTTGTGGGCACAGAGACTATTGCATATATGCACGCGCGCACATACATAGTCTCTGTCCAGGCTGTTTTGAGCGTGAGGGTCAGAGATTGACTTGCTGGCGGGCTTCGATGGATGATCCTAAGGGTCCGAGCACCCAAAGACTAGGGGTTCAAGGTACAAAAACCCACTCAGAGTATAGGTTTTGGGATACTATATTTGGGTACTTGAACCGGTTAAATCGGGGTTTAGGGTTTACCTGGACCGCGGAAGAACCTACCACATTTTCCTGGACATATATGATGGAATCATAGTAAGGAACCCCAAAACGGTACTTAAAGGATCATGGGACTTAGTAAGTAGGTTATAATTGGGGTTATAAGTCCACTAAGTGGGTTTATCCTGATCATAACCTACTTATAACCTTACTTACTAAGTCCCATGAGCCTTGAAGTAGACCCTACACCCTAAACCCCATAGATCCCCCTTAAGGAACCCTATAGAACCCTTTAAGTATATCAAAACGGTAGGGTCTTCAGGGTCCAGGTAGGGGTCGTCAGAAGAGGCAGCCTTACCGCTGTCCTCAGGGGCGGCCTGGTCCTGTAGGGGCCTTAATACAGACTAGGACATGGGGGTATATTCTACTATATTTATAAAAGGAAACCCCCAAATAGCAAAGATAACTACTAAGGCCCCTATATTTTAATTAGCATTCGGCGTGTGTGTGTGTGTGTGTGGGGGGGGGGGGGGGGAAATGGGGGGCATTTCAATATAGTTACGCAGCTTATAATTGGGGTTATAAGTCCCCTAAGTGGGGTTATCCTAATTATAACCTACTTATAACCTTACTTACTAAGTCCCATGAGCCTTTAAGTACAAGGTTTCGATAAGGGCTTGGCAGGATGGCCTACTTGGAGGGGCAGGGGACGTAGTAAGGGTTATAGTTCGGGTAACTCCATTTAGGGTACTTATAACTCTACTGATAGCCTACTTACTAAGTCCCCTGCCCCTCCAAGTAGAACCCTTATTTTACGAAACGGAGTGGGAAGATAACCATATAGTGTCGTAACCTTACAGATTCAAACCTTCACATATCTCTCCGGACCCAAGAACAAGGGCTTATGCCTGGAGGATCACGTGGGACTTAGCAGGCAAGAGTTAAGTGCCTCAGTTGGAGTTAGAATCGAAAAGAGAATAAATCAAAAGCTATGAGTATGGCTGCCTGAAGAGCCCCATGATGCTGTCAGCAAGGGTTCTTGGGGGCTTGGGACTTCTTGCATGGCAGCGGCATTTTTTGCAAGCCAGATCTGAGCTGGGTCGATATGGGTTTGAGCCAAAACCTCTCGGTCACCGACGTGGGCGCTTCAACAGATGTGATCTAGAGACCTTTGCAACTTGAAGAGTGTGTTGGGGTATAGTATAGTTTTTAGTATAGCATACTGCTCAGGGTTTTGGGATATGGTTTATAGTAGTGTTAGCACAGCAAAAGGGAGCTCTAAACACTGCGACTAACAAGTATTCAGTCTCCTACATTAGGGCTCGGGGATTTAAGGCCCTAGGGCTTTTTTGGGTTTAGGGGTTTAGGGCTTAGGGTTTAGGGTTAAGGTTACAGTTTACGGATTCAGGTGTGGGCGATGGGCCTTGAAGTTTCAAGACCGTTACGCAAGAGGTGTTCTAAATCGTTCGGCGGCTAACGTCGATCACATGTCTACTTCAATGTATAAATCGCGCAGAAAGCTTCGCTTTGTCCTCACGAAGTGCCTCATATCAAGTCCCCAAACTCTGAAATCACACCAAAGACCCTCCATCCGGCTCCAAACCAAGAGCCGGCTCGGCTTGGCGGTTTAGGGTTCAGGTTCCCAGACCTTGCAATATCCCTTAACTACGGATTGTACCCTAAGTCATAAAAGGGATCCTACTATAATTTATGGTACACTCTAGTCTAGAAGGGGCCCCCACCCTGTCATAGTGGTATAATAGGATTATATAAAGGCCCTATTATACTCCTATTATACCACTATTACAGGGTGGGGGCCCCTTCTAAGGTATACTCCTTAATTAAGGGATGTTGGAAGGACTGGGTTTCCCTATAGCAGGGTTGCCGACATCCGAAGCCACTGAGCCCGGAGCAGTACTGAAAAAGCCCGCGGTTTGGAGATCCCAAAAAACAAAAATCGTAGGGACCCTTAGGGGGTGGGGGGGAGGGGGGTATAGGGGACTATATTTCCTTGAATAAGCCGTATTAGGTTATTATGGGCATTAAGGCCCCCTACTCCCTATGTAAGAACATGATCCACAAAACAGACAATAGCAACAAAGGAAGTCCCCAGACCTACAAGAAACGTCACAACAATAAACGCAACAATAACCATAAATCTAAGGGCTGGATTCTTAGGAAACTGCAGAGGAATATGTAATATAGGGGCCTTATTCATTAGACTAGAGCTTTGGGGGATATTATACTATAACTAGAAAAAGGCACTCTGAAATGATATTGGAATTTATGTAAGCCCCAACAGTACTCTTCTGCCGTGTTGTTTTGTGGTTCACGGTTCGCAAGCGGAAGCACCATCGATTGAATCGACAGGTAGCAGTATAGTCAGTACAATTTGGAACCCTGCGGCATGAGATATCCATACTCATTAAGGATTCTGTCTTATTCGTACCTTACTTGTCCAGTATCGTAAATATTTCACGCTTAACAGCTAACCCTGTTTAGGGACTATAGTACGCCAGAAAAAGTTAAAGATTACCTAGTCTTCTACTGAGTCTCTTCTCTTTACTCACCGGGTCCAAGAGAGTTCACACTTTCTATCACGGACGAATATGGACACATTGACTATTTAAGAAAGGTATGCAGCCCAGAGGGTCCATGAATACTGCCATTATTGAATCAGGTCCCCTAAACCCAAATTAAGCTGGTCTTTGGGGACCCAATTCCACAATGGTAGTATATATGGACCCTCTGGGCAAGAAGCAAATCCTGCATGAACCCTGCGAGGGGTGGAGGGTGGCACGTCTCGGGACGTTTGAGATCTTCTTGGAAGGACTTCCAAACCTCGGCATCGGCACGCTGGCCAAGACCCTAAACCCTAGAAACCCCAAGCCCTAAACCCAAAAACCCAAAAACCCAAAAAGCCCTAAATTTATGAGCCCTAAAACCCTAAACCCCAGACCCTAAACCCAAAAACGATGCAATGCTTTTAGGGCTCAGGGTTTCGAGGTCTTCCGCCATGGAGCACAGTAGTTTGAATCTTCGATTCGGCTGCAGGGCTTCGTTGTTGGAACAGTAAGACTCAATAATTAACGATGTTTTACCTTCAGGGCTCCAGGTTCTAGATATTGCGGAGTATCTCCCGCCCTCCAAAAAACACCCTATTGTCTGGCTTTCCCCAAGGGTCCAAGTACCTAATAGTCATAATTTTTTTACGGCCCCCACGTTAACCCAGAGCTTCCAGGATCAACGCATCTCAGAGATCCTATACTGCAATTTAAGGTATATGGGTAATTATCAAAATTGTGTTTGTTTTCTGGGTCCCTACTTTAATACGGCAACTGTTATTTAGGGTACCCAAAAAGGGACCATAATTTTGACAACCACCCATATTCCTTGATGAATGGATCCTGGAAGGCTTTCGCGTTGGCCAACGAATCTGGGAGATAAGATGCCCAAACCCGGGGATGGTCCTAAGGCTAGGGGGGTTTAGTTAGGGTTGGATATAGGGTTTAGGGCTTTAGGGTTCAGAGGTAGAGGGTTTAGGGGTTGAGGGTTTCGGGGGTAGAGTTTAGGGGTCTAGGGTTTAGGGGCTGAGGGCTTACGGGTTAAGGGTTCAGGGGTCTAGGGTTTAAGGGTTCAGGGATGTTTAGGGATTTAGGATGTAGGTGCTTAGGTGTGGTGACTTGTCGGTCTTCTGTCTTCAACGACTCTGAAAACATCCACTTCGCAAGAGAACCCACTGTTTCAACCCCGACGTTTGCCTTTCACTGCATTTCCGTTATTTCATGCCGCCGGCCCTTAAGAACGAATCCTTATCCTCAGCCCTGATCATTCTAAACCAACAACGAAGCTTTTTGCCTAAATCAAGTGGGCCAGCAAGACTAGATGCGACCGGATCGAAACCTCTAAATTTACAAAAACACAAGCTTTACGCCGTCCCAGACCGTCAACTTCTGAAACCACTTAGGGTATATATGCCTCACTCCGACTTACTGAACTCACAGAAACCCCACCAGCACATGCAGGCCCGTGTGACCCAAGCCCTAAATCCGAAGCCTGCAAACTTCACTAAGCTACTCATCTTAAGTCCTCACTCCGAATTCCCGATCTTCTAGAAGCCCCACATGCAAGACTCATTCTTTCTCCTCCCTCCGAAATTCCGATCTCACAGAAAACCCCACATGCGAGCTGCACTTGCAAGCCAGTGGCGACACGCTTGACCTCACCCTTCGTCCAGTTCGCATGGACTGGACCCGACTCGTGCGACTGGGCGTAGGGGGAGGGGGGGTAGGGGGCCTTAATGCCCATAATAAGAACCCAATAAGGCCATTTTAAGGAAGTCTAGTCCCTACATAGCAGGATCCTTATTGCAAGGGCTCCCAAATAAGGTACCCCTAATTTTCGGAAACTCCCACATCATGGTACCCGGTAACCTGTTGCGAGAGCATTGTCCAAAACTACGGAATGGAATATGGGCATTGCTGGGGAGCCCGGTCTGGTAGCAGCTATACCCACAATGCTGGTGTAAGTCTCCTAAAACAGTGTGGATCTGTTCGATTTCGTACGATTTTAATAGGAATTTGCGTAGACAGCCAATCCCTAAACTCCAAGCTCTGGTCGCGCAACCCTGAAAAGTACACCTGGTATGGGGGGCCTTAATGCTCAGAATAGGGGGTTTGTGGGCGAATACTAGCTGTTCCGACCCGCTTTATTAAGCCCGAAACTCTGAATCCTAACCCAAAGAGTCCTAGGTACTGTTCTGGGGGAGACTTCCCCGAAGCATCATAGTAGCTCCTAGTATAGAAACCCTGCAGACGAGTCTAAAGATACTTTGGACCCTTTCGGCAACAGGAAACTCCTGGGCTCTTGGTAAGGAATTTAATTTAAGTTACCATAATAAAGAAACGATATTATTTACCATAGATCCCTGTTATGGTAAATGAATTTCTTTAGCGAAAACCCAGACTCAGTCCGCTGCCTCCTCAACAGTTCCTGCAAGAACCTCAGCCGAGGCAGGCTCCCTCTGCGAGTTGCGATGGTGAAAATAGCGAAACACGCTACCGTATCCTATGGGCTTTCGATGCTGTGGCGAATACTCCATGGCCTATGGTTAACCTCGCCAAGTTGGACGTGTGTTTCTTTGTTTTTGTGTTTCTCTCTCTCTCTCTCTGTCTCTTGTGCTCGCTCCAAGACACACTGCGTTGCTCAGCAGCCCTTGATTTGGGCATCGCATATCTCACAAGCTCGTAGATTCCAGCATGCATCTTTTGGCACTATATGTTCAACTGAAAACTTTTCTGTCGGAGGCTCTGCGCACACTCTACTGAAGTTAAGCAAAAAGCACTTGCTGGAGATCGCTATGAAGGAAGCCATAACCCAAAAAAGCAAAACAAAAAACAGTCCACAAGCGGCTGAAAGTGTACCAATCCGTAACGGGGTCGCACTCGGTTTATTGCCATCGCCGACGGCTAAGGGTTTTGAAGCCCACCACTACGTTGCCGCCTTAGAGTTTTACGGTAAGACCTTACATCTAATGAACCCTGACACATGACTACCAGAACTTGGCTTGCTGTGTTGCTCTTGCGGTTTGTTTATTGCCCTGCGCTTAGACACTTGGATGAGCCTATCCAAACCGCGAACCCGAAGCCTTAACACCCTAAATCCTAAATTGGCGGACAACATTGCCACCCTCATTGCGCTTTAAGCAGTGTAGCAACAGGCCATCGAGCCAAGGCACGACATGTAACATCGCGCGACACCAAACTCCCAAACCTGTAAAGCCATAACCCCCAAACTTCAATTCCCCGCACCGCTTAACCTGTAACCTGACCCTTGTCTGTCTGGGCATATGACCACCATTATCGAAGCTAGAACAAAACCTTCCACGACGCATGCAAAACTGCAAACGACTCATGGGACCTTTCAGAAGCACCGATACTACCCTACATTTTAAAGAGCTTGTAGTAGAGCCCAGCAAGGTCCAAAAAATTCGCGTAAAGAGCTCATAGTTCAGAAAGCTCAAGAACTCCGCTGTGATCCCCAAACAGCTTATAATATAGTTAGTTACATAGTTCAGAAAGTTCAAAAAGATCCGCGTAAAGAGCTCAGAAAGCTCAAAAACTCCGTTGGGATCCCGACGCCCTCGCAGAACGCCAGGAGCTTGGATTCCACCGCGGCAGGATCAGACCAAAAGTCCTCTGTTGCTTTTCCTTTCCTTTAAAGTTTCCTTTAAGGATTCCTATAAGGGTTCCTTTAGGGTACCTTTGGGGTACCTTTAAGGATCCCTTTAAGGATTCCTTTAAGGGTTCCTATAAGGGTTCCTGTGACCAAAAGTCCTCCGTTGCTGTTGAGTTTCCATAGTGCTGTAGCCGGTTTAGGGGTTAGGGTATGGACCCTACCATAAGTTAAGGTATATATTCCTGAAATAAGGCAAACGAAAAGTCATCTGTTGCTTTTCCTTAAGGGTCCATGTACCTTTAAGGGTTCCTTTGAGGGTTTCTTCAAGGGCTCCTGTGACCAAAAGTCCTCCGTTGCTTTTCCCTAGGGGTCCATGTGCCCAAAAAGGATTTCTGTAGGGATTCTATAAGGGTTCCTTTAAGGGTTCCTTTAGGGTTCCTTTAAGAGTTCCTTTAAAACCTCCTAAAGAGGGTTCTATAAAGGTTTAGGGTCCATGCACCCAAATAGTAGACACATAGGCCCCGAAGTACCTATATAGGGACGACGTTAAGGCCAAAGTATAGAGTTTACTTCAGGGCTTGGGATTCCGGGAGGGGGGTGCTGTGGTGCCTGGCAATGTCAAGCAACCTTTGGGTGTATTATTGACGAACGAAGAAGATCTTGCAAAGTTCTTGCATCGAACACCGGAAGCTCAGGAACACGCCTAATATAGGGGCTTTAATAATTAGAATGGGGTTTCGATCCGATTATACTATATTCATAAAATAATATCAGGACCCCGAAAAATAGTATCGGTTCTGATCTAGGCCCCTATAAGGCCCTATAATCTACTTCAAGGGTCTTGGACCACTGGCACTTGACGCGCAGAAGCTTGTCTCTCTCTCTCTCTCTCTCTCTCTCCCGCTCTCTCTCTCTCTCTCTCTCTCTCTCTCTCTCTCTCTCTCTCAGGTCGCACGCCTTCTTGCACTCTGAAGCTGTAGAACCTTCACGAACGTGTGCGCGGGAAAGTCCCTGAACCTTTGAGCCTCGTGTTTCGTTTGCACTTTTGACACACCTTCGGTGGCCTTGAGCCTGCCCCTAACCCAAAAGCATGCAACTTGTTGAGACCACCCTTCAAGTTGGGAAGTCGCCCTCAACCCTAAACCCTAAACCTACAGAATCCACAGATTGAGGGTTATGAGCTTGCAACCCCAGAGAAGTCCGGAGATCGGTTCCGGTTTACTGGATTCTTGCTGGGGACATCATAATAGGGATCTATAGTAAGTAGATGCAAATGACGTGGTTTCCTTATTATGGTAATTGAAAGTCATAGTAAACACTATCCACACACAGACGAACGAACATCAATCAAATGAATTGTGCAGAAGTGCAGGAAGACAAGAAGTGATCGGACACTTCAAGCCTAGAAGAACAGAAGAAGCCGGAAACGAGTGAACGCAATGGGACAAGATCAAGAAGTCGTAGTCTCAGCACTCTCGCGGAAGACTTTCGTGGAAGGGCTCGACCCTTCCCCAGAGCTTGGAAGAAGTGGCTTGAACCACTCCCCAAGTGTAGGAAGTGGACTCCAAGAAACTTGCCTGCAGTACAGCCAAAGATGGGCGAACCTGAGTCGCAAGGTCTTGAAGGGCTCCGCACAGAGACGAGGTCGTCCAGTACTTCCAGAGCGTCTGGAAGCATGATGGAGATGTGAGTGCCAGGACTGCCTTCTTCGGACTGAAGCGTAGGGTGCAAGTAGAACTGCTCTGGTGTGTTGTCACTGCCTCCCATCAACGGTTCCAGTGTCTGCGAGAAGTGCTTCAGAGTCCGTGCCTTGTAGACGGTGTCCCGCACATCATGAGCCTTGCACTGCACCTGGCTCTTGGTCGAAGTTGCAACCTCGAAGGTTCCTGTCACCGGCTTGGAACCCCTCTCAGAAAAGTGTACCGCGCTGCGAAGGTTGCTCCTGCATCCAGCTTCTGCCCAAGAGTGACAACCTGCCGCGAACAGAGCAGGGCTCCGGTTCCCACTGGCTCCGGTTGACTGGGTTCTTGTTGGGGTAATTATAATAGGGATCTGTAGTAAATAGATTCGAATAATATGGTTTCCTTTTTATGGTAACTTAGATGAGATCCCTTTTTCAAGAACGCAGTTTAGGGTTTAGGGTTGTAAGATGGGAACCCCAAACCCTGCAAGGCTAAAGCCCTTCTTGAAGCGACGGCCTCGATCATCTTACCCCCTTGACGCTGCCAAAACTCTAAACCCGCTAATCATACCACAGAGAACTCCCAAGTGAGCGCGTCAGGCGATCAGCTACTGGGGTTATCCGAAAGCCTCCTTCATGATAACATAAAACTTTCGAAGTCCTACGGACCTTGAAATCATGCCTACACTACTAATCCTAAACTTAGTTGCTGAGTTCATAAGGCCCCCAAAGTGCACACTTTTAGTTTTACAGTGGGTAGTACTATCCCAAAAAGTGTAAAGTTATCCACTCAGCTACTAAGCAAACCCTAAACCCCAAAAGAGCACAGCACTAGCCATCCTCTGCAGCGCCTGGAATTTCAAAGCCGTACCTCGGCACTTGGCTCTGGGATCTGTCTGGCTTTAGGGCTTATAGAGGCTCGGGTTTAGGGTTTCGGGTTTTGGGGCCTAGGGGTTGTGGAGTCTGGAGTTTAAAGCTTTTTTTCGGCTCGGGCTTAGGGCTTAGGGTTGTGGTTCTTTGGGGTTGTGGGGTTTGGGTTTAGGGCTTCTTTTAGGCACGGGTTTAGGGTTTCGGGTTGTGGGGCTTAGGGGTTGTGGGGTTTGGGTTTAGGGTTTTGGGTTTAGGCTTTAGGCCTTCGGGTTTAGGGTTGAGGGTGTGTTATGCAGGGCCTTGAATTATTGGAATGGCTATGGAGGGGCATTAAAACGACGCGATGGTGAAGCATACTGGCATCTCTATAGCAAGGTTCAGTGCAGCTGTCTTGAAATTAGAAGCCCTCAAGCTCGGCTCACTTGAGAGATGTGGGGTGAGGCGTTAGAGCGCCGGAACAGAATTTCTGGTGCTTCGAAAACGTGAGTCTAAAAGGTGACTACATGTCCTAAGTACCCATACAGTATATACTTAGGCCTTAAAGTACCTATATAGGGACCCCTTTAAGGCTTAAGTATCTACTATAAAGCTACATGGAGCCCTTTGGGATGTCCTGTGCCGGGAGCTGCATCCCGTAGTCGCACAAAACCTGACTGGGGCCTGATCCACCAGAAAACTTGGTTGGCCATATTATAATCCTTATAGTGACTATCACAGGGTGGGTGCAGCTTTTAAAGTATAGGATCTCCGATATGAGTTGATCCTGGAAGCTGTGGGTAAATGTGGGGGCCGTAAACGAGTTTATGACTTGGGTACGGCCCCCATACAGTAACAGTCTATACTAGGGCTACTTAAGGTCCTATATATATATATATATATATATATATCTGTATTATGAGTATTATCCAACTGTTACTGAGTGGGGGCAGTACCCAACTGAAAACCTAAATAAGCCCTGGACTTGCCTAAAACTCACTGGCCCAAAACCCAAGGAAATCAAGGTTGAAACTTTGAGAATCGACCTTATAAGAAAAGTTAAGTTTACAGCCAACAAGAAATCCGAAACCCGCAACCCCCTAAACTCTGAACCCTTCAACCTGTAAAGCCCAAACCCCTGAACCCCCCCTAAATCCTCGAAACGTATACGCACTAAACCCCTAAACGCCGAACGATTCTAAACCCCACACCCCAGGACCCTCATATCTACCCTAAACCCCGACACCCCTAAACCTTCAAGGGGCCCGGCTTTCTGGAGCCGTAGCTGGCATTTTCGGCGATCCCGAAGCAGGGATACTCCTTCGGTCAGGGTTGGCGGCGTGAGGTGTGAAATCGTTCAGCATGGGATTTCTATGCCCTCCTTAGAACCATAATGAAAATGTAATCCTTTCTTAAGATGTGAACAAACATGAAAGAGACTGTACGTCCAGGCTTTAAGGTATGGGGCTTGGAGCCTTAGGCTTCATGTGTTTACTATAAAGAACTTAGAGCCCTAGCAAAAATTAGAATGTTAGCTGTCTTGTAGGGATCAAAGAAACCAACAATTAACAACATATCTATCAGTACCCCCTAAGTTTAGGGTTTGAGGCAGGGTTTCTTTTGATGCCTATGGCGCTTGGGGAGAGGGCGGTCCCTCGGAAATCTTTCGGTTGGTCTGGGGTTTCCGGTCGCTCGGTGGGTTTAGGGTCATTCGGTTTGATAGTTGCGGTTGCGCTTTTGGGGGCTTTGAGCGGTTGGGGTGAGGCCAAAAGTCAAAGCTCACAGCTTAGTTGATAAGGTTTGCTTGGGTATTGGCTATCACCTGGTGTGTTCGCGCAGACCTGTTCACTGCTTAGTTGGCTTCGAAGATGACTAGCAAACTGGCCGCAGATTTCTTGGCGGTGGGGACACTTGTACGACGTTTTTATACAGGGAATACAATTGGCAATGGGATTTCACTTGTCTCGAACTGTTATACCTTAAACTATCAGGGCCCGCTCTTCTTATGTAGGTTCTTCAAAAACTTCTATCATGCAACTGATACGGACCTTACAAAAGGTAGGTTTGGATAGTTTGAGGTATAATTATGGACTTTGTCAGCAGCGAAGTAAGTCACTGGACCACTCCCTTGGGTTGGTTCGGGTGTCGTAATCAAAAGAAGCCTTGAAGGACCCCTTAACCCAAATCGCCATAGAACCCGTATGGACCCCTTAAAAGAACCCTGAAAAGAACCCTAAACCCAGAACCAGTCACGGCTGGAGCGGGTTTTGGGATGTTCTGTCTGTCTATTCCCTGGCCGGGCTTCTGTCATGATTAAGACACGGCACCAGCCGCCATGGTTCCTCCTTGTCGTCCGCGATCTGGCCACGCTTAATGGCGTGCTGCCTCCACAAATGTGCAGCTTCCCGGTCCCCCTTCTCCTCGGCCTCGTAGCATAGCCCTTCCCTTCGTTCATCCCACACTGTAGGCAATCATGCCGACCTGCTTCTGAAAAAGTTTTGAACTAATCTACTGAGCCCTTCCCAGGAACCCACTATCAAAGCATGCCTGAAGTCGTACGTACTTGTACTAAACCCTGACACCGTACCCACTAACACCCTGAAGCCCTACTTACAGGAACATGGGATTTCGTAAAGGGGGAAATAAACAATGTAACTACACTCAGAATTACTTGGAGGCCCTAATTATTCGTCTACTTCTGGACTCCAACCGAAGCCTGTTCCAGCACTTTTAGCTCTAATCCTGCTTTACTTGCTAAGTCCCATGATCTTCCAAGTAACCGGAACGAACCCTCACACGAAACCCCTAAACTCTAAACCCGAAGCCCTGACCCATAAACAGAAAAGCCAAAACCCCCGGCCCGAAACCCTAAATCCCTGAACCCCTAAACCCCTAAGGGAACTCCAGAAAGTTGGAATATGGAATAATGGCAGGATCCCCTATAATTTACCTTAAAGGGATTATGATAATGATATTCCAACTTTCCGACTTCTACTGTAAACCACGACACTCCGTCTCCTCAGCAAGGCCGAAATCTTTCAGCTCGAAGGAGTACCTTTCCCAAAGGCTCCATGTAGCTTTATAGTAGATAATTAAGCCTTAAAGGGGTCCCTATACAGGTACTTTTAAGGCCTAAGTATTTGCTATATGGGTACATGGAGCCTTGGGGTTTCTTGATTTGGGGCTAAATGCTTCGGGGTTTGGCGTCCCTGTTAAACAGCGCTTTTCCAGGGATACCAGAAGCAGGGTTTAGGATTTGCGTACTTCGGGATGGAGTCTTAGGGTTCGGGGTGTTTTCTTCAAAGGCCTCTACAAGGGTTGCCAGAAGGCTTCAGGATTTGGGTTCTGTCATTGTATAGGGATTATAGTAAGGTCTCAGCATCTTATGCCAATCTCTATAGTATTGTATGCCCCTCTTGACTTAGGCGACGAGATTTAGGAGTTGGGTTTAGTGTTCAGGGCTGGAGGTTAAAGTTATGGTTTTGGGTTGAGGAATCAACATAGGATTTGGCATTTAGGATCTTGGTCTGCGGTGTTCAGGGTCCGGGTTCAACCCTGAAACCGAACGCCCGCAACTACACAGGCCCGAAATGCATAGACCTGAGACTATGAGCTTTGCGGACCTTATGATCTCTGATATCGAAGCATGCTATGGTATGTTCATAAAGAGGAAACCTGATGAAAAGTGAACAGTATTGCTGAGTGTCAGGCTTCCAGATTAGGATCCCGAGCCGTGAACTCCAGATACCGAAACGGACCCTGGGGCCCTGAACCCCAAGCCCCAAAACTTAAAGCCTACACCCTCAAACGCTAGGCCCGACCCGGACCCCAAATTTTCCCCCTTTTTGCAGACTCTTATCAAGAAATCATAGTAGGGTAATTTGACAAAGGGAAGGTTCTCTAAGGGTCCACAAAAACCTACTGGGCACGTGGAGCTCTTCTGACGAACGAAGGCGATCTTGCCCAGCATCCTTGGTCGGGCTTACCGGGGCTTACTTGGAGGGGCGGGGGACTTAGTACGTAGGTTATAAGTATAGAGTTGTAAGTACCCTAAATGGGGTTACAATTATAACCCTACTTTTAGCCTTACTTACTAAGTCCCCTGCCCCTCCGAGTAGGGTGCACCTTAACCTACCAAAACCTACTTTTTGTAGGCTCCCTGTAAACTCCATATTAGGATTTATAACAGGAACCTACAAAAAGTAGGGTTTGGTAGTTTAAGGTAGGGTTTAGGGTTTCGGGTTTAAGTTTAGGGTTCCGTACTCAAGGGATCATGGGACTTAGTGGCTTAAAGAGTTCCTTAAAGAGCTCTTTGAGGCGTTCTATGAGGGATCTACAGGGGCACCAGGCGTTTAGTGTTATTTTTTTGTTTTTTTGGGGGGATGGGGGTTAGCAACTGGGGTTGCAAGCAAGGCAATTATGCTTGCTTATAACCTCACTCATGCTAGAACCGTATGTTATTGACTGAGTCTCATGATCCTGCAAGTAGGGTAGGGATGGGTATTAGGTTCTAAGACATAAACGTTTGGGTCTAGGGGTTTGGGCTTAGGGATTCAGGGTTCGGAGTAAGGGTTGGCTGAGCTTAGCTTCGAGGGTTTGGGGATCGGCTTTAAAAGTCGTTGGCTTCTTAGAAGAGCCCACAAAATTAAACCTGATACCTCCGTTAACTAGTTTAGCTTCGAGGGTTTGAGAATCGGGTTTAAAAGTGCATTGGCTTCCTGGAAAAGCCTACCAATATATACTTAGGCCTTAAAGTACCTATATAGAGACCCCTTATTTCTTAAGTATCTACTATGAAGGTACATGGAGCCTTTGGGCGGGTACTTACTGAAGGCCAAGGTTGGCTTGAGGCCCCGCAAGGCTATGCACACTTGGAGGATCATGGGACTTAGGAAGTAATTGTTACAAGTACCTTGATGGGGGTTATAAGGAATTATAAGTATAGTTACCTTACTTATAACCCCGGTTGCTAAGTCCCATGATCCTTTATTAGTATGATTGGGAGGTAGGTATTTCCATAAGAGCGATATGGCCTGGAGGGTAGGATGGTTGGCACCTAGCAGAATTCTATCGTCGGTTCGCAGCCAAGGAGGAAGCGAGAAGGAATTCAGATCTGGTTTCCCCACAAACCAAGAACGCACATTGCAGAACCTCGCGAAAATCGGCCTGGAGTGTCGCGAAACATGAAACCCTAAACCCGGCGGGGCATTCCTAATATATGCTCCATACTCTAAGCCCTGTACCCTACACCCTACTTGGAGGGGCAGGGGACCTATATAGTAAGCAGGGTATAGGTATAAGTAGAGTTATAAGTACCCTACATGGAGTTACCCCAAGTATAACCCTACTTACAAACGACTTACTAAGTCCCCTGCCCCTCCAAGTATACCCTCGACCCTAAACCCAAAAACCCTGAATTCTGTACTCCAAACCCTATAAGCCCTCAACCCCAAAACCCTTAATTCCCTATCCGCGTAACCCGAAACTCAAAGCCCCTCCCAGCGGATCCTAGGTACTGTTATGGGCGATACTTCCCCAAATGACAATAGTAGGTGTAAATAAGGATACCCTACATTCTACGATGTAAGCACTTGTAGGAACCCTCGAACGGAACCCTAAAACATGAACTCCTTAGTGGAACTGCTACAGGAAACCCTTAAAGAAACCGTACATTCTACTATAAAGCTACTTTGGACCCCTTGGGCCTAAAATCCACCCCTGACCTGCCGAAACCTTCTTAATGAAGGGTCCCCGGGTCCCCTGAATTTCCACAGCAGGGTTTACAATAAATGTAGGGTCTGGGAATTTAGGGGTTGGGGGTTTAGGGGTTAAGACTTAAGGGTTTAAGATTTGGGGGTTTGGGGGCTTTAGGGTTAAGGTTTGGTGGAGATCCCAACTTTAATGGATCTGGTTCCACAAGAACTGGATCGAGGGTGGTCAGGCTTCCGGCTGCTTTGTCTTCCCTTTGGTTGGTAGGGAATGAAAGGGGCCTTAAAAAGGGGTCTGTAAGGGTTACTATTAGGGATCTATAAAGGTACTATAATATAAGGGCCAAAATAATCCTATAGCTTACCTTTGGCTAATAGGGAATGAAGGAATGGGGTACAATTATAACTACTATTACTACCATTCTTCCATTCCCTAAACCCTAAACCCTAAATACTACCATTCTTCCATTCCCTACAAACCAAAGGTAAGTTGTTTCGTCTTGCTTCCCAGTCGCTTTTTTGCAACAGCCTCGACCGCAGCACTAACCTGTCCAAGATGGCTCACAGAGGAACCTTAATAATTAGAATAGGGTTCCTTTAAAAGGAGACTATAAGGGCTTCTATAGCGGATCTATAAGGGTAGTATAGTATGGGGGCCTTAATAATTAGAACAGGATTTTGGCGCCCAGTATACTTTAAGTACAACAAGGAACCCCCAGAATAGCATGCCTAATTATTTGGCCCCTACAGTCTAGAACCGAGAGTAGCCTAGGAATAAAAAGGGTGCCCTTTTTGGTTTAAAGTTTGTTATAAGGGAACCTGAACCCCCAAAAAAGGGAATAAGGGCCTACTCTAGGTCCTAGATGCTGTGTATCACCAGAAGGTTCTGCCGAGTGCAAGTCTGTGCTCCCTAAACCCTAAACCATACCTTAAATTACCAAACCCTACTTCTTTGTAGGTTCTCATTATATAACCTAATATGAAAATATAGGGACCCTGCAAAAAAGCAGGTTTTGGTAGTGTGAAGTCCACAAGCGTGGGCCACTCGAGAGGGAATAAGCGCATAACCTGAACCCTGAAAGCCTTGAGAACCAAATGCTCCATGCAGCTTTATAGTAGATACTTAAGCCTTAAAGGGGTCCCTATATAGGTACTTTAAGGCCTAAGTATATACCAGATGGGTACATGGAGCCTTAGGGCTTGGGAACCAACACCCCAGACCTAACCCCCCGAAGGTTTAAGCTTCCGGAGAACAAAAGCACTATAATGCACTACAAATATACTATAACATTTCAATATTGTTTATACTGTAGTAGATTTAACCCCCCGAAGGTTTAAGCTTCCGAAGAACAAAGAGCTCGAATCCCAAAGCCCGGCATCCTCAATTTCTGAAGCCTAAACCCCAAACCCCTCAATCCTACGGTTGATGATATAAATCCTGCATCACCCATAAGAAGGAATATACCAACAGATTAAGGTCCTTATAAGGTAATGCAGGATTTATATCATCAATCCTAGACCCTTGAGTCCGGCTATGTGCCAGAGCTAGAATAACTGAAGGCCCTGATGATATGGGAATTTCCGAAAGTAGGAGAGACCCTAATTTAGTACCCTAAACGGTAGGATCCTTAATATAAGGACCCCTAAATGAGGTACCCTAATTTTCGGAAACTCCCATATGGTATAAGGGCCTCTAGACCTTTGACTCTGAAGCCTGTGCCGGAATCCGGAACCCCGGCAGCCTTCGCATTCAGCTCGCTGTCGCCGCTCTTGTCGTCGTAGTAGAGCTGGCTTAGGCTTTGATTTAGGGGCACACAAAACAGATCCGTAATTTACGATAATCCCAAACCGAAACCTACGAACAACGAAACCATTTCTAAGCCCTGTAGACTGTGCCGAAACCCCGAAATCAGACACGATGTAGACCCCACATTCAACTCAGAGAACGACCTCCAACCTAAAACAACACAACGGCTCTGTGCTAAGGCTTGGGTGTGTAGGGTCACCGGATTCTATACAAACGGCACGTAGCGCTGGATAAGGGGCTGTTGCGGAACCCTGAGCTTCGCGTTACTAACTCTGGAGCCAATGTGGGTTTATTGTTTACTTAAAGGATCATGGGACTTAGTAACTGGGGTTATAAATTAGGTAACAATGCACAATACTTACAATGACTTATAACCCCAATTAAGGTACTTGTAACCTTACTTACTATGTCCCATGATCCTCCAAGTAGGGTTTCAGGTCCCGGGCCGTAAGCCCAAAGATTTAGGGCCTGAACCCTCCTAAACCGTAAGTAAGGGGCCTTAAAGAAAAGAAGAGGGTTTGTGGTATTAATTACTTAATCTACAAAACAAGGACCCCTGCGGAATATTGCGGAATACTATCACTAGATATCTGGATGCGAAGTCCTTGCGGCTTCGAGCCCGGTACCCAAAGTCGCAGATGCAAACTCCTCAAACAAACTCTACCCGACACCGAGTCTCCAAGTGCTGCAGCCCAAAAAAACCGATCCTAAACCCCAGCGCCAAGTCACAGATACCGCGCCTGACACCCGAAAACCTCAAACTCCACATCACTTGACTTAATACTTAGCCGTGGTCACATAATCTCAGACGACGAACGAGGTCTTCCCCGAAAACAGTTCCAAACCCAATCTCAACTTCAAGCGACTACGTAGCTATGCCCCTGATCCGTCAAGTCGTTCTTAAACCCCTAAACCTCAAGACCGAACCCCCCGTTCCTTCAATGGCCGGACCCGACAATCAACATGTCCAAAACAGCGAACACAGAAAGCTGCTACAAATCGATCATGTGGCTTGAGGATTTACATCAGTTTGTTCTGATCACTTAAGGCCCCATGCCCATAACCCTAAACCTTAACGCTTAAACCCTGAGCCCTAAATTCAACTCCTCTCATTGTGAGGTGCCCGCCCGGGCAATGGGAAGCTCGACCTTCTCGTAGGTGTCCTGACGTTGGAGCTTACTTAAAGGATCATGGGACTTAGTAAGTAAGGTTATAAGTAGGTTATAATTAGGATAACCCCACTTAGGGGACTTATAACCCCAATTATAACCTACTTACTAAGTCCCATGATCCTCTAAGTAAGGTTTAGAGATTCGCCCTGAGGGTCCAATGTGCACACAGGAGCCTCAGCAATTTCACAGTCGACTTCGTATTGAGTACTGATTACTGAATCAATTTCTACTAGGATACCCAGTAACCTAAGAATAAAAAGGCCTCTCTTTTTGGTATTGGGTAACTTTAGAAGGAACCTAGGACTACGAAAAGGGAATAAGGGTACTACTGGGCATCCTAGTCTATGTTTGAACTATAACTAAACTGGCACAACGGTCCATGTATTATTCTCTGCTTAGCCCTGAGGAGACTGTTCCGGAACCCGAACCCTGTAAGACGTAAGAGCTTGGTACGCACTGCGAAGGCTTTATGGCCTGCAGCCTACACTCTGCAGCCTAAACCCTACCCAGGGGCCCTAAAGTAGTTCCTTTTTAGGTAGTATATTAAAGTCCCTAACCAAAAAAGAGGACACACCCAAAAAGAAACTACTTTGGGGCCCCTGGGTAGAGCCTAAACCCAAAAGTCCAAAGTTCAGGGCTCAGGGTCTGATACTCGGGGCTCTATATGCCCTCGGATTCCGTTGCAAAGATGCTGCGTATGCCTCGAATCCACGCTCCAAGTGCTAACGTAGAGCTCACCTCATCAGCACTATACGGAAATCAGAGTTTACCTGTGATTCCAAACCCTACAAAATGGTAGGTTATGACCCTTAGTTAGAGGGTCTGACCCTTAAAACGGTAGGCTTTTGGATCCCCAGGTAGGGTTTAGTTTAGTTGCAATACTATGGTACTGCATGAACTGGTGCACAGTGGATCGGCCCTGCAGTCGTGGTAGTAGACTTCGTCACAATTCTCTACCGCAGGGCTTCACCGGTCCGAATCATTCGAATGGTTTTTGTGGGCTTAGTCTTACACGCAACCTTGTCGTGAACCACACAGGGCAGCATGTCAAGTTATTTCGGATAAGAGCTTGATCGGCCAGGCAACTCGCATTTGCCAGTCGTACTCCTGCAGGGGCTGGAGTGATCGGCGCCTGTAGCAGAAGGACCTACTAGAATCTACTGTCGGGGATCCCATGGGTAAAGGTTGGTCCGGTATACTATTTTTATAAAGGGACAATGAGGGAATATACGTGCAAATGGATCGAAACTGATGTATCTAAACGAGGAGGACTCCGGTTACTTAAAGGCTCATGGGACTTAGCAAGTAAGGCTACAAGTAGGTTATAATTAGGATAACCCCACTTAGGGGACTTGTAACCCCAATTATGACCTACTTACTAAGTCCCATGATCCTTTAAGTACGGGCTCATGGTGTATGTGACAGGAGGTTGCGGTGTGGTGGTGGATCTGGGGGTGGCCCGCAAAACGACCATTCTGCAGGGTTCTTTCTAGCACCCTGCCCCAGAGAGCCCAATATCCCTTAATCAAGGAATATAGCTTAAATCATAATATGAATTCTCTTATAATTTAAGGTATATACCTTAATTAAAGGGTATTGGGCTCTCTGGGTTGGGCTCCTGGATGATACATCCGATCCCAGAGTCGACTAACACAGGGGCCTTAAGAACTAGAGTAGGTTTAGGGGTATAGTATACTGTTACTGCAATAAGGAACCCCTCAAATAGCAGAGGGTAATTATTTATAAGCCCCTGTATAATCCCCGCCGCCCTGCCCCGCCCCCCTGAAGGTGGCCGCACCTGAGCCACATCTCCAAAATGCTGTGATTCGCCTGGATGTCTGAGGCTCAAACACTGCGGGGTGGGGGGGGGCGGGGCTCAGGCCTTAGGCAGGGGTTGCAAGTATCAGGGTCTAATGTAGGGGCCTAAATAAATTCCTACCAAATTTTGGAGTTCCTGCGACAGTTCCCTACTGTAGTTCTAGTATACTATACCCCAAAACCTTATTCTAATTATTAAGGCCCCTGTATTAGGGCTGCTAATCATACCCCCTGAGAACCATGATAATAACAGAACGTTGAATATCCTCTTGGGTTTTTATGAACAAAAATCAAACCAGGAAGACTGTCGTCATTAGTGTAGGGGCGTTGACCAATGAAACGGTGTTCTCGCCCAAAGGGTCCAAAGCACATATATGGTGGAATGTAGGGTTTCTACATCAGGAATTACTATTTTGATTTGGGGACGTATTCCCCATAACAGTACCTAGGACCCTTTGGGTCCATAATCTGCTAGGCATGTCTCAGCCCTCTAGATCAAGAGTCTTCGGAGTGTGGCTTTGGTTTGCGTGCTTTTGCCAAGGTTTGAAGGGCTTCCGGGGCTTGAGCTGCAGTGCAACTCAGGGCCCTCATCGAATCTTACAAAGGTTACCCTGAGGGTCCATGTACCCAAATAGGGTTCCTTTAAGGGTTGCTTTAAGAGTTGCTACAAAGGTTCTGTGAGGGTTTAGGGTTTAAGAGCCCATGTACCCAAATAGTATATACTGTTGCCGCAAAGAAGTCCCTGGGAGTTTCCAAACATAGGGGGACCCGAACTACAGTGCCCAAAACAGTAGGCCCTAAACCCTAAACCCTAAACATCCTTATTATAAGGACCCCAAAGGAGGGTACTCCTAGTCCTAATTTACGGAAACTCCCAAATAGCATATACTTTGGCCTTAAAGTAGTCCCTATATTGGTACATTGTGCCCAAAGTATCTACCCTTTGGGTACATGGAACCCTAAACCTTCTGAAATCCGCTCAATTCAACCCTAGCATACGCGGCTTGTCAAACTATACAAGCCCTCTAGGAACCCTACTGAACATCCCAAACTCCAGAGCCCTCTTACCCCCCACACCCTGGAACCCTAAATACCCTATAGCCCCAAGCCCTCAACCCTACTTGAAGGATCATGGGACTTAGTAAGTAGGTTATGAAAGTCCCCTAGGTGGGGTTATCCGAATTATAACCTACTTATAACCTTACTTACTAAGTCCCATGAGCCTTTAAGTACGCCCTCAACCCTTCGCCCCGAAGCCCTCAACTCCCCACGGTTTAGGGTTTAGGGCCCACGCCTGGAACTCCGTGAGCGGCAGCGTCAGCGCTGTTTCGGGGGAACCCAGGGCCCAAAGTTCCACGTGGCCCCTGGGCGCTCGGAAGTTTAGTTGGTAGTTTAGGGTTAAGGGTTTAGGGTTTAGGGGTTTTGAGGTAGTTGGTAGTTTAGGGTAGTTTGTGGTTTAGGGTTTAGGGCTTCAGGGTTTTAGGGTTTGGGGTTTAGGGCTTAGGGTTTCGGTTGGACGTTGAAGAAAACAGGGAGATGGAGAAGCAGGAAACTGGACTTTAACGGGTTTCGGATTTAGGGTTTAGGGTTTCAGGTTTGTATAGACTTGTATTTCACAATGGTTCCTTCAAGGAACAGCTTCGGAAATTTGTAGTCAAGCATGGTACTCCAGGAAAAGTCCCCAGGGTTTTGGAGTCTACACCCTAACCCCGAAACCCTAAATCCGTTGAGGTGAAAGGGAGCTTGCAAGCCACGGGAGTCCACTAAAGAAGATGTTGGAAAGTGCATTCTTTGTCAGGGGACTACTTACATGGACAATCCTGCAGGCTGCTTTAGAACGGAAAAAGATACCTCGTAGACCTTCAAGGTAAAACTTCGTGCATCATGGTAGTTCCTATATACTTCGACATTAACGTTGACAACCCTAAAGCCCGAAATCCCACATTCTTCAACAACAGCGTTAACAACCCTAAAGCCCGAAACCCTGACCCTTAAATCCTTAAGCGCACCCCAACCCTCAAAACCTAAACTCTAAACCCCGGGCGCAAAGACTGCGAACTCAAAGCCCTGGGCCATTAAACCGTCAACCCGAACAGTTCTCAAGGCCTTCGAAAACCTCAACCCTACACTTCCCCTATTATGCAACCCGTATGCCACAAGGCTTTGAAAGATCAACTAAAGAAACCAAAGGAAACCCCAAATCGCCAAACCCCAACAGCTTTCGAAGCTAGACCCAAGAGTAACCTAGGCATAAAAAGGGTGCCCTTTTTGGTCTGAAGGGTGTTATAAGGGAACCTAAACCCTAAAAAAAGGGAATAAGGGCCTACTCTGGGTCCTAGGAAGGCTTACAGAAACAAGGCTGCTTTAGAGGAACCCTGATGGTTCACGGTTGAGGATTAAGGTAAACCCAAACTAATCCCTCATAACCCTAAACCCTAAACTCTGAACCCTTAAGGTCGCAGGGCTTTGGCTTTAGGGTAAACCATGGTAGACCCAAACCTATACTGAACTTAGAACCCTGCCAAAAACTATAATTTTAGCTGTTTCTTAGGGATTATAATAAACAAAAATTGAAAATGATTTCTAAGTACCCCTAAGGGAACCCTTAAGGTCGCAGGGTTGAGGCTTTAGAGTAAACCATGGTAAACCCAAACAACTCTACTTGAAGGATCATGGGACTTAGTAAGTAGGTTATAATTGGGGCTATAAGTCCCCTAAGTGGGGTTATCCTAATTATAGCCTACTTATAACCTTACTTGCTAAGTCCTATGAGCCCTTAAGTAGACCCTAAACCCTAAACCCCATAGATCCCTTAAAAGGATCCCTATAGATCCCTTTAAGGAGCCCTTTAAGAACCCTTACTAAGTCCCATGAGCCCTTAAGGAGGCTTTCTAGCACCCAGGCCTCCGCTCCCCGAACTGCGCCGCGAAGACTAGTTCGTCTCGCCTGGCCAAGGACCACAGGACCCCCACGCAAAATACGTGCTATATCTATATCTATCTATCTATCTATATATATATATATATATACATATTTACACACATGTATATAGATATATATATATATATATATATATGTGTATACAAATACAGATACAGATATATCCCCACGCACACACACACACGCATACATTCAGTTATACTTATATTTATACATCTACCTATATCTATATCTACATCGATATATGTATATTGAGAGGGAGGGTTTAGGATTTATGCATTAGGGCGTGGGTCTCATGGTTGTGGGTGTGGGACTTTCTGTAAGGCTCACCACATCTGCCATTATCTGCAGGCCGACTTTGAAGTTCTACAGTGCCAAAACACTGTAGAATTATCTCCGACATGTTGAGAATGCAACGGAAAATCGGTACGCGGCGCTGCGATACCTGCAGCCTTTCCTGCCTCAAAGGGCACCACTACATCTATCAGGATCGAACCTGCACCCTGCGCTGCGGGTTTCCAAGATGTCTGTGGTTGTCCACCGAGTCATGGGCACCTTGAGTTTAGCACGTACTTAAAGGCTCATGGGACTTAGTAAGTAAGGTTATAAGTAGGTTATAATTAGGGTAACCCCACGTAGGGGAATTGTAACCCCAATTATGACCTACTTACTAAGTCCCATGATCCTTCAAGTACCCCTAAACTACCCCTTCTAGAGCCCCTAGAAAGATCCCTTAAGAGGAGCCCTTTAAAGGAACCTACTTACTAAGTCCCATGATCCTTCAAGTACCCCTACACTACCCCTTATAGAACCCCTATATAGACCGTAAGAGGAGCCCTTTAAAGGAACCTACTTACTAAGTGTCATGATCCTTCAAGAAGGATTAGGGTCTGACAGGAGGGCGGTGCTGCTTTAGGGTTAGGAGGTGTCGTGAGACTGGCACTCTCCGAACTCCGTAGGGTCTCTGTATCGTTAACTAGTCCCAAGAGTAACCTAGGAATAAAAAGGGTGCTCGTTTTGGGTGAAAAGTGGGTTATAAGAGAACCTCAACCCTAGTAAAGGGAATAAGGGCCTATTCTGGGTCCTGGTTAAAGTCAGGTGTAAGACTTGACAACCTGCACTCAAAGCCCTGAAATGCATACAGCCAATGAACAACTTTAAAAACTACCTGGTGAGGGGCCAAAGATTTTCTGTGCCCTCAAACCTTGCCTGAAATTGAAGACCCACGAGGGAAGTCTTCCAAGATCAGTGACACTTAAATCGGACGCGATCAAAGACCGTGCACCCCGAACCCCAAATAACGAAACCCTACACCAAACCATCGAATCCACAAGCGAAGCCTTAAACGCAAAAGTTAATCCAATCACAAACCAAAAGATGGTGCCGGGTTGTATAGGCATCACAAGTTATCACACGGTCCTGAGCTCGCCAAACTTCTTTCCATAGCAAGTCCTGTACGGAAACCGGCTACGCAACGGACTGGAAAACGTCCTTTTCAGAAAACCAGGCCCCCGCGCGTAACAAACACATACGAGTCTAGACCAGCACTCCGGAATATCCTCGATGGGGTTCTAGACTACCAGCCGGTCTGCATGATAAGGACAGAACATCGGAGGTACATTATAGTTTCCTCACGTCAAGGAACAGGGAACCCTGAGGAACACTACCGCCAATTCTTCAGACCCCGTAAGGTAGAAGCCAGAAAGTTGGAATATGATTATCGTAACCCCTTTAAGGTAAATTATAGGGTATCCTACCATGAAACCATATTCCAACTTTCTGGAGTTCCCTGTAATAGAAGTCAGCAAGCTCTAAACACGCCAGCGCACATCAGATTCGCGACGCTCTTGAACGTCCGGTACTCCTTCTCGTCCTCAGGCGGGATAGCAAGAATACCGGCCCAACAAATCCTTTAAACATAAACGTCGCACAGGTACCTTCGGCTCAGGGCTGCGAATTTGCAAAAAAGACTACAAGCGAGAGGTATCTATAGCTCATGTTCATATGACCTGCTTCAGATCACAAGAATAATGCAACCCCAACATACCCCAATCCCTGTGTACACCGTGCTGAGCAAATCCCGGTCAACGAGGAATAAAGTACAGGAAGGGTCTCAATATCTATACTGAACTTAGAACCCCAGCACAAATCATAATTTTAGCTGTTTCTTAGGGATTATAATAAAAAAACAAAAAAATATTTCTAAGTACCCCTAAGCAACAGGCCACTCACTGCATGTGCCTTGCCCCTTGCCAGGGCTTCCGCTGTCGCTTCCTGCATTAAGTTCACAATACCTTTTTAGAGTTCCTTATTATGACCTCTTTTTATAAGCCCTTAAAACGGTAGGTCCTTCAGGGTTTGGGTTTAGGGCTTAAGGCCTTATGATCTCTTTTTATAAGTCCTTAAAACGGTATGTCCTTCAGGGTTCGGGTTTAGGGCTTAAGACCACTTGAAGCCCTGACCCGCCAGAGTCCCTGGCCTTCATCTGACTCTCCAATCGTTCTGGACTTGCTGCAGCAACAGGCCATGAATTAGAAGGACCAAATCACTTACGTTTGGTTTGGTAGGGAATGGAAGAATGGTAGTAATAGTAGTCATAATAATGCCCCATTCCTCCATTTCCTACTGACCAAAGGTAAAATAAATCATGGACCCTGTGTGTTCAATTCGTCCAGACCCCCTGGACTCCGTGGAGCGCAAGCTCTTTTGGGCCCTTAGCATTCGTTGCTTGTCCTCCCCCAAAGGCTCCATGTAGCTTCATAGTAGATACTTAAGCCTTAAAGGGGTCGCCATATAGGTACTTTAAGGCCTAAGTATATACAAGATGGGTACATGGAGCCTTTAGGGTCCGTCAGGATTGCATTGGCCCGGTCGATCCTGCGGTGAGCTTCCCTTGTCTTCTCGAGCATGCCCTCTTCCTGAGTACAGCTATGCAAGTGTGCGCACTTGGCTCATGGACTCTGAGTACGGAGCTTCCCGTATCGGAGTTTCAGAAACGACGGGAGTTGAACGGCGACCTGCAGTCTAGGATCATGACACAACCTCCTAGACCTTCCCATATCCCTATATTCAGGAATACACCTTAATAGATAGTTGGAACCCTAAAACAAATTAAGGTATATGAATTTGATTAAGCGAGATGTGAGTTTCCGAAAATGGGGGACCCTAATATAGTAGCCTAAATAGTAGGGTCCTTATTTTAAAGACCCTGCGATAAGGTCCCCACCCACCAAATTTTCGAAAACTCCCATATTAAGATTCACAGTTGGGAAGGGGTTGGACGGGATGAGGAGCCTGGGAACCACAAAAAGCAATAAGGGTACTACTGGGCATCCTCGGGGATATTGGAGAGGCCTGAAAGCAAGTCAAATCGAGCCGAAATACCAAACCCTAAACCCTTTTGCTAAGCCCTAAACCCTAAAGCCTGAAACCCTGTATAAGCCCCAAACCCGAAAAACAAAACCGGAAACCGTAAACCCTATAGGCCCAAAGTCCTACACACCCTCTAGAACCCTAAAACCATAAAGCCCGAAACCCAAAAGCCCTAGAGCCCTGAAGCACTACGGGTACTTCTGAATTAGGAATCCCTGTTGGACACCCGAAATGGTACGGCACAACCCTAGACCCTAAACCTAATGAACAGGACCCCCAAAAATACCTTTAGTTGCTGAGTTCGTAAGTCCCAAAAAGAGCACAATTCACAATTTCAGTTCTATAAAGGACTATAATATCCTAAAAAGTGCAAAGTGTGCTCACTCAGCTACTCAGTAATTTTCTCTAGAGAATTACCCACATGAGTTTAACTTCCTGGAGGCTCCGGAGCCCCGATCCGTACAAAGCCGAGTACTTGGGGATAGAAGCGAGATAAGCCCCAAGCCCCCAAAAACCCTGAAACCCCTAAACCCTGAACCTTCAACTCCTCCAACCCTGAACCCCTAAACCCTGACACCCTAAAACCCCGAACCTTCAACTCCTCAAGCCCTAAACCCCCGAAACAAGGCGAAGCTAAGTCCTGAGACTTGAAGAAGCCCACTACGGTGGCATTGGCCGCCTCGAGTTTAAGAGTTTAGGGGTTTCAGGGTTTAGGGGTTGAGGGGTTTACTTGGAGGATCATGGGACTTAGCAAGTAAGGTTATAAGCACCTTAATTGGGGTTATACGTATAGTTACCTTATCTATAGCCCCATTTACTAAGTCCCATGATCCTTTAAGAGGGGTTTAGGGGTTTAGGGTCCGGCTCACCGTAGTCTTAGTTTGATACAGGGGCCTCAAGAATTGGGAGAGGCTTGTTCCAAGGGCCCATTTTGAAAGGCAAGTGTAAGGGTTGATGTCAGGATTCGATAATGGGCATTAGAACGTGGTCCGGGGGGCATATTATACTATGTGCTTGCTGAGGAAAAGTATTGGCACTTATTCAAGCTTCTAAAGTGGCTCTTGGTGCTTTGGCTCACAGCTTCAGGCGTTTATGGTCGACATATTATGGATCAGCGCTTAGGGCACCCTAAACTCCTCGGCGCTCCCTTCGCCACATCTAGCTAGCCCGGTACCCCAAACTCTAAACCCATAAAGCTTAACTTGCTGCTGTTGGCTGAGCAAGGCGATGCCGCGATTTGTGACAACACCTTCATATTCAGAAGCTAACCCTACTTACCACATCAGGGTGACATCGCTAGAAATTATTTATTCAGACCGGTGTATTATCACCATACTCGTATCTTCAGGCAGCCCCCTAAGTGGAACGTACTTGAAGCAAAAATTGCCCCGATGTGCGCACAACTAGCTGAGCCCTACTTGTAACTGTGGAAAAACAGGCCGGAACTTCCACAACATAAAGTCGATTCCCTACAGTGTCCTACTTGTCGGGTATCATGGGGAACTAAAGGTTGACTTTTTTGGTTGTATATGGATTATATGGGGACTATACTACCCAAAAGAGGTCCATACAGTAAGAGTCTATAGGGCTACTATTAAGGCCCTAACATATCTATATTATGAATATTATTCAACTATTAAACTGAGTGGGGGCCGTACCCAATCGGTTGCCTACAGTATTTGGCGTTACGGCACTTGCATCAACAAGACCATAACGAAACACAGCAACACACTCAAACAATCTCAAGAGCCTTAAACCCAAAGCCTTGAACCCTGTACCCTATACCCTAAACCCTAAAGCCCTGATCCCTGCAGCCTTTGCCCTAAACCTTAGCTGACTTCGGAACCCCTCCTAAAAGTTAAACTTCCAGCCCCATATTATAGTTCATATAGAAAGCCAAAAAGTTAGTCTCCTAAGAGCCAACCAGAAGGATGCCAAGAAACCCTAAAGCCTTAACAAGTCTCGCCTTAAACTTGCTGATCTCCTCCGCGGACTTCACTTCAAGAACAGCTGGTCCTGAAAGTAGGGGCAGGGGACTTAGTAAGGGACCTTAAAGGGATCTGCAGGGATCCTTAAAGGGCTCTATGGGGTTTAGGGTTTAGGGTCTACTTGGAGGGGCAGGGGACTTAGTAAGTCGTTTATAAGTAGGGTTATAATTGGGGTAACTCCATTTAGGGTACTTATAACTCTACTTATAAAGTGCTTATATACTAAGTCCCCAGCCCCTCCAAGTAGGAGGTGTTTGTTAAAGCCTTTGAAATATGTTAGTAGGTAAGATCCTCATAAGCCCAATAAGAGCAAACATAAAATGTCCCAAAGCCCTACCTAGTCTGTTTCGGGGGTTCACCGTTTAGAGAGGCTCAGCGTTTGAAGGTTTAGGGTTTAAGGTTTGGGAGTTTCGGGGTTACAGTAGTAAGGATGTCGGGATGTGCAGAGTGGGTTTAGGGTTTAGGGGTTAGGGTTCGTGGAGTCAGAGAGCTTGTTCCGAAGTCCTTTTGAAGTAAGAGCCCCCGGGTGTACAAAGTACAGAGCCCGAACTATCCTGACTTGAATCATTGAAGAGGGACCACCCTTACCTACACTAAAGGATCTAAAGGATCCCAATACCACAGTTCTTCTTGTGTCTTCATGTTGACTGTTTCCAGACCTATCTAAACTCGCGCCCCTGTTTAACTAGGTCCCCCAAATAGTACGGCACCCTTATCAAAAGGACCTTGAAAGGTGCCCAAACTTAGAAAACTGCCAATGCGCACCCCCAACTTACGTTTCAAAAGGCAGGTCGAAGAGATTACTTGTGGGATCATGGGACGTAGTAACTAGGAAGATTCGGTTAGGGCAGGTTTGCCTTCAACTACCTTTATAGACCCCAGTATATCGTGGGACCTGGTAAGTGGGCTTACAAATATTGTAACTACTAGCTTCTGATAATTACCTATATCCCCACTTGCGGCACTTATAACCTGACTTACGAAGTCTCATGATCCTGCAAGTAGACTCTTGAGCCTTACTAAACCCTAAACCCTATAAACCCTTAGCAAAACCCTTTAAGGAGCCCTTTCAAGAAGCCTGTCAGTTGCTCTAAACCCTCTGTAGATCCCTTTCAGGAGCCCTTTTCTGTTACTAAGTCCCATGATCCTCCAAGTACCCTTAACCCTAACTCCACCAGAAACCCTAAACCCTATAGACCCCTTTTAAGGAACCCTTATAGTAACCCTTACAATGTCCCTTATAGTACCCCTTATAGATCCCGTTCAAGGAACCCTTCAAGGCACCCACCCTTATCAGGTGCATTAATCTAAGAGTCCATGTACCCAAGTAGACTTTGGGCCCAACGTACCTATGTCGTTAGGGAGTACTTTAAGGCCAACGTATATACCAGTTGGGGACATGGACCCTTAAAGCCCTAAACCCTATACAGCAGAATCCAACATTATTATCCTCATGCCCTTTGGGTAAAGTATAAGGGATCCTAGGACTAATCCTCCTAAAGCCATGTTCCAACTTTCTGGGGTTCCCTACAACTCCCTGAACTCGAAAACCCCAAAGCCTAAACATAATATAGGAGTCAAAAAGCCCATTGGACCTGAGCCTTCGGCTTCTACTTGGAGGGTCGGGGGACTTAGTAAGTAGGTAGTAAGTAGACTTATAAGTACCCTAAAAGGGATCCTAATTGTGGTTATGGTACTTATAAGTCCCTAAAATAACCAGTTACTAAGTCCCCCAACCCTCCAAGTACTGTAGAACCCTTGTGGGAACCCTCAGGGATAAATACCGGCCGCCCCGGACCGGTTGGGCTCCTTGCGGGATCATGGGACTTAGTAAGGGTTCTTAAAGGGCTCCTTGAAGGGATCTATAGGGATCCTTAAAGGGGCTATGGGGTTTAGGGTTTAGGGTCTACTTGGAGGATCATGGGAATTAGCAAGTAAGGTGATAGGTACCTCAATTGGGGTTATATCTAATTGTAAGTACTAGCTAGAGTATAGCTACCTTATTTATAACCCCAGTTACTAAGTCCCATGATCCTGTAAGTGCAGCTGAGGCGGTCGAGGCACGTAGGAACTTTGCCACATCGTCCAGCAGCGCAATCTCTTCGTAGCGGAATTTCAGCTTCACGGGCGCCTCACACTTTCAGCCGTCAGGGTTTACAGTAGAAGCCCCAAAGTTGGAAACCCCATAGCCTCAGTCCTTAAGAGTACTGTTTAGGGAATCCCAGCACTATTTGGCCTTAGTCCGGTTTCCAACTTTATAGAGTTTACTATAGGGTTAGGGGGTTTAGGGGATTCGCGCTTGGGGTGTCTGCTTCCGAGATCGATAAGGGTGCTTTTTCATAAGCGGCCAATGAAAGAACAACAATGTTTTAGCTCTTATGGGATTATGGAGCCCAAAGACACTGCTGTCAGAACCTCAAGAAGCACCCTTTGAAATCTCGTGAACAACTTGAAAACCCTTGACAAACCTCGTTGGACTCTTGAGGAACCTTGTATAACAAATCTTAGGGCTTAGGGATGCGTAGAAAAATTACAAGCCCGGTAGGAAATCCTCTTTGCACTCCTTAAAGGCCCTGACACTGCACCTCTGTCCACAAAACTGGGCGGCCGAGAAGAAAAAATCCCTTAGCCTTCAGTCCAAGCCGTTATCCGAAATCCCTGGTGGGAGGGAGATAAAACCCAAATTATGGTTTTGGGAGACAGCATCTGCAGCATATGGGGGCTAAAGGTTATAAATGGGATATCAGTTCTGGGTATTCCGACCCCTGTATTACCCAGGGGCCCCAAAGTAGTTCCTTTTTAGGTAGTATATTAACGTCCCTAACCAAAAAAGAGGACACACCCAAAAAGGAACTTCTTTGGGGAAAGCCCCGCCGAACAAGCTTGTGGAGATGACGGATCTGGACTCAGAGCCTACAGTTTAGGGTTTGGGGTTTAAGTGTGAGCCAGAAAATTTGGTACCAGGACTAGTATTGCCGAACCGTAGAGCCTAACAACCTAAACATCCCTATACCCTAAACTATAAATCCTGAGCACAAAACCCGAAAACCTGTATCCTGAACCCACTAAACCATAAACCCTAAGCACAGTTCCGTTCAGCTCTGGGAAAAGTTTTCCGTTTTAAACACCCTCGTATCCCGAATAATGCTCTTGTGCAATTGGAAGCTCAGCCCTACAGCAAACTTCGGGGAGTACCAGCCTTCTTCCAGTTTCCGACCTTCTGGTGGATTCGCGCTGTTCTGACTCAGCCTCCACTTCCACGGGGTGTTCCTGCAACTGTTTGGCCGTCAAGGCCAAAAGCCTGGGTCCGGGCATACACTCAGGTGCAACTGTCTCGCTCGGATACCGAGAACGGTATTTCGCCAGCATGGCTTTCACGGATTCAACGCTAAGCTTCTTTGGAAAGCTCTCGACCCACGAGGAGTCGCTCGATGCAGGAAAAGCCGGAACAACCGGCGCAATACTGATGACAGGCTCCGAAAGAGTCGGGGCAATTTATTGTATTGTAGGACAGCCTCGCGTACAGGACCAAACGACTATGTGTCCACAACTTCCCCAACACCCAAGGACATATGATGGCTGATCGACGGGGGCTGATCAACATGCGGGCCCCCTATGGTCCCTGGATCTTTAAGGAATACTCCAAAACACACACCCCCAAAGGGTCCATAATTTTGTGCTTAGGGGCTCAAATCCTGAACGGTGGTTGGGATATTGCCGCAGCCTGTACGTCCACATGAGAACCAAAGCAGCAAAGTCCGGCATGGGAGGACTAATGATGTACCCAAGGTATCTATAAGGCTCCACAGGGGCTTTATGTAGTGTCCTCAATTCCTTGAACAGGGTTCTGGGGGGGAGTATGTTATAAGTTATACCTGCTACGACAAAGAGCCTCATGTCTACCGTGGTCTCTCAATGCCATCTTTTCGGCGGTCGGTAAAACCCAAACCCGGAGCCCTGAACCCAAAATCTTGGCCCTAAAGTAGAAGCCAGAAAGTTGGAATATGATTATCCTAACCATTCTATGGTAAATTACAGGGTATCCTACCATGAAACCATATTCCAACTTTCTGGAGTTCCCTGTAGATCCTGATTGCGAACCTGAAGCCCCAGGTCTGTAAGCCCTGGCCCTTTTACCCAAACTCTAATCCCCAACCCCTAACCCCTAACAAGGAGGCCTTGTGTAGAACCCTCAAAAGTCCGGTTAAGGAGCCCTTCATCCCAAACATTTCGGGTTTCGGGAAAGAAGAGGGCCGACCTCATCGGCTGCCCCATTGAACACCACAAACTCACCTTAGGGTTTCGGGTCGCGGTATGCGGGTTTAGGGGTTTAGGTCTTTTTTCGGGTTTAGGGGTTTAGGGGTATTTGGGTTCAGGGGTGATGGGCTTGGGGTTTAGGGTTTACGGGACAGGGGTATAGGTGTAGGGGCTCTCTTGCGTTGAGGGTTCGGTGTCGCGAACTCAGAGTATGCTCGGCGATCTTATCTTAAGGGTTAACCAGTGTTTGGGACGGTTCATGACTATCATGTACTGGGACCCGTGGGACTAAGGGTGGACGTGTCTATATGGCTAGTTCTCTAAAAATAGGTACGAGTCCCGCTTCTTCTTTTGGGTTCCTAAAAAGGAACCCTGATTTAGATAGTCACATGGTAGACTTCGGACAGGGCAGGAAGTCACCACAGAGGAATCCGGCATGGCCTAAGTGTATACTATACCCCCTTGGAACCATAGCAAAAACATTATCTTGAATGTTCTCTTGGGTCTTACATGAACGAGAGCAAAAAGTCACTCTAAGGAGACTATCATGGCAGCACATGGACTAGAAACCCCTGCACTAGCCAGGATTTATGCAGCCTGGCCTTGAACACCACCTCTCCCCACGAACCCCTCGCCTCGGGTTCATCGCTTCTCGCCAACTGCAAGGCACCCTCATCCGCATCCTGGGTTTAGGGTTTAGGATGGTTTAGGGTTTAGGGTTTCTGATCATGTCGCACTTCGAGACGAGCTCCCGCTTCAATGCACTCGCCCTCGGAGGTGGTGACTCAGCTATCTCGGTCTCGGTGACCAGGGCTTCGACGGATTCAGGGTTTTGGTGCACATGCCCTGAACCTTGACTCTCTAAACCCCTAAGCCCTAAACGGGTTTACGGCTTTGGGACCGGATTAGGGCGTACCTTAAACCGTAGTAACAATCCGCTTTTAGGACTATAACCCTGAGTATCTGACCGTGTTTAGGACCAAAACTGCGGAATCATGATAGGCACCCTACGGGTCCAAGTAACAAATACTAACCTACATAGCTACTATCCGAAACCTGAATGCCCAATCATTGGGTCCTTTGGACCCTTAGGGGGAGCCCGAGGCAAGTGGGCACTGCAGGGTTCAGGCAGATCTTGAAGGGAGGGCCATGAGGGCTTCGGATCGAAGATCAGGGTTTCTTAGCTTTAAGATTTGGGGTGCAGGATTTAAGGCCTAGGATTTAGGGTTTAGGATCTAAGGGTTTAGAGTTCAGGGTTTAAGGTTTAGGGGGTTTTAGGCTTATGCTGTACGGCTTTGTGTTTACGGCAAACGTTTATAGGCGTAGCGTGGAGGGTCTAAGGTTTATAGGTCTTAAAGATTGCAGAACCCCCCCTAGACCCTAAACCCTATAGAGCCCAAGCCGTAAAATTCTAAACCCTGAAAATATTCCCCCAGACCCTAAACCCTATAGAGCCCAAACCGTAAATCCTAAAGCCTGACAGAGTCCTAAACCCATGACCGGGCTCAGATAAAAGGCGGAATAAATGCTGTATCAAAGGACTTTGAACTCCGGGCTTGTGGTTTGGGAGTTTATGTCGTGGGGTTTAGGGTTTAGGATTTGGGGTTTAAAGGGTTCAGGGTTTGGTGGTAGGTTAAGGCCTGGAAGAAACCCTACACGAGTGCCGAAGACAGTTTACTGAAACTCCGAAGCCTTCACTATACTGAACTTAGAACGTTAGCAAAAAATAAATTTAGCTGTTTCTTGGGGATGATAATAACCAAAAATTACAAATTATTTCAAAGTACCCCTAAGTTCAGATTGTTCACACACCGTATTTTTCTAGCAACGACCTCTCTCCGGGATGCCGGCAGGTGTAGCTGCACGCGGCGCCTAGTCTCTTCCCCTGGCTTGCGGCAAAGCACAATAGGGCTTTGGGTTCCATCATACTCTAATTGAAATGAAAATTGCCCTTCCCCCCCACAATAATATTGGTAACTATTCAGGCCCCTATATTACAGACCGAAACCACAAAACCACGAGCCCTACACCGTGCATGCGAACCTCGAAACCCTGAACTCTAAGTTCTACATTCTAAACCCACCCCGAGACAGTGGCCTTAGTAGTTGGAGTGTAACCTATAATGGGCCATCATCTGGTACTAGATCTTCAGATCTCTGCACTAGATCCAAACCCAAACGACAAAAAAGGTAGCTGACTAAAGAAACCCTGGGCCTATAACCCCAATTATAGTAGGATTCATATAAGGAACCCTAATAAAGGCCCAAGGCTTCTTAATCAGGTTCCTACATTATGTCACCGCAACTTATATGGTACAAAACCTTGAGCCGAACGCGAGCAAGAACACACTCTCTTCAGCAGTCATGTTCGTGGTCGAGAGCCCTCAATAGCCAAGATCTATCGTAGGAAGTCTGAATATCGCCCATAGGATTTTGGGCCAATTATAATATGCCTGCAAAGGGATTACATTACGACGGGGGATACTCTGTCTACATTTGTGGGCTCTGCTCCCTGCTTCCCCTCCCCCCAAGGAGCCATCATGAACTGTGGAACTTCAACCTTGAAGACTCAATAGGGCCCCAAAACAACCACATAAGCAAACAAATGAGGGCAGGGATATCCCATACAAACTCCCTTAAAAGGAAGGCCAATAAGGTAGGGGATATCACCATAAAATGCTTATGCTTATGTGCTTTTTGGGTCCCTAACTCAAGCAACCAACCATTCCACAGAAGGGCTGGGATGGAGAACTTAACTCCCAACCTCACGGCCCAGGCCATTTTACGGGGATAGGAGGGGGAATAAACACATAGAGAGCCATTGCTTGGAGGGGCAGGGGACTTAGCAAGTAGGTTACAAGTAGAGTTTTAAGTACCTTAAATGGAGTTACCCCAAAAATAACTCTACTTATAAATGACTTACTAAGCCCCCTGCCCCTCCAAGTGGGGGAAGGTCTTAGCCACCCAACTGTGAAACTCCAAAGCTGAAGGCTAAGCCGTTCCACGGGGAGTCACGGGAAGGGGGGGGGGGGGCGCAACCATATCTAGGATGCTCAGTAACCTAGGAATAAAAGGGGCTCCCTTTTTGGTATTGCGTTACTGTGTCAGGGACCTGGGACTACAAAACAGCAAAAAGGGATCACTGGGAGGCCTAGACATATTCCTGGCCTTTCCAAGGGCCACAACGCTGCACAAGCCTGAAGAATTAGAATCGTTTTGGGAGGGCCTAAAAATTTTGCAGCAACATTTGTCAACCCCCAAGTTCGCCCTTTTGGGTCCAAATGCCGAAATATCATATACTCCCCCAAAGACTGAGCTACGAAAGTACTATCCCAAACCCAAGTCCCTGAGTACGAGGTCCTTTGGACCGTTGGGCTTGGGCTTCCGGGTTCAACTGCGAAAACCTAATGTAGAAGAGGGTTTGGGGCTCCTTTATGAACTTTAAAATAATGCAAGCAATAAGTTCGGGCCCCGTACAACCCAGGCACAGCGTGCCAGCTTCTTGTTGCTGCGGGCATCGACATAGGCGAACGCCACCTGCGGCATGAAACTCAGATGCTATCAACCGGTCTACATTAGAAGCTGCCCCCACCCTGTAAAAGTGACTATAAGGATCATATTAGGGCCGTATTAGATTCCTATTATACCACTATTACAGGGTGGGGGCCCCTTCTAAGGTCTACGTGCAGTAAGACGGAGGGGTGTAGGGACGAAACCTGGTTCCTGAGCATCAGTTGAACGACAGGATTGCAACAAGTGCGCTTCTCGAACAATTGCTTGAAGGATCATGGGACTTAGTAAGTAGGTTATAATTGGGGTTTATCAGTCCCCTAAATGGGGTTATCCTGGTTATCACCTACTTATAACCTTACTTACTAAGTCCTCTGAGCCTTTACGTAGTTGGCATGGGATCACTGCCCAGACCCCCGGGAGGATCCAAAAAGTAGATCCCTTAATGGGGGTTCCTCAAAAGTACCTTTATTAGTATAGAGCCCACAATTAGGGGATCTACTTTCTCGATTTTCCCGGGGGTCTGGGTGTCTGCCGATCCCGCAACCCAGCACCCAATCGAACCAAACCGTATACCTCCAAAATAAAAACTAAACTCCAACACCCAAACTCTAGGGGCCCTTTGCCCAGAATCCACCCGAAAGTAAACTTCCAAAACCCAAACACCTCAAGTTCTCCCCGGACTCTACAACCAAACCCTTGACAACCCAAAACCCCGAAACAGTACCGCTAGTTGCCTCGTCTAAGCCTTGCAGCCCCCCTCCCATGAGGTTCCTTGCCGAAAAACTTAAACCCAGATGGACAAAAGCATTAACACCTTGCTTCCAGAATCATAATACAATCCTGTTCGAACCGTGATAGCCTTGCAAAGTCTAGAACCCTACGTACTATGCCTTCAAGCCCCACATATACCAGCCTAATGTAGAGACCTTAATTAATAAAAATAGAATAGGGTGGGCTCCTTTGTAGTATACTGATTGTAAGGAACTTTACGGTAATATATAACATTGGTATGATATTTAGGCTTCTATATAGCACCTTGAGGGCCCCCAAGAAGCGGCGATTTTCCCGGCCTTCTTCCAGTCCTGGGTTTGCTTCTTCCGACCACGCGCCTGAATAAGGTATTCTATAAGGCCCTAATATAGGTGTCTTAACAATTTGAATAGGGTTTCGGGAAGGCTTCGTGATATTATATAATGCCCTAATAAACGGGCCTTGAATAATTGGAATAAGGCTTCCGGCCATTACTGTCCTAACTGCCCTAACTGGGCTTTAGAGTTTAGGGCTTTTAGGGTTTCGGGAAATCTAATGCCCTAACTGCCCAAAATGTGGTTTAGGGTTTAGGGCTTGGGGTTTAGGGTTTGGGGTTTAGGGATATAGAATGACCCAATTAACTAACCAGTGGTTTTGGGGTTCCCTTGGCTCTTTAGCTCCTCGTTCAATAGGCATTATCATCATCCCTGGCTCCTTAGCTCCTCCAGTTTCAATGTTTAGCTAAACCCCAAACTCTAAATCCTTAAACCCTAAACCCTGACCCCTAGGCCCCGAAACCCTACATTCATAAACCTTAAACCCTGGGAATGCCGCTCCAATATCAAAGGTTAGCTAAGTATGGTATAATATACCCCAAAGCCCTATTCCAATTATTAAGGCCCACTAGTACTTCTTACTTATTAATGCTAAACCCTAAACTCTAAACTCTTACACCCTAAACCCCTGACCCCTAAACCCCGAAACCCTAAATTCATAAACCTTTAACCCTGGGAATGCCTCTCACAGGTCCTTGCATGCCACGTGGAAGCACTTACAACTGCGACGCAACGTCTGGCCGTCCTCTTCCCAGCACGCGAAGTCGGTCTCCGCCTCCCACCACCAATGGCGCCCGGTTGTGGGGTCCTGAAAATCTGAGATGTAGCACTGGGCCCCACCCTCTTGCGCTGTCGCCGAGGTCTCTGCGCTGCCATTGAAAACGCGTCAATATCCTCGACTTCAAAGGCATCTCCCGCACCTTACTTCGAAGCGGAGTCTGTCGAAGCCAAGTGTATGTTTAGGCCAAACTCTAAGGCCTGCCTTGTGGATGAGTTCCAACAAGTTTCGTCCTTGTAGATCAGAGGGGTCCTGTTGCAATCTGGCGCATAATGCATACACGAACCGGGAATGCCACCAGGCCTTGTACTTGAAAAAAAATATCCCACCAAAGGCCTTCCAGGCATAACTCCAAAACCCTTGGAGGGCTTTCGAGTCTCTGAGGGAGATCTCCAGGGATCTTCAACAAGGAAGATTTCCTAGGACACCTACACCCCGAACCCGAACCCCGCCAACTCCAAACCGAAGATACGAAATGGAAAGCCCCAAACCTAAAACCAAAACACCAAACCATCACAGCCCGAACCCGAAAGCCTAAAACCTAAAGAAACAAGCAAGACCTAAAGCTAATGCCTAGACCCTAAGTCATAAAACCCAATAACATAGATCGTAAATCCTACACTCCCGAACTCCTAAGCCGAAAGCGCCAAAGTCATAATATAGGGGCCTCATAATGATTAGAACACGTTTTGGAGGCATACCATACTTAAAGGATCATGGGACTTAGTAAGTCAGGTTATAAGTAGGGTTATAATTAGGATAACCCCACTTAGGGGACTTATAACCCCAGTTATAACCTACTTACTAAGTCCCATGAGCCTTTAAGTACTGTATTCATAATAACCCGGTTCTAAGTGTTCAGGCCCCCTGTAGTAGGTTTCCGGAGCCTTGGCAAGGCTCGCCGCTTTGACAAAGGTCTGATCCTCCGGTACGAGCCGGGGGTTAAGATGTTCGGTTTACGAACGGTTTAGGGTTTAGGGGTTTAGGGTTTAGGGTTGAGGGTCTAGGGGTTTAGGATTTAGGGTTCAAGCTTTACGATGTGAGGCTTTAGGGTCCCGGGCTAACGGTTTGAGGGTTTAGGGTGTGAGGTGTGGATCTTGGGGCCTGGCAGACAGAGGCCTCTTGGAACTGCTTTGACAGTTAGTATGTGGGTCACTGCCGTATACAAAGAAGTAGATGGCGGCACGAGGCTTTACATTGTCACATAGTCTCGGTGAATGCTTGAGGCTTGAGCTCACATGGTTGAAGCACCAACCAACACGATATCAAAGCTGTTGAAAACCCTAAACCGTAAACCCCTCAACCCTAAACCCCTATCCCGACCCCAAACCCTAAGCCCCAAACACCTAAAAACCCAAACCCCTCAACCCCTAGACCCTAAACCGCTCCACCAACCTCTCCAACCCTGTACAGACCCGAAGGCCCAGCAGGGACTCAAGGGGGAATGCAGCTACAACCAGAAGACTTGGGGGGGCGGTGTTGGACTAAACGAAGCGTATCCCTAAAGGCTTTCGGGTTTAGGGTTCTTGAATCCTGAAAACCCCAAGGCCCACCCCCCCTCAAAAAAAACAATTCGAAGCCCTTAACCCGGTTTAGGGTTCAGGGTTTAGGGTTTAGGGTTGTAAGCCCAGGCAGCCCTACAAGCCCTCAGTCAAAGCCAGCAACCCAAACAACTCTCTCAAACACCCTGAGCACCCTAAGCCCTGAAAGCCGTCCACCCTGACAACCCGAAACCTGGAACCCTAAACCACTAAACCCCTGAACCTTAAACCCTAACCCTAAGGGTCCAAAGGACCCAATATATTTGGTGCTCGGTTTTACGATAGTAGCTATGCAGGTTAGGATATTGGAGAGTATATGAGTATTCGGTACTTGGACACTTGGGGTAAACCCTTAAACTCTGAACGTCAACACCCCAGTTGCTGAGTTCATAAGCCCCCGAAAGTGTACACTTTCAGATTTATAGTGGGTAGTACTATCCCAAAAGTGTAAAGTGTATCCACTCAGCTACCAAGTTGCAAACCCTAAATTTCAAAAACCCTAGTTCCCTAAACCCCTAAACCCTAAACTCAGCTGCTAAGACACAAAACCCTAAAAACCTTCAACCCTTAAACCGCTAAACCCTTAAAAACCCTAAACCCTTAAGCCCTAAACCCTTACACTCTGAACATCAACGCTGAGCCCACTGCGGCGACTTTGCAGTCTGTGCACCACGGAAACCTGGGGCTTGGCTACGGAGGCCTACTGAGGTCCTTATATGGATCCTACTATTTAGGGTACTGTGTCCCGTATTTCTGGAAACTCCCATACCACAAAGCCCTAGTTGCTGAGTTCAGAAGCCCCCAAAACGTGCACACTTTCAGTTGTATAGCGGGTAGTATTATCCCAAAAAGTGTACAGTGTATCCACTCAGCTACTAAGCCATAGGACTCAGGTAACAAAGGGTGCCTTTTTTGGTTTTACAGGGGGTTATAAAGAAACCTGAACCCTACAAAAGGGAATAAGGGCCTACTCTCGGTCCTAGTGGGGCTTGGGTACGGAGGGGCTACAGGCTTACAGGAACACTGTAAAAAGGGGCCATTTTTTGGTTTAGGTGCTTAGGGTTTAGTGTTTAGGGGCTCCTTTAAACAAGGATCTGTAGGGATCTCTAGATGGCATCTTTCGAAACACTTACTAAGAGGATCATAGAACGTAGGTAGCTTGAAGGGCTCCTTAAAACGGGATCTAGAGGGATTTAGGGTTTAGGGCCTACGTAAATTACAGTATCATGGGACTTAGCATCTTAGAAGGTCTCCTTCAAGTGTTCCTTGGAGGAATCTACAAGGGTTCTTGGGCTTTGAGGTTACTTGGAGGATCATGGGACTGCAAGGGTTCATTTGAATTGAAAAGGGATCTATCGATAAGGGATCTGTGGGGATTTAGGGTTTAGGGTCTACTTAAGGGCTTGAGGGCTGGGGGGGCTGCCTTCCAAAGACCATACCCAGAAGCAACCATGGTTCTTGGTTAAGGGTTCAGGGGTTTAGGGATTAGGTTTTAGGGGCTTGAAGGCTGAGGTTTAGGGGTTTGGGTTTCAGGGGTGTGGGGTTCAGGGGCTTGAGGGTTTACAGAGTAGAAAACAGGGTCCTTTACATGGCAGGTCGACTTGCGGTGTGTTACTTACAAGGCTGAACTGGAAACCCTGACCTCACCACCGTAATAATTGGACCTTGCACCTCCGCAGGTAATATCGTCTCTTGAGATAGCTGGTAGGCCTCTACGGGGGTACTATTACGGACCTCAATAATCAGAGCAGGGTTTGGGGAGGTACGTTATTCCATAACAACAATAAGGAACCCCCGCAAATAGGATTGGTAATTATTTTCACTAGTTCTCTTATTGACGATCGATATGTGAGGACGCTTCTGAGGCAACATGTGGGGACTCTGTATTTCGCTTCGTTGGCCAGCAAGCCCTGGTAGACCAGAATGCGCATGTCGGCTAAGGATCCTAGGTCCAGGCCGTTCCGCCTCCCGGATTCCATCAATGCCAAGTACTGGCAGTCTCCTTCGCCCGGGACTTGGGCTCGCTGCAAGTTGTTCTCCTGCAAGGTCTGGTCCACTAGGATGCCCAGTAACCTAGGAATAAAAAGGCCTCTCTTTTTGGTATTGGGTAACTTTATAAGGAACCTAGGACTACAAAAAGGGAATAAGGGTACTACTGGGCATCCTAGTCCAGATTCGCCACGTGCTCCTCCATGTCTGGGGGCCTCCTCGCGGCTGGTGACGATCCCCTGCAACAAACAAGCTTTCGCTCCTACCGACAGCGAACGATGCTGAGGGGGGCCGATGCGAAATCCTGAATTTCTCGCCTGTTGCAATAACTCATCCTCTGACAAGTTGAGGAGTGAGGCCGCGCGACAATAGGCGTCCTTGGTGGGGAATACAAGGCACAGGGCGGGCGAGTGAGCTCGATCAGATGGAGTTGGCCGGATTTAGGGTTTTAGGGTTTAGGGTTTAGGGTTTTAGGGTTTAGGGTTTAGGGTTTAGGGTTTAGGGTTTAGGGTTTATTCCCTATCTTACATTTAAGCATGCCGCCAGCCCTGAAAAAAACCCGAAATCCTTCTTGGCTCCTGTCTTCTACTCTAGGGAAAGGCCCCTACGGTGTCCGGAGACCTCGAAACATGAACACAAACAGCAACTTCTACAAAACAAAGCTCTGCAAAACAAAGTTCGGCCAATCTCGTGACCAAGAGTTGCGCCTAACCTGACATAACCTACTTATAACCCTACTTACTAAGTCCCATGATCCTTTAAGTAATGCCCCAAACCCAAAACCCACAAGACCCTGAGCTCCGAACTTCGCCATGCCTGATAACTACAGTCCAATACTACGGCTGATGATCTTCACTCTGCATTACCCATAATAAGGTATATACCATAGTTCCCATAGTTTAGGACCCTTAAGCAGGTAATCCAGGATGTATATCATCAACCGTACCCCCACCCCCGTGCCCCCCTGTGCCCCCCCAGTACCCCCCAGTGCCCCCCCAGTGCCCCCTCTTCCCCCCCCCTTCCTCGAAACAAAGGTGGCCTCACGGCGACGACCGTAATCGGATGCTTGGAGACAGTCCTGGGCATGCTGCGTTGCAGAGTCGGCGGTAGGAACCCTGAGGATGTACTGTAGGCGCCAAATGCAAACAACAATGATGGTAATAATACGAACAGTAATAATAGTAACAATAACAATAATTAGAATAGGGGTTTTGGGGACCAATATACTATAATTATAATAAGGCCCCCAGAACAGTATAGGTAGTTATTAAGGCCCCGATAGTAAGGGTTTCATAGGGCTCTAGAGGTTTAGGATGCGGGGTTTTGGAGTTTAGTCCGAAACCTTATAATAGGATGTAGGGGTTTCATAGGGCTCTGGGGGTTTAGGGCTTACAGCATTTGGGGTTTAGCAAACATCGGATGTAGAGGTTGACAAGGGTTTCATGACATGCTTCTCGCGGCTGGTAGAACTTCATAGAACTCTTGTAAAATTGTTGCGAAGTTAAGGTTCATGAACCCATTTACTATATTACTATATATACTTGGGCCCTATAGTCACTATGTAAGACGTCTGCTGAAGGTACGTGGGCACTTACATGTTTGTGAAGGCATCGGATTTAAGATTCGGGGGTGCGAAGTTGAAGCTGTTTACGCTTTATGCTCGGGGCCCTGAGTTCGCACTGCTAAAAGCCACATCCAGGGAGAACAAACCATCTGGAGCCGGCAGCACAATGCGGTATGCTTTGGGGGTAAATCATAGCAGAATCGTGCAGAGTTGATACAAGGAGAAGACTCCTGCTAATATGTGGGCTTCTACATTGGCTAATGCTTCTGGTCTCGAAAGCCGGCTGCCTCGACGGTGCATGCATGCCCTAAACCTCAAACCTCAGAGCCCTCAAGAGACAAATAAACAAAGATGAAACGACAAAGCACCGACCGTGCGGCAGTAAGCCCTCTTCCTGCAACCGTGGAAACTCTGAGCCTTCAAGGCAAGCCAGCCCGAAACCCAAAACCGTCACACCCGGCACAAGAAGACGCAAGACATGATCTAATTTAGGGATTTGGGTTTAGGGATTTAGGGTCGCGCTCGAGTTTTAGATTTCCAGGGTGAGGATGAGGGGGGCAAGGGCAAGTTCTCGAGATTGATGTGACGTCTACCAATGACCTACTCGCTGCCCTAAACCCTAAACCCGAAACACTGAAACCCCAAACCTTAAACCCTAAACACCGTAAACCCCTAAAACCCTAAGTCACTAAAACCCTAAACCCTAAACCCCTAAACCCTAAACCCCTAAACCCTAAGTCCCTAAACCCTAAACCGTAAAACCCCTAAACCCTCAGTCGCTCGCAGATCCAAAACAAGAACTCTGCTGAATACCAGCCTTATCCCTAAGGGTCCAAGTTCCCAAATAGTAGGGTTTGGGGTTTAGGGGTTTAGGGTTTAGGGTTTAGGGTTATCCCTAAGGGTCCACCCAAATAGTAGGGTTTCAAGGTCCAAAAACCATTCAGAGTATGGATTTTGGGCCCTGAAACCCTACTATTGGGGTACTTGGACCCTCTGGGTATGTTACCGGAAGCGGCCTAGGGCCAGGCGCCTTAGTGACACCACCTTACCCCAAGGGTCCAAAGGACCCAAGAATCAGGTATATACTCGGCATGAGCATAGTAGTTATGTAGGTTAGGAATTTGGAGAGTATATGATCCTTGGGGTTAGTTTAAACTAACTAGAACGGGCCACAAGAGAGGCATGAATATGAAGCCCACCTCAATTTTCGCCTATTGTACGGAACCGGAGCTATTAGCACTAGTACTCCCCCATGGTCTCAGTTCCCATAAGCGAATACAACAACTCACACCAAACCCAAACCCCCTCGTTCAAGGTTAGGGGTGTAGGGTTTAGGGTTGAAGCACTTTAATATTCGAGGGTATGTCTTGCACAAATAGTCGGTGCAAAGCATGAAAGCTGCCTGCTGCAGACAACCCTGTAAAGCCTAGCAGCGTCCCGTCAGAATCTCAACAAAGAAACCCATATTGGAAATAAGCTCTAACCCTAGGGATCAAAATAGCCCAAAAGCCTTATATAGTGTGGTCTTTGGGCCCAAAAGCCTTAATATATGAGTCCTTAGATGTCCAGGGTAAGACCAATCAAGCCTTTATCTCCTCAATCTCTTTTTCGTAACCCCCCACAAGACACCCCCAAACCCCACAGCGGACGATCATCAATATCATCTTGCATGGTGCGTAAACTATGCAATGGGGTTGGAAGTAACACACCGCAACAACACTACAGGCGGTGCCCCCGACAAAAATGTGCCAAGGGTACTACAGTAGTGAGGGGGGCAGCGCGAAAGACCGAGATGCAGGCTTATTGAAAGTCTTGTCATGCAAGACGATGACATTCTCGGCATCGTCGAAGGTCGTTTTCTTGCACCAAGGAGAAAAGATCAGGAGTTCAAGTTTTGCCTAGTTGCTGAGTTCATAAGCACCCGAAAGTGTACACTTTCAGTTTTATAGTGGGTAGTATTATCCCAAAATGTGTAAAGTGTATCCACTCAGCTACTAAGGAAATCTGGGATGCAGGTTGGAATTGGGGCTTTAGGATTGCAGGGCTTGCCTGTCGCACCCATGGCGGCAACTACATGGGTGGTTGTCAAAAATAGGGTCCCTTTTTGGGTACCCTAGATATCAGGTGCGGTACTCGTTTAGGGACCCACAAGGGGACCATAATTTTGACAACTACCCACATGTATCTGACTGAGTCTACCCAATCCGACAAGCTTTCAGCAGTAGAAACCTGTCCATGATCTCTGATGTAGTTCCTTTGTCTGGATAGACACCGTTCTGTTCCTTGCAGGACCCTGACCATAATATTGGCTCGCCAGTAACGGAGCTACAATGAACTACGTAAGACACTATACTATAGGGGCCCTCAATAATCAGAATAGGGTTGCGGGACCAATCAAACAATAAAAATAAACTGAGCCCCCAAAATAGTATAGGAAATGACTAGGCCCCTAAATTATCTAGGTCCTCACGGTACCAAGCAGGAAACCCTTTTGGGGCGAAGGTAAACCCTAAACCCGAACCTCCAAACCCCAGAACCCCTAAACCCTGAACATAACCTACTCCCTGAGCCCAGCCGTAAACTTCCCAGAGACTCCAATATCCCTTCATTCAGGAATATACCGGAAGTTATAGTAGGATCCCTAACATGATTTAAGGAATATTCCTTAGTTAAGGGATATTGGAGTCTCTGGGTTGTCCCTAAACCCTAAACCCTGAACCACGATCCGACTCCCTGCACCGAACCGTAAGCTTGGACCCTAAAGCCCTAAACCTCAAACACCAAAACCCTAAAACCCTCAACCCTAAAACCCTAAACCCAACACCGTAAACCCTTAAACCCTTAAACCCTAAAACCCTAAAACCCTAAAACCCTAAACCCTAAACCCCTAAACCCGTAACCCCTTGATTTCGGGAATGGGCAGCGGGCAGAGTGTGGGTCGCTTTGAAGTCGGGGTGATCACTCGGCCCTATACCGGAACTTGGTCCCCTTTTGGGGACCCTAAATATTAGGGTACGAGGTTCCTTTAAAGGGATCTACAAGGGTTCCTTTGAAGGGTTCCTTTAAAGGGATCTACAAGGGTTCTATAAAGGGTTTGGGGTTTAGAGTTTCCGAAAATAGGTTACCCTAAATATTAGGGTATGAGGTTCCTTTAAAGGGATCTACAAGGGTTCCTTTAAGGGTTTCGTTTAAGGTCCTATTAAAGGTTTATGGTTTGGGAGCTTCCGAAAATGTAGGGGACCCTAGTATGGTACCCTGAATAGTAGGATCAAAATTATAACGACCCCATATTAAGGTACCCCCCCCATTTTCGAAAACTCCCATACCGGAACTTGGGTAGAGACAGCCCAGTACTCCTTAATTAAGGAATATACCTCAAACTACAAGGTGGTTCATTTATATTATTATTTAAGCTGTATTCCTTAATTCAGGGGTATGGGGTTCTCTGGGTGTAGGATTCTTAATAATCATGCATTGGCTGCCTTTTACGTGTCTCATAGGTGCAAATTCGGTTGTAGCGACTTTGCTTTATAGGGATGCCCTAAGGGTCCAAGTACCCAAATAGTAGGGTTTCAAGGTCCAAAAACCATTCAGAGTATGGATTTTGGGCCCTAAAACCCTACTTTGGGTACTTGGACCCTCTGGGTTTGGAACAGGCTAATGTAATCAGAAGAGGCTCGGTATTAGGGATCAGGTTCTAGGGCAGGTATAAACTAAGATAACTATGGTTTCTGGGGTATGATCGCATACGTACACCGAGACTATAAGGGGATACGGCGGTTGTTCATTTAGACCTCCGCAAGAAATGGGGCCCATCCTTCAGTAAAGCTCTCAACCCTAAACCCTAACCCCCCTAAACCCTAAACCCCCCAAACCCCCTAAACCCAAACCCAAAGCCCTCCACCCTAAGCCGGCAACCACGAGACGAGCAACCAGCTCTTAGAAAACCTGTTTCTCCTACCCTGCTACGACTGTAGACATGTAGGAACTCCTTAACCCTACTTAAAGGATCATGGGACTTAGTAACTGGGGTTATAAGTAGGGTAACTATACTTATAACTACTTATAACCCCAATTAAGGTACTTGTAACCGTACATACTAAGTCCCATGATCCTCCACGTACAGCAAACGCCATAAAGTTGGAAACCGGATTAAGGCCAACTAGTGCTGGGATTCCCTATGCATGACGCTTAGGGATTGAGGCTCTGGGGTTTCCAACTTTTGGGCTTCTACTATAGCCTATCTGGTGCTTAGTAGGGAATGGGGGGAAGGGATCCTTATGGTAGTCCCTATATAATCCACAATGGTAGTCTCAATAACCCATTCCCCAATTCCCTACTAAGAACCAGACAGGAGTCTGAAACTTGCTCTCAACCTGGAAACGATTCCCTAAACCCTACCCATATGCCCCATAGTAGTTCCTTTTTGTGGGGTTCATATTTAGAATCCTATCATAGGTAATCACGAAAACGAACTACTATGGGACCTATGGGTAAACCCTAAACCCTTGAAACGATTTCCGGAATCCTGGCCCGACGTGTTCTTGGCCAGAAACCTGCTTGAACCCGTCTAAAACCCTAGACTTAAGAATTTAGGGTTTAGGTTTAGGGGTTTATGGAGGTTACGGGTTTAGGGGGTCAGGGTTCAGGATTGAGAGTTTGAGGTTTCAGAGCTTCTAGACCTGAGAGTAACCTAGGAAGCAAAAGGGGTGCCGTTTTTGGTTTAAAGGGGGTTATAAGGGAAACTAAACCCTAAAAGCGGGAATAAGGGTCTCCTCTGCGTCCTAGAACCTTACGCAGAGGAGGCCCTTATTCATTTTGTATCCTAAACTAAACCGCAAATCATAGACCCAAAGCCCCTGACGCCTTGAACTCAAACCCTAACTTCCCAAAAGCCGCAAACCGAAACCTATACACTAAATCCTGAACCCACTTTGAGGCGCCTCGTCGGCAGGCTCTAGGCTTTGGTCTTCCCGAGTCCAGTCCTGTGAGAAAATGGGCTTTCCCAGAGGCTCCATACATAGTGCCAGTATGGAATTAGGTCCCCAAAGCCATGAAATGGATGGTCGTTTGGGACCTAATTCCATAATGGTACTATATGTGGAGCCACTGGGTTTAAGATATTAAAAAATCATGGGAGCAACACGCCCGGGTTTAGGGCTTGCCGTAAGGCTCCATGTACCCATACAGCATATACTTAGGCCTTAAAGTACCTATACAGGGACCCCTTTGAGGCTTGAGTATCTACTATAAAGGTACATGGAGCCTTTGGGTTGTAGATCCAAAAGTGTAAGACCGTCGGCTTATGCGCCAACAGGTGGGGTGTAGGTTTCGGGGTCCAGGGTCTGTGCGACAGCACGGCCCTAATCCTCCTTGTCCAGTATGTTGGGAAACTAAAGATTTATTTCTGAGCAGATTGGGATGATGCAGGGATTATTATACCCCAAAACGTCAAAGGTTGCCTGGTCTTCGATTGCGTCAAACCAAAACCTTATAGCAGAAGCCAGAAAATTGAAACATGACTATCCTCATGCCTAAAGTAAAGTATAAGCGATGCTAGCACTAATCCTCCTAAAGCCCCCATGTTCCAACTTTCTGGGGTTCACTACAACTCCCTAAACCCTAAACTCTAAAACCCTAAACCCTAAACCCTAAAACCTTAACCCTAAACCCTAAACCCTAAAACCACAAACCCTAAGCATGATATAGGAGTCAAGAAAGCCCATTGACCTGAACCCAAAAGGCTCGACAGACGATGTTACGTTGACCTCTAACAGTAAAAAAGCAGCTAATCTAGGATACCCAGTAACCTAAGAATAAAAAGGCCTCTCTTTTTGGTATTGGGCAACTTTATAAGGAACCGAGGACTACAAAAAGGGAATAAGGGTACTACTGGAGATCCTAGGAATATAGGGGCATTCATAACTAGAACAGGGGTTTAGGGTTTAGGGTTTGGGGTTTAGGGACCTTAGGGGCCTTGATACCTAGAATAGGGTCTAGGGCTTGGGTTTCAGGGAATTGTCTTCTTTTCCAGGGAACGCCAAGTCTCCCTTTCGAAGGGTTCAAGGTTTATCGGTTAGGTCTCTCATCTTCCTCGCTGAAGGGTAACCCAAAGCCTCCATGTAGCTTTATAGTAGATACTTATGCCTTGAAGGGGTCCCTATATAGGTACTTTACGGCCTGAGAATATGCTATATGGGTACATGGACCCTTAGGGTAAGTCGCCAAAGTGCAGCGCAGTACAATTAAGAAGGTGGGCCCGATCACCGTCCGATACGATATCCTACTTGTCGAGTATCATGGGGAACTAAAGGTTAACCTTATTGGTGGTATAGGGATTATATAGGGACTATACTACCCAAAAAAGGTTAAAGGTTGCTTACTCGACTACTAGGATATACATTACTGGGTTGTAGTTTCGGGGCTCTGCCAAGTACTTATGAAGAGGTACCTCTGCAGGAATCATGAGGAAAGTTAAGAAGTTTCACAAATTGCCACCTAGATTATGGTTTCCTACTGTAAGGAATAGTTTTAGGAAGTGCTCCGGCCCCCGTTCGCGTGTAAGCAAAACTGGCGGATGCGACGAACTCCCAACGATTGCGCAGTATTCGGGTGGTTGTCAAAATTAGGGTGTTTGGGTACCCTAAATATTAGGTGCCGTACTATTGGGGACCCAAAAAAGTACCATATTATTGACAACCACCCATTTGTAGAATGAGACTTCCCAAAGACTAACCCTAAGGCTCCATGTACCCATATAGCATCTACTTAGGCCTTGAAGTACCCATATAGGGACCCCTTTGAGGCTTAAGTATCTACTATAAAGCTACATGGAGCCTTTGGGTAATCAAACGGTTGAACCGGCGCCCTGAGCCCTCATCCCTAATGTAGGAAGCTGGTTAAGAAACCTTGGGCCTTTATTAGCGTTCCTTACATGAAATTGTAGGCCCAGGTTTCTTGATCAGGTTCCGACATTACACTCCAAGCCGAACCGCACCAAACACCTTAGTCAGCCATGGGCTGGGAGGGTCCTTGTCTATAAGGCCCTTGTACTTCTTGACGTCGCTCGTCAACAAGTCCCACCGGTGTCCGTGTGCTTTGCCTCACGGACAGCAGAACTACGAGCAGTGAAGCTTGGAGGCTCGCATGTTCTGAGCGCTTTCGGCTTTTGAATATAAATTAGGCCCTAACCCTAAACCCTAAACACCCTAAATCCTAAACCGATGGGTTGGGGTTTCTGCTTCTGTTCTGGACCAACCGCTGCTGGCTAGATTCATGAACACCCCCCGTAGAACCATAATTACAACAAAAGTTAGCAGTCTCTTCGGTTTTATATGAACAAAAAGTAATTCCTATGGCGACTATGGAGACTATCGTCATATCATAATAATGAGGAACCCTGAAAAGGCAGGTTATTCAGGGTTAAGGTAGAGTTTAGCGAGTTTAAGCGCTTAGGGAGTTTAGGGCGTTTAGGGTTAGGGTGGTTTAGGGTCAGGGTTTACGGATCAAGGACATCCTGAGCTTGCACGTCAGGCGCTGCAACTGCCGCGTGAGCTCGCAAAGTCCGCCCCCGCAATGGATTCTCCAGTGCTGCCTCTAAGCCTGGCATGAGGCCGCTTTTGCCGTCGAGTTGTGGGTAGTTCTCTAAACTAGGGTCCCGTTTAGTGTCCTTTTTGCAAAGGTGTCGCATTCTTTTAGTGCCCTAGGCGAACCAGTGAAAGACTGTCTGGTTCTTAGTAGAGAATAGGGGAAAGGATCCCTGCGATACCCTCTTAAGAAAGGGTCCCTAATAGTCCCAATAACCCAATTCCCACATTCCCTACTACTTGGAGGGTCGGGGGACTTAGTAAGTAGGGAGTAAGTACATAGACTTATAAGTACCCTAAAAGGGACCCTAATTGGGGTTATGGTACTTACAAAACCCTAAAATAACCAGTTACTAAGTCCCCCGACCCTCCAAGTAAGAACCAGACAGAAGGGAGCAGAGGTTGGTGCAAAGTCGCCGGAGTTCCAGGAGAGGGGCCTTGATCGCAACGATTGAACTGCGAGGCAGGTAAGCCTTAGAAGCTGCCCCCACCCTGTAACAGTGACTATAAGGATTATATTATACCCACCCTGTAATAATGACTATAAGGATTATATTGTACCCGATTATATTCCTATTATACCACTAATACAGGGTGGGGGCAGCTTCTAAGGTAAGCCTTTCGAATGTTTGATCACCCGGACGTGGCAGGCCTCTGGTAAAGTATATCACCTGTAACTTCCTCTGGTTCTGATGATTCAACTGATTCCCTGGCGACACTTCGTCACTGTACCATATGAACCCCCAAGGGATTTCGGCAGTGCTAGGGCGGTGCAGCAGCTTCTCCTGCAAGATCGCGGCAAATGCTGTGCATCTTTGAGCAGCCCCAAACAGCATGGCAGCAGGATGCAGCACCGGAACCGTGACATGATCGCCATTTTCCTTCTGCAGCTGCAGCTCCTGCACAATGTTGCCATATGTGAGTTTCCGAAAATTAGGGTACCTTATTTTGGAGTCCTTATAATAAGGATCCTACTATTTAGGGTACTATCCTAGGGTCCCCCATTTCAGGAAACTCCCATATGGGGTTTTGTAGCTGTCCAGAAGCTCGTCTCGAGCTCGCTTCACCGAAAAGCGGCTTGTGGCCGATGAAAGCTCAGGAAATCATCTCACCTATAGTCTCCATTGGAGTTCCTCTTTTTGGCTTAACCAAATATATAATTAGGATCCTATAAGGTAACCCAAAAAAGGAACTACAATGGAGACTACAGGCAAAACCGGCACACGACATAATGAAGACGTTTACGGTTTAGGTCTATAAACGAAAGGGCTCCTAAGGTGGCATCCAAGGTAGGTATGGTAATCCCCAATTGAAAGCACGCAATAGCGAGATCCTCCATCCTACCTACCTTCATCCCATCTTTTGATGCTCCCGAGATCTTACGGGGGCAGCTACAACCCCTCCCAGAAACAAAACCAAAGGTTTCCGCTTCAGGGTTGCGGGATCCTGATGTCCAACTGAGTCATGTGCCTTGTGCTTTGATTTGTGTGCCGGGGATGCTCTTCAACCCTAAACCCCTACTGGGATCTTCCCCAATCCTGGGATCCTCATTGCAAACCCAACCTGCGCTAAAGTCGAGTGGGGAGCTTAAGAATTAGAGTGTGGCTTCAGGGTATATCATAGCTGTACAAGCACAATGAGGGATGTGATTGCAATATGTTCAGATCTCTATCTGGCCCAAGCATACAGCGAATGCATGGATTCTATGTAGCTCAAGACGCGCATCTCCATACTCTATATACTCTAAACCGAAGTCCTGAAAGCCTGCCCCCGAAACCATACAGTCTATATGCAATCTACCGTACCCACCAGAGACTTGGAACAACAGTATCCTCAGCATACCCTGAAGTCATCATCAGCAGGCAATCCCAACAAACGCGAAGCTCTACATCTAAGTCCGAAGACCCGAAACCCTAGACATACGGTTGATGATATAAATCCGGCATTACCTTAAGGACCGTAAACTATGGGAACTATGGTATATTCCTTATTCTGGGTAGCGGAGGCAATCACGACTACAGATCTCATCAGACGGACTGGCGAATGTTGTCAGCACTTCCGTGGCTTTAGGTGGACAGAGCCTCTGGGGATAGTCATTGGCTGATGCCATCGGTGAGTACACCAAGCCGTGCACGTTGTGCTGCACCAACTTCTTTCCAGCGAGCTGGTAGTATGCCGGCGCTGTCATAAATACTTCTGATTCTGGGAATGCGTTTCCCAGCCAATTGAAGATACACTGTTTGTACTGCTTGTTTGTTCCGCTGAACGTAATCTCTGGCAGTACCTTTGTGAAGGATGCAGGATTTATATCATCAACCGTAGGCCCCATAGTAGTTCCTTATTGGGGTTCATATTGAGAATCCTATACCTAGTTGCTGAGTTCATAAGCCCCTTAACGTGTACATTTTCAGTCATAGTGGGCAGCCTTACCCCAAAGAGTGTAAGGTGTATCCACTTAGCTACTAAGGAAGGCACCCTAAACCCTAAACCCTAACCCCCAAAAAGGAACTACCATGGGGCCCTTAGGGTAGACACTGGGCTTTCAATCTAAAGTCTGAAAGCCAAACCCTTTGTTCAAACGCTGCCGCTTCTAAAATCCGCCAACACAACCAATTCCCATAATGAGAATGCCATTATATGGGTAGTTGTGAAAATTAGGGTCCCCTTTTGGGTACCCTAAATAGTAGGTGCCGTATTATTAATGTTAGGGACCCAAAAAAGAAACCATGATTTTGACAACCACATATGTATATATATATATATATATATATATATATATACGTATATAGCCGGATCCCATCGTGAGAATGCCGATATCACCCGAGATCACAATCAGCAAGAGCGCCGATACGAACCAGGGTGTAGTTAGCCAGGCCTAGAGTGAACTTAGAACCCTAGCAAAAATTATAGTTTTCGCTGTTTCTTAAGGATTAGAATCACAAAACATAGACCCCTGAGTCAGGCCTAGCGTGATGAGAGTGACGACGCCCCACTTGTCCGGACGTGCGAGGATTTCCCAACTCAATGTCTCCTCGCGCAAAGGAGAAAGAAGCCGCTGCAGCATATGGGAGTTTCCGAAAATTATGGGGTACGGGCCTTTTTGTAAGGCTGTACTACTAAGGGTACTCTATAGGAACCCCAATTAAGAAATTTCTTTTTTTGGATCCTGCCGGGGGTCCGTGCTGTCTGCTTGAGGAAGTAGGGTTCCAGGTCCCCAGATCCCTACTTTGAGTGGTTTCTGGACCCTGCTTGGAGGCCCTTTTGACTTAGTAAGTAGGGTTAGTAAGGTGGGTTATGGGGTTTCTAATAGGGTTTCTAGGGGATACGAAGTAGACTTACTAAGTCAAAAGGGCCTCCAAGCAACCCTTCTATTGTGGCACGTGGCAGCTTAGGATTGCATGTGTGGTTAAGCACAATAGGCAGCGCAAGGAGAATAGGCAGCGCCTAATGCATAGCCTACTTAAAGACTTAGAGGACCACAGGACTTAGGAACTAGTGTTATAATTAAGTTATGTGTCCTGACCTCAAGTTACTCACGACCCATTTACGGTACTTGTCGTCTTACTTGCAAGTCCCATGATCCTGCAAGTAGACCGTAAACCCTGAACCCGCAACCTTCAAACAACGTACCTTTATGGATCTGTCTCGTCTTTGTTAGGAGACCTGACCTGTCATTGGACAACTCTGAAACGGAGACCCTCAAGGTCTCAAACGCTAAATCCTAAACCATAAATCTCTAAACCCTCAGCACTAAACCCTAAAGCCCCAGACCCTGAAACCATTTCAGGTCGGTGCGCCTCGGCTTATCGGGTATGGGAGCGGGAGCTAGAATACAGCTTGGGGGCATAAACTATAACTGGGTTGGCACTGTAATGTCTCTGAAAGTATTGGTTCATAAGACCCTCTTCAGCCAAATATGTGAACAAAAGGAATATCGCTAAGGCCTACCTGGATCGTAGAGTTATACTGCGGCACCCTGAGCAACGAAATGCTAATATTCACGGTTCAGTGCATGGGTATAGAAGCCTGATTCGCGACACATTGGTTTAGCGGGCTTGGTACCATGCCCTAAACCTCTCGGTTCCTGAGTAGCCCATTTATGATACAGGTACCCTTTTTCCTGCTGTTCGGTTTTAATACGGGTACTACCCAGGAACCTACCCTGAACCCTACTTGACGGATCATGGGACTTAGTAAGTAGGTTACAATTGGGGTTATAAGTCCCGTAAGACGGGCTATCTTACTTATAACCTGCTTATAGCCTTACTTACTAAGTCCCATGAGCCTTTAAGTAGTATGGGCCCTTAACCCTGGGATCCTTATATACCTACTATATACCCTATATAGACTCTTGAGGGTCCCTAAAGTCCCATGAGCCTTTAAGTAAACCACCCAGGAACCTAGACCTTAAGCCAGATCCCCTGAATTGGTTGCAGTAGAGCTTTGTACTATGATAGAGCCTCATGCCACCGGTTTCGAGTTAAGTTTAGGGCGGTTTAGGGTTTCAGGGTTTCAGGGTTTAGGGTGCAGGGTATAGGGTTTCGGGTTTAGGGCTTCTGGATTTAGGGTTAGGGGTTAGGGTTTAGGGGTTTAGGATTTAAGGTCCAGGGCTTCTGGGATAAGGGCAAAGACCCAGCTGCGGTTTTGAACAAGGCTTTGTAGCTCGGTTGCAATCCAGAACCCTTGACCCCAAACCACTGGAGACTCTACAGCACTCTCTGTGTCGGCAGCGGAACCAAGCCGACCCAACAAACTCAACCTTTGTAATTTCGGCATGATGATACGACGCCGCGCAGCCGCGAGTTATTTGCCCAGCTTCGAAGTATGCCGAAGGCCTAAATCCCCCAAAACGTCAATCCTAAACCCTAAACCCGGAACCCTAAACCCCCACAAAAGCGTAAACCTCTGAAGCCCTAAACCATGATCTGGACTCCTCTTTCAGGGATCACAATTAGGGTCACACATAAGGCAGCGATACTTATAATCACTTAGAAAGCCCACTCGAGGTATTCATAGCCGTACCTACCAAGGCCCTTGAAACTAATATAGGGGCCTTATAGTAATTAGAATCAGGTTTTGGAGATTCCTGTATACTATACTTATAATGAGGAACCCCAAAATAGCATTACCCTAAGGGTCCAAGTATCCAAATAGTAGGGTTTCAAGGTCCAAAAACCATTCAGAGTATGCTTTTTCGGCCCTAAAACCCTACCATTTGGCTACTTGGACCCTCTGGGCCTAAACCCTAAACCCCTAAACCCTAAGCCCTAAACCCCTAAATCCTAAACCCCTGAGGCATGTACTTGGACCCTCTGGGTTACAAGCAAAGCCCCAACGACCTCAACAACCCTAAGAACCCTCAGCCCACGAAAGAAACAAGAATGCTGCGGAGGCTCTCAACCCTGAACCTGAAACCCTAAACCCTTTAGGGTTTAGGGGTTTACGGGTATAGGGTTTAGGGTTTGAGGGTTTAGGGTTTAGCGGTTGAGGGTGTGCGGTTTAGGGGTTTAGGGTTTAGGGGTTGAGGGTTTTAGGGGTTGAGGGTTTAGGGCTTGAGGGTTCAGGGCTTACACCACCAGAACCGAGCCTTCGAAACATCTTCCCGGAAAGGAAACTCGAGGACCTTCGCACATGGCCGGCATTGAGGGAGCTGGCGGTATTCTCTAAACCCTAAAACCCTAAACCCTAAACGCCTAAACCCCCAAACCCTAAATCCCCTCTTTCAGACCAGGTCCTTGGGTTGAGGGGTTCAGGGTTTCGACCTACCCCAAAGGCTCCATGTAGCTTTATAGTAGATACTTAAGCCTTAAAGGGGTCCCTATATAGGCACTTTAAGGCCTAAGTACATACTACATGGGTACATGGAGCCTTAGGGTACGGTTTAGAGCTGTGGGGTTTGGGTTTGGGGCTGGCAGCAAAAATGTGGCCTTCGAGGGCAGCGTCTGAGAAGGATTCTACTGCTGTTGATGATAAAAGTCCCGCATTACCTATTAAGGACCCTAAACTATGGTAGTTATAGTATATTCCCTATTTTGGGTAATGGGTAATGCAGGATGTATATATTCAACCGTAGTGCTAATTAGGGTGTGTCCTTTGTCTGAAGCTCTCAGAATGGTCTCGTCTTTGCGTTAAGGTTTAGGGTTTAGGGGTTTCGGGGTTTAGGGTTGAGGGTCTTTGCTGCTTACTAGTGTTGGGTTACATATTTATCGGTAGCGCTCGTGACTTCGTGGCTTGGGCTCTTGGTTGAGGGCTTCGATTTAGTGCTTTATGGGGCTTCAAGCCCCTAACCCTCAAACCCTGGACTGAACCCTAAGCCCTAAACCCCCCCTAGATATCCCTAAACCCTCCATGTAGCCCTAAGCCCGCCCTAGATACCCCCAAACCCTCCATGTAGCCCTAAGCCCGCCCTGGATATCCCGAAACCCTAAATGGAGGGCTTACCTGGCGAGTTGGACGAGGGCTATGGGGCTCCTGCCCTAGTGCCAGTGTCCTATATTCAACCTGACACACTCAGATCATCAGGGCCCTGTAAAGGGATCTATAAGGGCTTAGGGTTCCTTTACAGGGTTCCTTAGAGGGATCTATGGAGGGTTTAGGGTTTAGGGGACATAAAGCATGACCAAAGCCTTAATCACCCTTGTAGTAGCACTCCAAAGGATCCCCTCGTCCAAACCCTAAACCGAAAACCCCAAACCGTTGAAAGGATCTCTTGTTTTAAGGCCCCTTCAGCATCGAACCGCTACCGTGATGTCCAGAATCTGAAGAGTCCACCCTCGGAGCATAATATAGCGGCCGTACTTGATTAATAATAATAGTGCTAATAATTTTAAATAATACTGAAACTAATCATACAAATACTAATAATGACAATGATAAAAGAATAAGATTTCGGACCGCGAGCACTGAACCTTCTTGAATGTCACCGCCAAGGTCGAGGAGGCAGCTGGAGTTAACACTCCCTCATATCTCCACGGTGCCACATGCACATGCATGTCATGTAGGGGCCTTAATAACTAGAATAGGGTTCATTTAAAGGGCTCCTGAAAGCCTCTATACGCGTACTATACTACAATATATAGGGGCCTTAATAATTAGAATAGGGTTTTGGGGCCCGCTATTTTAATGGAGCCCCCCAACATAGTATAGGCAATCATTACTTAAAGGATCATGGGACGTACTTAGTAACTGGGGTTACAAATAAGGTAACTATGCTTATATTCACTTATAGCCCCAATTAAGGTACTTATAACCTTACTTACTAATTCCCATGATCTTCCAAGTAGACCCTAAACCCTAAACCCCATAGATCTCTTTTAAGGAACCCCTATAGATCCCTTTACGGAGCCCTTGAAGAAGCCTTACTAAGTCCCATGATCCTCCAAGTAAGGCCCCTGGAGAACTCCTGAGGCCCTGGTGTCCACTGTTTTCATCGGGATCTTTGGGTTCAGGGCTTTTGGGGGACTCTTGGAGTCTTGGGGGGCTCTTTCGTTCTGGGAGTTTGTGGGGGGGGGGGGGAGGTTTATGATTTGCTGGGGTGTAGGGTATATCATAGGGATCCTTAGGGGTGTAGGGGGAGGGGGGGTAGGGGGCCTTAAGGCCCATAATAAGGACTAATAAGGCCTATTTAAGGAAATATAGTCCCCTACACCCCTCCCCCCTACACCCCTAAGGATCCCTTTCCAGCGTGCGGGTTTTGGGGGGTTATATGGGTTTGGGTTGAAGGTTTTTTTTTTTAATCTATGGTGGCGGACCTTTTCTGCGGTTGAAGGGTTTAGGGTTTAGGGTTCTTTCATGGGTTCTAGAAGGGCTTCACAAGTTGTTGAAAAGGGTTCAGGGCTTCTTGCGACATGGTTCAGACATGTTCGAGCTACACAAAACCCTAAGGGTCCAAAGGGGCCTACAATAACACTACTGCTGATGTTATAAATCCTGCATTACCTTAAGCCTAAACTATGGGAATCATGGTATATTCCTTATTATGGGTAATGCAGGATTTATATCAACAACCGTATGAAAGCTTGCCCGAATCTGTAATCCTGGACTTCTTCTAACCCTCGACACCCCCTCAAAACAAAACCTACCTTTTCAAGGCATCTTCTTAGGACTTCATACCCAGAGACTCCAATATCCCTTAATTAAGGACCTTAAATCATATTGGGGATCCTACTATAATTTCAGGTATATTCCTACCTCCAGAACTAGATTCCTGAGCAGCCCCTATAGAGCAAGAGTACCCTTTTCCTACCGTTCGGCTTTGATAAGGGGACCCCAAAACAAAAAGGACGAAGGGGTACGACTCAGGAACCTAGTAGACCCTAAACCTTTTCAACGCATCTTTTTAGGACGTCATACTAAGGAGCCCTATAAAATGTTGGTTTGTTAGGTACAAGTGAATCCCGAAACCCTTCCTTACCCCGTAAACCATGAACCCTGTAAACCTTAAAACCCCAAGACCCTACAGTAGAAGCCAAGAAGTTGGAAGCCCAATAGCCTGTATCCATATTGGTCCCCTGTAGGTACCAGGCCCCCCAAAAAACGTACTAAAGTAAGGTACTCCAAAACCCAGCCCCTAAACCCTATAAACCTTAAGCCCCCAGCCCCCAAAGCACAACCCCTAAACCCTAAACGCTATAAACCTTAAACCAACCCCCGCAAACCCTAAACCGAAAGATCTTCCGGGAAGGCGGCATGCTGCTCACCGCCCTTGCCAGCAGCTGTGAAGCTGAAATCCTTGGGCACCCCAGGACCGAAATCTACTTGCTGGGTTCAGAAGCCCCCCCAAAAGTGTACACTTTCAGTTGTATAGTGGGTGGTATTATCCCAGAAAGTGTAAGGAAATCTGTAAAGGGGATGCTCCTTACAGTTTTGCTTCCCAAAGGATCCAAAGTACCTTTAAGGTTGACTGTAGGGCTTCTATACTAGGAGTTTTATACTATTCCCAGAGGGTCCAAGTACCCAAATAGTAGGGCTTTAGGGCCCCAAATCCATACTCTGAATGGTTTTTGGACCTTGAAACCCTGCTATTTGGGCACTTGGACCCTTAGGGATTATGATTTGGGGAAGTATCCCCCATCAGAGTACCTAGGACCCTTTGGGCTTATGCATGGCCCACTATTATAGGGCCTTCTTGTAGCTCTCTTATTTTGAGACTTAGGGGTTTTGGGGTATAGGGCTTAGCTCAGTGAAGGGATCGATGTGTGCATGTATGTATGTATGTATGCATGTGTGTATGTACACACGTATGTATGTATTTATGCATGTATGTATGCGTGCATGCATGCATGCATGCGAGTTTTTGTTAGGGAACTCAACCCTACTTTAATACGGAAACCAACTATTATTTACTGCTCATGCCTATTATGGTAACCTAATCTCAGCAAGAACCTATACACGGAATCCATAGGCTTCGTCATTTAGATTTAAGCGTAGGTTTGTTTTTATGCTGCTTCGAAAAGGGTAGGATAAGGGTGCTGAGGGTGTACGTACAGGAATTAATAATCCTTAACCCTAAACCCCGATGGACCCCTCATAGTACGCACTTAGAAAGCACAAACAACGAATACGTACACTACGTAGGGCCAGGGGTTTGCACGCAGGGTTTGGGATGTTGAGTTTAATTGTGGGTTTGAGGTCTTCGACGATTTGGAGGTTCATGGGACTTGCTGCGTGAGGTTTTTGTGTTACGGGACATTCTAAGTTTAAGTATAGTTACTGTCCCTAAGGCTCCATGTACCCATGTAGTGTATACTTAGGCCTTAAAGTACCTATATATAGGGGCCCCTTTAAGGCTTAAGTATCTACTATAAAGCTACATGGAGCCTTTGGGATTGCAGTACTCTGCCCTGTCAACTCTTTAATTCTTGTAACCCCTAAACCCTAAACCCTAAACCCCTAAACCCTAAACCCCTAAACCCCTAAACCCTAAACCCCTAAACCCTAAACCCCTAAACCCCTAAACCCCTAAACCCTAAACCCTAAAGCCCAACCCCGGAAGCCCTGGGGGTAAGAGCTTCAGAGCTTGGAGGTGTAGGGTTTATCTTAATGACCTTAGTTCCGGGGCCTTGCCATGGCTAACGTGAGACAGCCGCAGGGTCGGAGGCAAAACCGTACGGATGATGATATAAATCCTAGGGTTCCTTTAAAGGGATCTATAAGGGTACCTTCAAGGGGCTCCTTTAAGGGGATCTATAGGGTTTAGGGTTATGATACAAATCCTGCATTACCTTAAGGACCCTAACCTATGGGAATCATGGTGCCTTCCTTATTATGGGTGATGCAGGATTTATATCATCAACCGTATGGTTAGGGGTTTGGGGGTTCAGAAGTTGGAGACAAACAGAAAAGTGCTCCAGTTGGGTAGAAGGTTTAGTGTCTGGGATTTAGGGCTTGAGGCATAGACTCAGGTCCCTAAAAACCTGAACCCCAGGAAACCTTGACCCTAAACCCTCATTTAATCCAGGAAAGCGCACAACACACAAACCACGAGATTGCTCCATCCCACAAACCTCTCTTTGCGTAAGCCAGCACAACCGCCCCTCCCCCCTTGAGAGGCGGGCTCCATCATCTGAAACTTGAACGGACCTTTGCGCAGTGGCTGGAAAGCTCTCGCTCCATTCCGCTTTGAAGGGAAGCAAGAGACATGATTTCCATAGGTTGGAGACACTACTCTGCAAAGAAGGTCGGGTTTAGGGTTTAGGGTTTAGGGTTGCAAAGAAGGTAAGCAACATTTTCACGTGGAAACGCTGATCCAGAAAGCTTCGAGCTGTGACCTGGAATCTACCCAGCGGCCTGCGCTCAGCAAAACGTAATCATTCACACGCCATGCTTAAAGGATTATGCAACTTAGTAAGTAGGTTATAATTGGGGTTATACGTCCCCTAAGTGGGGTAATCCTCATTACAACCTACTTCTAACCTTAGTTACTAAGTCCCATGAGCCTTTCAGTAGACCCTAAACCCTAAACCCTATAGATCCCCTTAAGGATCCCTCTAGATCCCTTCAAGGAGCCCTTAACGAACCTGACTAAGTCCCATGAGCCTTTAAGCACGTGACCTGTCTGTCGGCCCAAGCACGCTAGCAGGGCAGGAAGCTTTTTGTCGGGCAACTGTCTGAGGCAGAGACCCAAATGTAGCTTTATAGCATTTAGGGTTTAGGGGTCTAGGTTTTTTAGGCTTTATAATAGATACTTAAGGGCTTAAAGGGGTCCCTATATAAGCGCTTTGTGGCCTAAGTATATACTATACGGGTACATGGAGCCCTAGGGAGATACATGTTCAGGAATAGGGACCTAATTGACTACGACAGGACTACACTACACGGCAACGTGGAAGCAACACACCCAATGGAACATAAATCTGCACAAAGTCTCCCGTATGACAATGGCACTTAGTATAACACTGCATCACGACAGCCCGTCCTTGACCTAGCCTGACCAAGACCTGTAATTGGGCTTTAGAAACCGGATCCCATGTATGAAAACGTGTGCGAACCTGGAAAAGCGTGCGCGGGGCACCAATACACGAGCAACAAGCAACGTCCCGAAGAGCCTTCACCAAATCTGAAGCTTGTGCAATATGTAGGAGAGACATGTAGAGCCGCTTTATTTAACGCTGATTACACCCCAAACACGACACCCTAAACCCTACATCCTTACATTCAAAAGCCAAAATCCCGAGCCCGAACTCCTCAAGGGCTACGTCCCTTATGTCGGTGTGTAAGAGCTCGACACAGAGTCTGGCGCAAGGTCTCGCCTGAGGGTCTGCTGGATTCTTGCCCAAAGGCTCCATGTAGCTTTATAGTAGATACTTAAGCCTTAAAGGGGTCCCTATATCGGTACTTTAAGGCCTAAGTATATACTACATGGGTACATGGATCCTTAGGGTTGGGGGCTTGCTCTGTTTCTGCGCGCAGAGACTTAGTAGCTGCTTGTTGGTGATGGTAGTCGTGCACATGGTGTGCATAATCACTAATTACTGTTCTTCTGTTGGGGTAATCTTTCCGTGAGGGTCCATGTATCCAAATAGTATATACATTGGCCTTGAAGTAGTCCCTATATAGGTACATTGGGGCCAAAGTATATCCTAGTTGGGCACATGGACCCTTACTTAGAGGATCATGGGACTTAGTAAGTAGCTTATAATTGGGGTTATGAGTCCCCTAAGTGAGGTTACCCTAATTATAACCTACTTATAACCTTACATACTAAGTCCCATGATCCTTTAAGTAGGGTTTCTGCTTGGTTGGCCGAGAGGATGCATGGGGTTTAGGCATCAGGGCTCAGGGCGCAGCTACCAGCTGTTCACAAGACTTCCCTCGAACTTCACTTTGTGTACTGAAGCGGCAAACTCTAAACAATATGTATATATATATATACACCTCAAACGACCATCCCTTGCAGCTTTTTAGGCTCATAGTACAAACTCTGACTTCCTAGCCATAAAAAGAATGGCAGTTTTAATGTTCTCTTGGGTTTGATATGAAGTCTTAAGGAGACTATAGATACTCGAAAGTCTGAGGACTCTGACTGGTAACCAATAACTCTAAACCCTAAACCGAATAACCCCACAAACCCAAACCCCGAACCTGCCTAGACCCCCCCACTACCCGTTATTGTAGCACTTACTTGGAGGGGCAGGGACCTGCTAAGTCGTTTATGCAGCAGGGTTATAATTGGGGTAGCTCCATTTAGGGTACTTATAACTCTACTTATAACCTACTTACTAAGTCCCCTGCCCCTCCAAGTATTCACCTCTTAATGAGGAATCTGAGAGCCCATTAAGGGGCCCTGGGGGGGCCAAAGCCTAAACCGAAACCCCTACTGTTGATGATATAAATCCTGCTTTACCTTAAGGACCCTAAACTAGGGGAATTATGGTATATCCCTTATTATGGGTAATGCAGGGTTTATATCATCAACCGTACTAAGGGGTTTCGTAAAGGGTTCCATAAGGGATCTATAGAGCTCCATACACTCATCAGAATGGAGTTTTGGGGGGCACATTATACTATACTTATCCCTACTTGTCGGGTATCATGGGGAACCAAAGGTTAACCTTTTTGGTTATATAGGGGTTATATAGGGGCTATACTACAAAAAAAAGCCTACAGGTTACCTATTCTACTACTAGCAACCCTAAATCATCAAACCTACTTGGATGTTCATGGGACCCAGTAAGTTTACACGGACCTTCATAATTACCGTTTGGGGGTATAAGGAACTACAAGTATGGTTACCCTGATAGTATCCCCATGATCCTTTGAGTACCGAGTTTGCGAGGCGGAAAGTAGCTCCTGCGACTGTTGGGATTTAGGGTTGAAGGCTTCTTGAAGGTGTAGGGTCCGGGTTTAGGACTGCGGGCTTAAGGGTTGAGGGGCTAATCGACGTATTTTTAGGCGCAGGGCCTAATTAGGTGAAGGGTGTAGAATTTGAAGGTTGAGGTCCTATGTCGGGTGAGGCGCGTAAGACTCGTGCTTTGATTCTAGAGTTCAAGCCCTAAGGCTCCATGTACCCATATAGTATATACTTAGGCCTTAAAGTACCTAAATAGGGACCCCTTTAAGGCTTAAGTATCTACTTGGAGCCTTTGGGAAGGCAGTTTCAGGCTGATGGTGTAATGAGAGCTTTGGTGAAGGGCTGCTCCAACGCAGAGCCCTTTAGAGCATCCCAAGCAATGGCAAGCCATGTTTTGTGGAGCTTGAAAAATTACCAGATAGAGTGTATATATATATATATATATATATATAGCGAGAGAGAGAGAGAGAGAGAGAGAGAGAGAGAGAGAGAGAGAGAGAGCACATAAACCCGACCCTGTCTTACCCCGGCCTCATATTCCAGTACTTTACCTCTCTCTCTGCTTCTTCTCCACTCTCTCTCTCTCTCTCTCTGTCTCTCTCTCTCTCCCTCGCCCTTTCTGGCTTTAGGGGCTCTGTTTGTTGGATCCTTTCGGGAAGGCCAGCAAAACTGAGCATCGCGGCACCATGACCGATATGAAGAGCTGCTCCTGGACTCTGCTTGGAGGATCATGGGACTTAGTAAGTAAGGGTTCTTAAATGGCTCCTTTAAGGGATCTATAGGGATCCTTAAAGGGGTCTATGGGGTTTAGGGTTTTACTTGGAGCATCATGGGACGTAGTAAGTAAGGTTATAAGTACCTTATTTGGGGTTCTAAGGGTTTATAAGTATACTTTCCAAGGGTAAAAGGAGGGACCCTTAATAAGGACCCCTAGGTATATACCCTTAATATAGCCATTATATACCCATTATATAGCCATTATAGGGTAGGGGTCCCCATTAAGGGTCCCTCCTTTTCCCTTTGAATAGTGTTCCTTGTTTATAACCCCAGTTACTAAGTCCCATGATCCTTTAAGTGGGGGCTGAGGTCGGAGGCGTACCCAGAGGCTCTATGAAGTAGGTTCCTTTTTGGGGAATTACCTTATAGGGTTCTATATATGAAATCCTTTTTGGGGGAATTACCTGAAAGGATTCTACATATGAACCCTTTTTGGGGAATTACCTTATAGGATTCTATATATGAATCCTTTTTTGGAACTACCTTATAGGATTCTATATATGAACCCCCCAAAAAAGGAACTACTAGGGAGCCTTAGGGTAGAGGTTTTGGGGGGAAACCCTGCAAGGGTTCGGACCTGGAGTTCGAGTTTGTGGGTCCAAGGTCTAGGGCTTTATGGCTTGAGGTTCAGGGTGTTAGCTTTTAGTAGGAGGTGGTAGTAGTGGTAGTGGTAGTGGTAGTAGTAGTAGTAGTAGGGCTTTGAGGTTATGGGGTTCAGGACTTCAGGGTTTTAGGGTTTTAGGGCTTAGGGCCTCGAGGTTTTAGGGCTTCGTGAAAGCTCGACCCCTCAATGCCCTACGTACAAAGCGCAGTAGCCCCGCCTCCCTTGAGGAGGTGAGCAGAACACCTTTTTGTGGAGATTCCTATAAGTCCGAATGCTTTGGCCCACCTGAAAGCAGAACAAGCAACAACAACGGAAACACAGCCTGTGCCCACCCCCCATCACATCAGGCCAGCGGGAAAGCACTGACCTAAATGGGAGGGACGTGCTGGCCCTCGGGGCAGCCAGCTCAACACGATGGGCACGAACAACATACACCCTAAACCCTAAACCGTAAACAGGCCCTAAACTCTATTGGCCAAAATTACAAACAAGAGCAACTCCCAAAGAGACTCGAAGTTCCCGCCCAAATCGCTTTCACAAATCTTGAGGCTTCTAGGGTTTATACGGTTAAGGGTGTAGGGTTTAGTGCAGGGCTGCGGGCTTAAGGTTTAGAGGGTTTCAGCGTTCCTGGAGCATAGGGTTTATAGGATTTGTCGACACCGATAACATTTAACTAGTTACACTCCACAATTGCTCCTTTTAAGGAATATCCCTGACATAGTCGTTTCTACATCAAAATCCCGATACCCTAGCCCCCTGAACAATTGTGGAACGGCTGTAGACCCATTACTCTAGAAACGCCTACTGGCCTACGACATACGCCCCCTGCAAATCCCGTAACAAATCTCTTTTTCAGCACACATGGATCGAAATCAGCCTCCAAACATCAACAAACAAACAACATGATATGGGCGGTTGTCAAAATTATGGTCCTTTCTTGGGTCCTTGATATAGTACGGCACCTAATATCTAGGGTACCCAAAACGGTGCCACAATTTTGACAACTACCCATATAGCAGCCAAATACAACCATACTGTAACACCCATACGACGAATCGCAACAATGACTCCGAAAGCCCTCAAAGAATGCATCTACCTTAAAGTGTGGTGGGATCCCCCACCTGATTTAGAGTACGAGCCAGAAAGTTGGACCATTACTGTCCTCATGCCCCCACGGAAACAGTAGAGGGAACCCCAGCACTAATCATCCTAAATCCATGTTCCAACTTTCTGGAGTTCACAATATCTCCCTGAACCCTAAACCCTATACATCCCTGAACCCGAACTCCCAAAACCCCTATAAGACCCTAAACCCTAACCCCCCTCAGCCTTGACTTAAGGCGTCGGGGTCTCCGGGCCTTCGTCTGGCCCCATTTGAAGTGGGGCGTCACAGCCTTTGTGCAGGCACAGATCACCTGCAGAGGATTGCGTCGAAGACTTGTTTGAGAGTTTGGGAGTTTCCGAAAATTAGGGGGGACCTTATCTTGGGGGTCCGTACAATAAGGATCCTACTATTTAGGATACTATAATTAGGGTCTCCTATTTTCGGAAACTACCATTTCGGGCTTTGGATTCAGGGTTTCAGGGCAGGGAGGGCGTTCGGAGCTCCGCGTGTTGAGCGTGTAGTTGAGGGTAAGTGCTTAATGCTTTGGGGCTGTTGTAGGACTCACGATTTACCCCTTTAACACTGAGCCCGAATTGTTTTTCTGCGTGGGCTTGGGTAATTGGACCTGGTGGGTAGTTTTCAACCGTGCTGCTCAAGTGCGGTAAGTCCTAAACCCTAAACACCCAAACTTCGCTGAGTGAAATTGCTTGAGATTGCACGTCGGACTGCCAGAAGCCCAGAGAAAGAGAGAGCGAGAGGGAGCGAAAGAGAGGCAAAAAGAGAGAGAGTGAGAGGCAGTGAGAGGCAGAGAGAGCGAGAGAGAGGGTGTTAATTAGAGAGAGAGAGAGGGGAACATGCTCATATGTCCAAATAACCGAAGCTTCTTCAGATACTGTGTTGTTACGGTGAAGTATTCTTCGCTGGGTTTTTAACTAGTTTTCATACAGGGCCCTTTTCACCTAGATTGGGCTGGTGCGGATTTCTGTACTGTGACCATAACACCAAGGGACACTCTATCCCCTATATTAGACCCCCAACCTGTTTACGACCAGGGGCAGCAATTCAGAAACCCGAAAAGAACATCAGCATCAGAGTTTTACTATATTATAGGGATATCCCTGCCTTTTTGGGCTTCATTGTAAGGAGGGGTCTATATGGGATATCCCTATCCTCATTCTTGCTGCTGTGCTTTTTTTTGTGGCCTTAGAATCCCCAGAGGCTCCATGTACCGTGATAGTAGATACTTAAGCCTTAAAGGGGTCCCAAGATAGGTACTTCTGTTGATGATAAAAATCCTGCATGACCAGAAGGGCCCTCAACTATGGGAATTATGGTACATTCCGTATTATGGGTAATGCAGGATTTATATCATCAACCGTTTGAGGCCTAAGTATATACTAGGATACCCAGTAACCTAAGAATAAAAAGGCCTCGCTTTTTGGTATAGGGTAACTTTATAAGGAACCTAGGACTACAAAAAGGGAATAAGGGTACTACTGGGCATCCTAGTATACTATATGGGTACATGGGGCCTTAGGGATCCAGGGCGAGGATGAAGCTTAGGCAGGCCGAACCCTGAACCCAGAACGGTTAGAGCTTTCGGTTCAGAGTATAGAGCATTTAGGGTTAAGAGACTATGGCTTAGGGTTTAGGATTGTTAGAGCTTTCGGTTCAGAGTATGGAGCATTTAGGGTTAAGAGATTATGGCTTAGGGTTTAGGATTGCTAGAGCCTTCGGTTCAGAGTATAGAGCATTTAGGGCTTTTAAGATTACGGCTTAGGGTTTAGGATTTGGGGTTCTCTTTCGCCCTACCTAGAAGCTAGACCGGAAACCCAAACCCTATCAGATCTTGATGGGCCCGCTGCTGAACGCCTTAGAATGGTTTCACATGCATGCTCTTCCATGTCCTAAGCCCTAAACCCTAAACCCCTTAGTCTCAAAATCTTTGATCTACAAGAAGGCCATATAATAATGGGCCATGCATAAGCCCAAAGGGTCCTAGGTACTCTTACGGGGGATACTTCCCCAAATCGTAATCCCTAAGGGTCCAAGTACCCAAATAGTAGGGTTTCAAGGTCCAAAAGCCATTCAGAGTATGGATTTTGGGTCCTAAACCCTACTATTTGGGTACTCGGACCCTCTGGGATAGGGACCTGAACACTTACCAAAACTATTTTTGGGTGGCGCCTTGTTATAAATCTAGTATAATTGGCCCCAAGACCCTATTCCAACGATTAAGGCCCCTATGTTACGGTTTCAAGGCGACAGCGTCCCCAAGGCATGTATTCAAGGGGTTTCGAAGGCATCGAGTCTGGAGCCTCCTCTTTGTGGCTGAAGATAGGAGCCCCAGGCTTTAGGGTTTAGGGTTAAGGCTTTAGGGTTTAGGGTTAAGGCTTTAGGGTTTAGAGCTAAGGTTGTTGGGGCTTTTAGGGTTGAGGCTTTCGATTAATAGTTAATCCAAGGGAAAGAGGAGGGACCCTTAATAAGGACCCCTAGGTATATACCCTTGATATAGCCATTATATAGCCCATTGTATAGCCCATTATAGGGTAGGGGTCCCCATTAAGGGTCCCTCCTTTTCCCCTTTGATCATAATTACAATAGGGTTCCTTTAAAGGGTTTCGTAAAGGGTTCCATAAGGGATCTAAAGAACTCCATACTATAGGGGCCTTATTCATTAGAATGGAGTCTTCGGGGCACATTATACTATACTTATACCTACTTGTCGGGTATTATGGGGAACTAAAGTTTAACCTGTTTGGTTATATAGGGATTATATAGGGGCTATACTACCCACAAAAGGTTAAAGGTTACCTATTCTACTACTAGGTATTATAAGGAACCCTCAAAATAGTGTAGGTAGTTTTTTAGGCCCCTGCAGTAACGCTTTGAAAGGGTTGATAGGACCTCGGAAGTGGCTTTGAAGTGTAAGGTCTAATCCTAAACCATGTTCCCAACACCTTCAGCCACAAACCCTAAACCAGAAAACTCGAAACCCCGAAGCCCATCCTAAACCCAAGTTTAGGGAGTTTAGGGTTTAGCAGCATAACATAAGGAGCTTCTTTGCAGATCCGGTTAGTCCTGGGGATCGCCTAAACCCTAAACCCTGAGCCGATCACATCTTCGATCTCCCACAGTTAGGAGGCCGAAGTACTTAAAGGATCATGGGACTTAGTACCTGTGGGTATAAACAGGGTAACTATACTTATAAAACTTATATCCCCAACTAAGGTACTTATAACCTTACTTACTAAGTCCCATGGTCCTCCAAGTAGTCCAAAGGATGATGGGACTTATTTGCTAAGGTTTTTCGGGTAACTAAGTATACTCATCACTACTTTTGACCCGAGTTGAGGTACGGGAAATCTGACTTTGAAAGTCCCATCAACCTCCAAGAACGAGCCTTGAAGTCGTAGGAAAAGGGGTTTGGGAGCAAAAACCAAACCCCTCAACCGGAAACCTCAAGTTCCTCCGGCCCCGAAGATTATTCGGAGGATCATGGGACTTAGCAACTTAAAAGGGCTCCTTAGGATGTTTCAGTTTTGTCTATCTGTCTAGGGTTTACCGGGAGGATCATGGGAACTTGCAAGAAAAGTTTTAAGTACCTGAATACTTTAATGGGCATACATGTGATTGTAAGTAGTATAGCGGCATTTTTACGACCCTAGTTACCAAGTCCCATGATCCTTCTACCCCTAAGCCCCCTACGGATGCAGACTTACCTCCATGCCATTAGCATCCCTTCAAGTGACCCTGTAAGTTACTAAGTCCCATGATCCTTTAAGCACTATAGGAGCCTTAGTGATTAGTATAGGGTTTTGGAGATTAGAATAAGGTCCCCGAAACTAGTATAGGTTATTATTAAGACCCCTACATTACGCAAGAGGGCCATGGCATGGCCTGCAGCAGAAGTACGAGACCTGGGAAGCTTTTAGGGTTACGTTGAGGCTTCCTGTACTTGGAGGGGCAGGAGGCTTAGTAAGTAGGTTATAAGTAGAGTTATAAGCACCCTAAATGGAGTTACCCCAAGTATAACCCTACTTATAAACGACTTACTATGTCCCCTGCCCCTCCAAGTAAGGGATCCATCCAGGTTCCTTTAAGGGCTTCTTTAAGGGATCTATATGGCTTCCTTCACGTTTCTAGACTGGGGCTTTAGTGTCAGGTTTTCGGGGTTTGGGGGTTTAGGGGTTCAGGGTATGGGTTTCGGGATTAAAGCCTTGGGTTTTTTTCGCGTCGTAGGGTTTTTAAGCTAAGAGATACATGCCTGTTGACACTGGGCACATGAATGTGATGGTTTGCTGTCGTTAGTTACCGTTAGTTGATCTACTGTAAGATTTCGAGACTGTGTGTCGGGCTCAGAGCTTGCTTCTTTCTAATGACTTTGTAAGCCCAAGACCTCAACCCCAAACCCTCAACCCTCGACACTACACCCCAATAGACCCTAAACTCTCAAACCGGAACCTCACACCCGAGTTTAAACGAACCCCGCCCCCACCCGCTTAGGCACTAATACAGGGGAACGAAATGCCCGTAAGGGCTCCTTCTTAAGGCCCCCAAAAAGCAACCACTAGGCTAGGGATATCCCATAAAAACCCCCTTATAATGAAGCCCAACAAGGTAGGGATATCCCAATAAAATGCTTATGCTGATGTGCTTGTGGGGTCCATAACTTCTTTCTCCAAAGGTTGATTATACGAGCGAATATATCTTCTGCTGATGAGGACGATGAGGGAAAGTATTCCGACTCCCGTGGCACCTGCATGATCTACTCCCTAAAGACTCCCGAAACCTGAGTCTTGTCCATTACCCCACTAGACCTAAGAGTAACCTAGGAGTAAAAAAAGGGTGCTTGTTTTGGGTTTAAAGGGGCTAATAAGGGAACCTGAACCCTTAAAACAGTGAATAAGGGTCCTAGCCTATTAGCAATTGTAAGCACGAAGCTCCTGCACTAACCAAGGTCACGAAATGAACCCCGAGGCCTAAACTTCCCGGCAACCCGAACAGAAAACAGGTAACATAAGCTCACTAAATCAACCTTTGCCAATAGCACTAGTCACTAGACCCGACCTATATAAAGTCCCCAAGCTCATTAAACTCCAACCTGAGCCCCGGACCCTGAAGCCTAAACCTGAACGCTTAACCCTAACCCTTGGTACCACAAAACATTTTGAAGACCCTGATTAAAAGGCGTTGAACGGGCGTTCGACAGGTGCTTTTCACCGGCTCTATGGGATGTACAACAAGTCTCAGAAAGGGGTAACTGGGGCCTCATGAGCAGATTGTCTTGCTCCGGCCCTGCAGGCACTTTCAATTTATTTTCCTAGAATTAGCAGGGGGCTCATTTGGCAGTCGTTCTGGTTTGATACAGGGGCGGTTTTCATAACTACCCAGTGGTTTTGGGGTTCCCTTGGCTCTTTAGCTTCTTATTCAATAGGGATTATCATCATCCCTGGCTCCTTAGCTGCCTTAGCTCCTCCAATAGCAAAGGTTAGATAAGGATCCTTCCGTCTGGCTCCGTTACTACTTCAAAGCCCCATATGGGTGGTTGTCAAAATTAGGGTCCCTTTTTGGGTCCCTATTATAGTACGGCACCTATGATTTAAGGTACCCAACAAGGGGCCCTAATTTTGACAAGCACCCATATGCGATCCGTGCCGGGGCCCCCACAATCTACTTTGGAGGCAGGAAGAAAATGATACTCCGAGTTGCCTGCACATACTTGGAATTACGTCCTACAGCTAATAGATCGCATTTCTGTTGCGTTCAACGTATGTAGCTGCTTACCCACTCCTCCTAGAAAATAAGCAGGAACGAGAAACGTTGAGTTTCCGAAAATAGAATCCATAATCACAAACACCAACAAATGGATCCTCAATTCGTTAAAGGAGTTGTTGTTCCAAGCTCAAGACAGCCCTTAATCAAAAAGGGCACAAGGAATGGTTCACTTTTTGGGTAGGACCTCCGTAGCAACACTCCCCCCATGGAAGAGCCTTTAGAGAAAATGCCACAAGATTGTCTGTCAAGGAGTATTTACCGAGAACTTAGTCCGAGCAAGGAACAAGTTACTACTTATCCAGGCTTCTATAGCCGTCAAGCCTTTCCGTGGGATAGATCCTCGACCGAGGCCGCAGCTAAGCCGCATCGGGCGGTGCATGTTTTCGGCTTGCACAAAGGACAGATACTAAAGCAGGCATGCACTGTCTAACATGATTGACGGGAATCGCCGCTTGAGTTAAACTTTGCTTGGAAACGGGAGCGTTGGTGCTCCTGTGGTTGACGTAGGGTGCAGTGCGTAGGGGGATTCAGGTCTGTAGGATTTATTTAAGGTTTAAGGCCTAAGTGTCGGGTCTAGGGGTTTGGGGCTAAGTAAGGTTGAAGGATGAGGGATTTCCATTCAGGGGTGTGGCTGTGCCCTGATAGGGTTCAGTATGCCGCCGTAACTTCTAAGCCGCAAAAGCTGCGAGAGGAAACTTTGAGCCTCAATCGGCACACCCTGCTGTTTGGAAGGAGAAGCTGACGCGTTGGTCATCCATAAACCCTAGCCCTAAACCCTAAAAACCCTAAACCCTACAACCCTAAACCCTCAACCCTAAAGCCCTAAACCCTAAACCGTAAAACCTACACTCAATGTGAAAACCCGAAGTCTGTCTGAACTGAACCCCTGACAATCCCCAAAGCTCCATGTAGCTTTATACTAGATACTTAAGCCTTAAAGGGGTCCCTATATAGGTACTTCAAGGTCTAAGATGGTCTAAGTATATACTATATGGGTACATCGAGCCTTAGGGAATACTATGGCTTTTGTATTAAGGGAGATGACAATTACATTGTAAACTGGAATCACTCTCGACGCAGTTACGTTTGCTACAGATATACCTGTTGTCATTGCTGTTATGGTCGTTTCTGCTGCTCCTTGTACCTAAACTGTTGATCTTACAACTGAGGGCCCGTATGATAATGGATTCTAACAACAAAATTACCTACGTTGCAAACCATACCACATTCATGTGCTCAATATCGCGCATGGCCATAATGACTTGAATATCCTTCTTGGGTTGTGTGTGTGTGTGTCTAAGGGTTGTTTATGAGTGAATGTGATGGCACAAGTGCCGAATGTTGTTAATGATTTCTTATTGACTGTTACCATGAAGAATGACCAGCATTTTTGACTATTGTTACTCAGCAAGATTAGGAATCAGTACTGCCAGATAATGCTCAAATAAGAAGTGTTGACTTTTCTTCTGGTTGTCATAATAAGTCCCCATCACCACAACCTTTACAATCCAAAGAGTCAGGGCACTCAACGCCCATTTGCGATCCTGAGAGCCCAATTCACACGATTAAGTTACAACAAGCCAGCTAGTAACTATACACACGGACACGGCTTTTGGTAACTTTATGTATATTTAGGCCCTGAATCATGAGCTTGAATCGTGAACCTTTTATTCTTGTTGCTGCTTTTTGGCATTATACCCAATGCTGTGGCAATAATAGGCATTGCAGCCATTATACTATTCGGAAAACTAGTGCCATTGCTGCTAGTGTTTTATGACTTTTGCGTCTCTTGGCTACCATTATTAACTGTTGATGTTGCTACTACCGAGGTTTCTCATGTTTGCTGATATTGCGACTATTGCTAATAGTTATTAACCCAACCCCTGGACGCCTGTAATCCCGAATCATAAACCATAAACCTAAACATGCAACACTAAACCCGAATTCCTAATCCCCTATGCCTGAACTTGGCCCCCTATACCCTAGGAAGATAAACATATCCTTGTTGAATGTGGCTGTTTAACAGGATATGATAGGCGACCATGTCATTACTATTATTACTATTGTTGCTACTATACAAGTAATAATTAGTATTATGACTGTTATTGCTACTGCTGCTATTTCTATGTCAATGCTCCTTCTCAGTATTGTTAATGCTGGTTTTACTGGTAATCCTGCTTACGGGTTATTGTTGTTGAAATACATGTTCACTACTACTTATGGCATCAAGTTTCTGTGATTTGCATTGTTAATTTGTTTCCATCATTGATAATTACTAGCCGCATTACGTTTATTGCTTTTACCAATACTATCACAATGTCTGTTACGACTTTAGCATTACTAACACTTTGATCACCAGCGTTCACAGGCCACGCGGAGGGACTGTTTTCGACAGAGAACTGCTGTACACCGTGGCAGACGATGACGTCACCTCACCCCAGGTCAGCGCTCAAACAGGGTTCTGTCCGTTTAGGGGTTATGTGGGGATTGTAAGGGTGGTATGTGGCAAAACGTGTAGTAGTAGAAGTAGAAGTAGAAGTAGAAGTAGAAGTAGAAGTAGAAGCAGGAGTAGTATAGTAGTAGTAGTAGTAGTAGTAGTAGTAGTAGTAGTAGTAGTAGTAGTAGCAGTGGTAGTAGTAGTAGTAGTAGTGGTGGTAGTAGTAATAGTAGTAGTATTCATTCACCACGCAGCGAAGTGTCCGGGTTCGCCTAGCGAGCAGACAGCAACCGGGTGTTCCGGTGGCTGGAACCTCTTTTGGGTTCTGGAGGGCAGTGCCAGCTCCATCGACTAAGACTACACTTGCTCAGCATCAGGCACCAGGAGGTAGTACCTGACGTAGCCACACTATATATATGTTGTCATCGTGTTCTGTACTGACTGGCTTTGCGATGCAGGAGTCATCAGTGATCCACCACTTTTCTGCTCCAAACAGCGGTTGTCCTCGTAAGATAGTTCTGTAATGCCCCATATCAGGAGTGGCCCCGTAGTGAAGCTGTACAGCGACGACCTGGTAGTGGACATAGCGAACTTGCATTGTGTGCAGACCTGTAAAGAGTGGCATACGAACAGTAGTCGAGGCCACAACCAGTGGTCTGGTGTCCCTGCGCATGACTCCCTCAGCGTTTGTGAAGCGCTGAAGTTGTATGCAGAGCATGGAAGACGGAGTCAGCAGTGCATAACGAGCTGTAACCTGAGCACTCCACCCATCAATGGCTGCCTGAAGCTCCAGGCTTGGACCTACCGGCAGCGCAATCGGAATGGGAGCTTGAGTAGGCCCCTTGTCAAGAGTGGCAATACCTCCAGGCACAAAGTTTCGGGCCTCCCAGCCACCATTGAACCCACTATGCGAGAACCTGGGTAGAAGATATTGTAACAGTTCAGCTGCATCGTGCTGACGATGTACGGAAGGCCAAGCTTGCAGCAGCATAAGCCACGGTACCGAGTGGAGTACCTGAATGGGGCAATTGGGTGTGGCAGTGATTGGTGGACACAACATGGTAAGAGCCTGCGGTGGAGGCGAAACGTAGGCATCATGCAGCCTAGCCTGAAGGATTGTCCACAATAGTGCATAGATCGTAGAGTGTAGGTAGCACAAGTTGGAAGGATTGTGGAAAATCAATCGAAGGACAGCCTTGAGACTAGGGCGCACACTCAGTATGGCATCTGATGTTGCCACACTTCCTGGACCAGGGTGTCGTAGTTCGGTCGATCGCGGCGAAGCCTGCATCCCAGGGTGTGCCACGATGCTTGTCCGATCCACTGGTTCAGCGTGCTCCACATGGCTCCTCCCTCTGGGCGAAGGGACATGCAGATCTGGAATTGAATCCAGTCGGAGGTCACCTCCGTGGTGAGCTTCCTCATGGACTTGAACCTCACCAGGGTCTCTTCCGTAACAGCCTTCCTCATCTGAACCAGTTGGGCCAACAGATCTTCCGCCGGTATTGGCCTCACCGAGTTGTCGACTTCCAGACATTGTTTGGTTGGATTCCATGTAAGATGTTTCCAATGTTTCTGATCGTCGATCCAGTTCAGGTTCTTGGCCTTGGCGAGAGCATCCTCGTCCGCAATCATGTTGGTCAACCTCTGGTGTAGGGTGATGAGCAGCTGCTTGAAGAGCATGAGTTTGAGGGAGTAAGTAATCTTCTCGGGTTCTTCCTCTTTCATCTTCCTCCACTTCTCCGCTGCTTCGCAGAGAACCGGTACCATCCCTTCTGGCCCGGATCGTACAAAGAGGTAGAGGACCAGATCCTGACGGATGGCTGAGATGATTTGCTCCTGACGAAGGACCAGCTGGGATAGTCGATTCATCCTGTACTCCATCCAGTCTGGATCGTGATTTCCCAGTGGCTGCAGGTCCTGAGTCTGTGTCCAGGGATTGGGTGGATGGCTTCCGAAACCATTTGTGTAGCCCGTGACCTGGTTGGCACTGGATGGACTTGGTAGGCCCTGCTTTCCCTTGCCTTTGCCCTTGGTACCCTTGCCCTTGCCTTTGTTCCGGTCCTGCGGAGCCAGACGCTGCCTCTTGGATTGCTCGGTTTGATGCATCACATCTCGTCGTGGTTCCTGTTCCCGTTTGACCGGACCGGCATGGGCCCAAAATTGCTTCTCCTGCTCGTCCAGCTCCATGGGATCCGCGCAGAGCGTCATGGTGCACTGCTAGGAAGGCACAAATATGCAAAACATGACACTGTTTCCAATGACGATCTTTGTTGATGTTTCGCTGATGGCAGTATCGACATGGCACAACAGTATGTCGGCGGAAACCAGTAAGAAGCTTGAGAGTCGCAGGTTGGCATTCTTTCCACTCTGGATGCTGCATGGTGAGATGATACTTGATGCTGGTAGGGGTGGCTAGCCACTGGTAACACAGCGGGCAGTGGTGCTGGAGATACGAGTAGGTCTCCGGTTTCACAAGGAGGTCAGTCCACCTGCGGGCACTTAGTGTCTCAAGGACATGAGATTGCTGATAGAGAGGAGCAGCCTCATGGCTCGGCGAAGTGGAGCCATCCTGCAGGAGAGCATCCAAGACAGGGGGTTCAGGTATGCCGGCAGGAGCAGGCGGGGGCATAGCAGCCTGATCAGTGGACAGGATGTGGGTTTCCGGAGAGAGATCCTGAGGTGGCAGAATAGCCGGATCAGGGACTAGTACAGGATCGGAGTCATCAGAACTAGGAGCCAAGGGTGGGGCAGCAGCAGGAGGTTGTGTGGCAAGTCTTCGGAGTACCTGACACCGATTACGTTTAATGTGCTTGACGAGGCCGTCCCATTGTCGAAAGGGATGGGCACAGTGTCTGCACGTTGGGAGTCCTTCTGTTCCATGTGCATACCTGTCAAAAGGCACCGAGACAGCAGCAGGTGTTTTGAGGCCATGCCACTTA